GACAGTCAAGATCTGGGATGCCAGCAATGGAGCCTGCCTGCAAACCCTGGAAGGCCATGGTGGTTGGGTCAGGTCAGTGGCCTTCTCATTCGATGGTGCCTGCATTGCTGCTGGATCTTATGATGACACAATCAAGATCTGGGATGCCAGCAACGGAGCCTGTCTCCAAACCTTTGAAGGTCAAGGATACTCTGTGACATTTGACGCTACTACTTCACTTTTTTGCACTGAGATGGGAATTCTCCCGTGGAATGGCACATCAAGTACCCAGAAGAATACAAATATATGCAAGATGCCTCAGTATCAAACCTATGCTTTGAACACTGATCAGACATGGATCACCTGGAATGGCCAGAACGTGCTCTGGCTGCCATCAGAGTACCGCCCATCATGCTCAGCTATTACATCAAGCACTATGGTTATTGGATGTCAATCAGGTATGGTTCTAATATTTGACTTCTCCAACAAGGCGCCTTCATAACAATAATCACTTATGTGATGGTCAACGGCTGTCGACGTTGGTCGTTGGCAAACACGGGCAAACGCTGCCAATAGAGCATTATGAGCAAACGACGAGCCCTAGCCCTTCCACATGTGATCGCACGATGGGTAGATACTTTCTCTCTTTCTTTCTTCTTCTTCTTCTTCTTCTTCTTCTTCTTCTTCTTCTTCTTCTTCTTCTTCTTCCTCCTCCTCTCTAGATTCGGTATTCTCATCGATAGGCTACTGTTGACTTCCGTATATACGCCAAAGACTGATTGATATGTCCGACTATCTACGCCATACACCATATCCACGGAGGATATTAGGAGAGATGATAGGATCGGGGGACTACGGCTATGCAGCCGGCATGCAGGCACTATATACCTGACATTCATTTTGTCCCGTTGAACTTCTTTCGCAACGACCTTCCCTTTTGCACTTAGTTGATGGCCGCCAAATTGTCTATAAAAGAGGCCCTACGATAGATAGATATCTAAATCAGAGTTCTTCCTCTATTCACTCCGAATAGTGCCTATGATATCCTATCGAGCATTGTAGTTAACAGCTACCTAGTCTAGATATGAATATTATCCGTTTTGTCTACTAGTTTCCGAGCCCATGACACTTATGGTACCCATTTGGTTAATGCTAGTATGTTGATGCTGGTAGGCTGACCGTGGGGTAGGAATTCGGGACACCCGGGGGGGGTCTTATCCTGTCCCACGGGAGGCCAAGACTTTATGGGATGGGATGCTTGTTCATTTCCGAAGCACCATTCTTTGTGAAAATACCATGTTGAATGATTTTATCACAGGCCTGGCATTGAAGAACTGGCTTTCCTGTATGGATTTCAGCTGTGACGGCTCAATGCCAGACAAACAGCACCAACATGTCAAACGACGCCATGCAAGCAATATGGGCAAACAAGGGCTTAAGCCGCACCACACAAATGTATATAAAGACCGTTCATCGCCTAGATAGATTTTCTTTTTCTTCTTCTTCCCCAGACTCGATATTCTCGTCGATGGCTACAAGAGTTTAGATAAAAATTCAGTTCGTTAATATCTACTATTCCGAGCCCGTGACATCAGCAAGCTGAATAAAATGTTTCCAAAGATCTCCATGACATTTGTTCCAATGGGGATGTTGAAACTTCTCATCAATCTTTCCACTTATGCATTTTCGACCAATTGGTGTGTATTTCCACCAGTCAAGAAATGACTTGTAGTAGTTTGATTGAAAGTGGACATATTCAACACCATGAATGATTTCAATGTGAGTATTCTCGGGGGGTCGATGGGAGGTATGAGAGGTGGAAGGGGAGTCATTGAAGACGGCGATGGGGGAGAATGAGGATAAACTATCATCAGATTGGAAGAGTGCTGGGCTTAGAGTAAAGAGATTGGCCCGTGAAGATGAAGCCATACTAACAACAGAATAACAGATAGTAACAGTAGGGACTCAGGTTATTAGCTTCAAAAGATAGGATAGAACACAGAAGATATTCTGGTAGATTAGAATAAAAATCCTACTGTCAGAAATTCTGAGGAGTAGTGGCCAGCCGACTACGGGGTTTAACTCTTCCATAGAGTGATTTGTGATAGATCAGAAAGAGGCATCCCAACGCATTGAAATAATCATTGTTTTACCAGAGCACAACATGTTATATCAGATGTAAATATGTGGAATATGATGATCAGTAAAAGAAGTGAGCTTCTTCAGAAATACTTTTCTCCAGATTGCTACTATCTAATACTGTCGACTACGATGCTTGTGGTGATGGCTCACCCTCTCTATAGTGCACTCATCCAGGCTCACTCCGGTCACGCGACCAAAAAGCGGCATCACCCTCTAAATCACCCGGCAGGTACCCACTGAACTATGTATTGACCAGACCTATGCCACACGCCGGCTGGTTAGTAGTTGGGGACCACTAGCGAATCCCGGCTGTTGTATGTTTTTTTGTTTTTTTGTTTTTTGTTTTTGCTTGCCAAGCGGGCGTTCTTTTCTGTTGTGATATTGCAGCTATTGGTTCAGTCATGCTCAATAATGTGTGATGAAAGGTCTAATTATCGAATAGGCATTATATTCTAGTTAACAGTTTGTTCAATGATGATGCTGACGAAAATGAAGATAGTAATGACACTGACGCCGACGCTGAGGGATATACAGAAAAGAAGAGGGCAAAAGAAAAGCAAAAGAAGATAAATCAGAAGAGAAGAGATGGCAGAAACAGACATGACCTATGTATGATAGATGAATAAACTTGGGGATATAACATGCGACTTTTGCCTCTGTACCACCTAAATATCTGTCGGAGGGTGTAGCCCTCACGGTTTGTGGAGTTGTAAGTAAGTCCCAAGGACCTGCCTTGGAACAATTGAATGGTAAAACACTATCCAGGCTGGTGGAAGACTGAACAGTGGTATAACCCCCGTCGGGGGAAAGAGCATCATACAACCGTGTGTATAGCTCAAGATAGTCTCGCTATATCCAAAATAAAATAAACAAAACGGGTGCAAAAAGCAAGCGTTTCTCATGTCTTCGTCGAAAGGCTGACATGGTTTTCGTTTTCGGGTTTCTTCTCCGGGGAACCGTTGTTGTCATCCGCAGGGGCGGAACCAGTTCCTTGCTCCGACTTGTCACTGGCAGGAACCACGACTGGTTGCTTGCCGTTGTCTTCTTTAGCTTCCTCCCCATTGGTAGTCTTGTCCGTTTCTCCTGGAGTCTGTTGCGTGGGAGTCGTATTCTGGGATTCCGTCGACTCCGGACTGATGTACACGTCGTTCTGGTTCTCCGTCGTATCCGGTTCAAATTCGTCGTTCAAAGACGTCAATCCACCCTCAATGTCCCGGAGTAACCGAACAAACTCCTCGGGAACCAAGCCACTCTCACCAGACTTTGGGTCTTCCGCTACAAGCCAGCCATGTCCGTGTCGGTACGAGACGAGGATCACCTGGCCTTCGACTAACGGCAATTCGTTCTCATGCTCCCTCGTAAAGTCGAAGAGTGCCACTGCCTTGCCGTGCATTTCTTCGTCAGGACACCCGACTGCGAATTGGAAGTCGCGGGCATACGGGTCGTCGTCCTCTGACTCGAAGCCCGCATCTCCTTCGTAGCTTTGCGGGTTGACATCTGTATCGCCAGCCATCAAGTGGGAATAGTGGCTCTCATCCGCCGGATATGTGATATACTCGCCTCCCGGCCCGTCGTCTGACGAATCTCCGCCATTCACATAATAAGTTTCACTGCCGTCCGCGTTCATGCTAACTAGCGTTCCGCGCTCCGGGTCATCCGCGACGTAGCGAGATGGGATACTACGCCCAGGGCTCCTACCGCGCCTCCCAATCAAAACGGTTCCAGTCGACTTGTTCTTCCGGTGACGGAACACAGGGCTATGCAAGTCCTCATCTTCGCTGTACGGAGGACCATCGCCAAAGGACATTGCGGGGAGTTGTTGATGTCCATAGCTGTTTTCGGTGGTCCATGGCTGCGTCGACCATTGACCGCGCGAGCTGTCCCAAGGCGCGGGAGGATCCGAGAGGCGACGCTGTTCACTCACTGGTGTCGACACAGCGGACGCGTGAGGGGGCAGCGGCCCGTAGTGAAGAGGGTGGATCGGAGGGTATGCGAAGTCGCGGACCAGAGCATACGGCAGACTGGAATGGAATATCGGGAAAACATGCGATCCGGGGCGCGAACGGGTTTGAGAATTGTAGGAGACGTTCGAGAACGTGGATAGACGATCCTTTGCGTAGGAGGACGACCGCTGATTGGACGGCCGCTCTGTGACAATTGGCTGCAGAGTTGTTGTCAAGTGCGTTGGACTCTGCTGCTGCTCCGTAGGAGGTGGCGAGCTAGGAGTCATGGTCGTGGTAGTTGTCATTGGATCTTGTGCGTCAAAAGGAATGGCGCGTAGGAGAAACGATGACCGGATATAACCAGATTTGTCTCAATTGATCGAGGTCCAAAAGAAAGTCGAGGGAGAATCAACGCTAGGGATCGTTCGTTCACTGGCAACGATAATGACGCCCCTAGATTCGCATTACGATGCGTCCACCACAGAAAACCAAGCAGTATGTAGAGACCAAGCTCTAATGACAGGAAAAGAAAGGAATGCGTGGAGTTAAAGGAGCGACGTTTCCAATTGCCAAAACAATACGAAAAACAACTGGCGCGAATAAATTTGGTATGGGACCACGACTGCGACAGCGCTGAGAACGAAATGGTCGCGAAACAAAGATAAGATAATAATAACAATAAACAGCAGCTCCGGGCGCTCTCAAGAAAGAAAATAAGTGGCTTCACTATGACTCCGGTGGATCGGTCGTGGGACGTTCGTGCAGTGATTCTGAAACGAGACGCAGTAAGACGGACAGTTTCTTTGCGCTGAAGAGGAATCTGTGTCGAGATTTGTCAGGTTCGAGTGGCAGATGGGTAGTATTCTAAATTTAGCAGCACGAAAAGTGTCAGAGGAGCCCGTTATGTAAGAGAGGATTAGAAAGAAGAAGAGGGGAACGGAGAGAGAAAAGAAGAAAAACAGCAGAAGAAAGTGGGATGAAATAGAAGAGGGGCCCCGAAGAAGAAGAAAACAAAAAAGAAAAACAGATAAAAACGAAGAAAAAAAACACACAGACAGCGCCCTTATTTGCTAATATAAGAAGGGAAATATCAGCGAGCCCAGCGTGAGGCTTACCGGAGATTATTATGAGTATTGAGAAGAGGATCAACGGGGCGCAGTTCGGAGGCGTTGAAGAGGGAGAGCTGAGGGAAGTCCTTCAGCTGAAAGGTACAATGTAGGTGATAGTGCAGTTGCAGAATCTGGTATGTAAGTGTCGTTTCTCACAAGATACAAATAAAGATGTTGTCGCCAGTTGAAGCTTTTCGACGTTCCTCGAGGTGACTCACGTGACTCTCCACGGCCGTCTAGCGTGTTTCAGGTGTCGGTGCCTTGGCGCTAGTCTGAGTCGTATTTTATGCCTGAGGCAGCTTGAGTCTATTGCTACTAACTAGTTACTGAATCCCAGAGAAAAGCCTCCTTATATACTAGGCTACAGAAAAAAAAAAAAAAAAAAAAAAAATTCAAAGCTCGTCAATCGTATCATTCATGTCTAGCTACATCAAAGAACGTCATTGTTTAACAAACAGCAAAAGCACAAGGAAACAAACTAAAGAAAAAGAAACAAGGTGAGACCTGCTCTACCCAAAGGCACTGCCAAGTATTACAATCTATCCTTGCAGACCATCAACTAACACCAATTTTTGTTCAAACCAAGAAGACGACTTATGAGTTCGGGCAATGAGTCTGGTGCACGGTTTTCGTCCGGGTCACGAATGAAGGCCCCGTTTGTTGGTATTTGTTAAGAACGGACGACGAAGCGGATGGAGCTGCGAACATCGCCGGTGCACTTGACGGTTGAGCCGCGAACATTGCAGGAGAACTAGATGGGCCAGCTGATAGCGCTGCCGAAGAAGTAGTTGGACGATCTGGAGAGTTGAACAGGTTGGCTGAAGGAACGGCGGCAAAGCTTGCAGCTGCTGGATGAACAGGTAAATCCGTTGATGGCTGGGCTGAGGGAGCGGCAGCAGAACTTGCTGGAAGGACTGGGGAACTGGACGATGGCTGGGCTGATGGGGCGGCGGCGGAGCTCGCGCCAACAGCAGAGCTTTGAGCAACAGAAGAGCTCGCGGCGCCCTGCGAACCAGAGCCGGAACCAGAACCAGGAGAGAAGAGCTTTGCAAATTGACCCGGAATGGAAGCATCGTTAAGAGACTGTGTATCATCGTACTTGGCCTGGACCTTCGTGTTGGTGTCTGCTTTTCCAGTAACATCCACGTCCATGCAGGTCGTATACAGCTCTGGCTTCCCATTAGGCAAGCTCTCGTCCTCACCAGGGAGAGTAGGCCAGTCCCAGACCCAGTACAGCGTGTACTGTTTCCCACCCTCCGCATCATCCGGCAGTTTAATATCAGTCTGGCACCACAAATTGGTCCCCATCAACTGATCTGCCGTGTGCTTGAACTTGGCCTGGCGATCCTTCGAGATGTCGCCACCGTTGATTTGATAGCATCGGCCGTCGTCATAGGGCCGTGTTGCCAACAATTTTCCGCGTTTGTCGCCTCCGGTGCCGTCTTCATTCCAGACCTTGTGGATGTCGATGATCCTATCATCTTCGCTGGGCTCGGTCGTGCCGTACACATAGACTGTTCCGCGATTCGGGGGCTTTCCCTCTTGGTTCTGGGGTTCAGTCACATGGCCGTTTTCCTGGTATCTGAGAGCGATAGCGGACCCCTGCCGTGCCTGAAGACGTGGGAGGTCAGGCTTTTGGTCGTCCGGACTTGTCTGGGTATCCATGCACATCTTGTCAGCTTTTGTAAGGTTGACCCCGTTTGATGGAAGTCGATAGGTCATGGCGTCGTCGTTGAAGTCGGGCGATGTGCGGGGGATGTAGCCTCGGGGGTAGCCTGGAGTACCGATGAAGCTGCCATTGTTGGGGTTGATAACCATGAGCTGTTCGATCCAGGAATGGGCATTGGCGGTGGTTGCGAGGAGGGTGGTCAACACCTTCCAGCTCGTAGGGATGCGCATTTTGTTCGTTTTATATAAGATTCGTACCGACCAGCGGGAACGATGCTTTTCTTTCAAAGATTGTGATATCTCTCGAGAGAGGATAAACAAGAAGTAGTTTGAAATCAAAGAGAGCGAGAGAACAAAATAGCAACTAGCAAGCGACAATGGACATCCTTATATAATGCCCTTGACGCTCTTCCTTGTCTGACAAACAATAGAATAGACAATAGACAATAGTCTTTATTGAACGAAAGGCGAAAGACGGCAACAATAAATCCTCAATAACCAGCAAAGGGAATGCAAAAGAGTGATTCACTGGCAATGGACTCGACCCGGAGAACTCCACTGGAAAAAAGAATAAACAATAGAACAAGGGCCAACGGTCTCTATTTATCCTCCCATCGGACGAAAATCATTAAAGCTATTGTGCGTCTCAACCGAAATGAAAAAAGGCACAAAAAAAACTGGATTTGGACTGGGTGAATCGCCCTGTGGCACCCTCACGGGTAGCAGAAGAGTAACAAAATATACCCCTCTGGGCGCCAACAGCACCAGTCAGTATAACACGTCTCCATGTGGCAGCAATGACAGGAAAAATCTCCGAGTAAACACGTTTGAAGAAGAAGCGTTGAAGGCCAATGAATGGTGTATGGAGACGGGTTCATGCGGTTACTGTGTCAGACCTTGTGGTGAGTTCCTTGCATCTCATTGAGATTTTTTTTTGCGATTTGCTATTATTGTTCTTGGTGTTTGGACTGGATCTCAGATGTGGTCGGCGCTTACAGTCACTGGCTAGGATTTCTTCATCTCTATTGTTTTTTTAGTTCTTATTGTTCCTATTGAGGAGATCTTCTGCAGGGACCGGCAGTTAGCGCTTTGCCTTGCCTTGTGAATATACCCCTATCAGCATGGGAATATTAAAAAAGCAAATAGTGTCACAGGCGTCTATGCACCTGTGTATTTGTTTTAAGACTGAAAATAAAATAATAGAATCGTCCTGTCATGGCGGCTACAACCGAGCCAGAGAGGCTGAGCGATGCGCTGGGGTGGATGCGATGAAACAGATAGAGTCTTGCGGTGATTGATCGGGGCTTCGATTAGTCTTATATATGTCATCTTTTGCTGCTTACTGGCGCTGAAGAATTAGATCTGACACCGACAACGATTGAGATGTGGTGACCTGCAGATGTAATTCAAATCGCGCCCAATGGAGAATCAGTAAGCAGGAATAACTAGGGCACTATTGACATGTATGCAAGCCGCAGCTTTTCTGACATCCCACTCCTCTTTTACTAATCAACGATCTTTTTGCCTTTGATATTATTCTCGGGTATGACATCGCTTCCTATTGCCCGACATAACATCCAAATATATCTGCTTTGTCGTCGAAGATGCCGAATACGAGCCACTGGCAATTCCGATACAGGAGCATCCGAACGTCGCCGTATATATATCGGCCGGTTCCGCCATAGACGAGCGAAGTCCGTACAAGTACGCATACAAAAGTCCCAGCACCGGAATGCAAGATGGGTCACTGATTGATTTACTGATTGATTAGATGAAAAATGTGGATATGGCTTCAATATCGCGTATTTTCCGCCGAATCCGAGCAGCTGGCCGAGTCTACCGAGAGACAAAGAGTGGGTAAGGTCAATTTAATCGGTTGAAGTTACCTAATGGGTGTGTTTTATTGTGGATGAGATGAATCTACTATGTGCAGTTGCCAGAGTAGAAGTGGTGGTAATACTCCGTGTTCTGTACGAAGATAGCAGTGTATGACTGTGCCCGGAGAACGGACTCGACCCGGATGTAAAGGTAGAGCCTCGATTTGCCAGCAGACAGTTGATGCAAGGATCTTCGCTCAGCTTTTATCTGTATGAACCGGATCTTACAGCTGAAAAGGCGGTCTTTGTGTGACGGAAACAAAGTGATCTCATCAAGTATGGTAGTAGAAATTGCAACGCAGACTGGGTCAGAACTGAATCTCCATCCGGGCCTTGGTTAATTTATTTGTTTTTTTTTCTGTGGTCCCCGCAGTACGTCTTATCTTTTAGACTCGAGGACGGAGTATTTCTTTGTGTGGCCCCCTCACCTCCTCACCTACTTTTCTCTCTCTTTCTCTCATCTCTCGCAGTCAGATATCGAACCTTGAGAATATCTCCGATCGGCGCTTAAGTCGGGGTTACGTTGATCCGTCGCGTCTGGCCAGGCTACCGATTTTACCCTCAGGGGGTTGTGGCCGAAAATCAGAAGAAAAGTTCTGGAAGAAAACGAGAAAATACTTGGAAGAAAGAGGAGAAGAATAAGAAGACAACCTCAGGTGTATCGAATTGAATTCCTTTCGTGCGATACTCTGGTCAATTTCTCCTGTCGCGTGGCAAATCCTCACCGTTCTCTCCAGGTATGCTCTGATCGTCTCCAAGTGTCAAATAGCGTGCAAGGACTAAATCGCAGCTATCTCTAATTTATTTTAGTCCTGCCCCCCCGTTCCCTCTTTGTTTTTTTGTTTTTCTTTTCTCTCCTCGAAATTTTTTCCCATGTTCTGTCCTTCGATTCGAAATTGAAAGCAGAACGACAGGAAAAAAAGGAAAAGGGGAGTTTCTCTCAAGTCCTTTGATCCCCTCCAGGCGGTTTCCTCTCTACAGGGTCGAGCTCGCCCTATACCGCTAATTCCAGAGAGCTGTCCAAAAATCTCTTCAATTCTCTTCCCTACATTCAACATGGCTACCTCGTTTTTAACGAGGAGCTTTCGTCCGGCTCAAGAGGACAGGGACGCGGAACCCGGTTGGTTGAAGCGTCAGGTTACCGGTGGTTTGCAGGCCATTTCCCGTCGTGCCTGCTTGCACCCCATCCACACCATCGTGGTCATTGCCCTCCTCGCTAGTACTACCTACGTTGGTCTTCTCGAAGGCAGCTTTTTCGATACCGTCAGGAATCCCAGGGATCTTGCGGGTCAGGTGGATGTCGACCTGCTCCTCCAGGGTAGCAGGAGTCTCCGCTTAGGTGAGAGTACCTCCTGGAAGTGGCAGGTCGAGGACGCGTTGTCGCCAAATGACCAGAAGGTATACACCCTATTTAAATCTATTCTCATTGTTTTGTACGGATATTGACTCTTGCCAATGACAGGTCGCTCAACACCTCGCGTTGACCACCTTCATCTTCCCCGATTCCACCTCCAAGTCCGCCCCTCCCGCTCCCGTCGCCCACGATGTCCCGGTTCCTTCGAATGCCACCGCTCAATCCGTTCCCTTCACGCCTAACCTCTTCTCTCCCTTCTCCCACGACTCGTCTTTGGCTTTTACCGTGCCGTTCGAGCAGGTTTCCGACTTTTTGAAGGCGGTGCAGGAGATCCCTGACCCCTCCGCGGACACCGGTGAGGTGGAACAGAAAAAATGGATCATGAGAGCTGCTCGTGGCCCAGCGGGGTCCTACCAAGCCATCGGTTTCTGGCTGGTTGATGCTTGGGGCTCATTCGTGGACTTGATCAAGGTACTATCGCTCTTGGCTCTTGGGTATGAGATTTTACTAATGATATGCTTTTGTTTAGCACGCCGAAACAATTGACATTGTGATTATGGCTCTGGGATACTTGTCCATGCACTTGAGCTTCGTCTCCCTCTTCGTCTCCATGAGACGCCTGGGTTCGAAGTTCTGGTTGGGCGCAACCGTTCTGTTCTCGGGCGCGTTCGCCTTCCTGTTCGGTCTCTTGGTCACGACAAAGTTGGGAGTCCCGATTAACGTGATCTTGCTTTCCGAAGGCCTTCCGTTCCTCGTCGTTACCATCGGTTTCGAAAAGCCAATCATCCTCACCAGGGCCGTTCTCAACGCTTCCGCAGACGGCAGACGGCAGAGCTCTCGGGCCAACGGTGCAGCTTCGCAGCCCAACGGTAGCGGTCAGACGACCTCCAGCACCCCTAGGTCCATCCAAGATTCGATCCAGACCGCCATCAAGGAGCAGGGCTTTGAGATTGTTCGCGACTACGCTATTGAGATTGCCATCCTTGTGGCCGGTGCCGCGTCGGGAGTGCAGGGCGGCCTTCGACAGTTCTGCTTCCTCGCCGCCTGGATCCTGTTCTTCGACTGCCTCTTGCTCTTCACTTTCTTCACCACGATCCTTTGCATCAAGTTGGAGATTACTCGTATTAAGCGTCACGTGGCCCTTCGCAAGGCCCTGGAAGAGGATGGTATCACCCACCGTGTCGCGGAAAATGTGGCTTCCAACAATGACTGGCCTCAGGCCGGATCGGGAACCAGTGACGCTGGTGACGGTGTCTTTGGCCGTAAGATCGAGTCTAGCAGTGTGCGACGCTTCAAGATCCTCATGGTTGGCGGTTTTGTCTTGGTAAACTTGGTGAACCTGTCTGCTATTCCGTTCCGCAACGTTGGTCACAGTACCGGTCTTCCCGTCATGTCGCGCGTCTCCAACTTCCTGGCAGGCCCAACCCCGATTGATCCTTTCAAGGTCGCAGAGAACGGACTCGACTCTATCTACGTCTCGGCTAAGAGCCAGATGATGGAGACCGTTGTGACTGTCATCTCGCCTATCAAGTACAAGTTGGAATACCCATCTGTGCACTACGCTGCCCCGGAGACCCGCGGCTTGGACATCGAATACACGGATCAATTGTTGGACGCTGTCGGTGGTCGTGTGATTGAGAGCTTGCTGAAGAGCCTCGAGGACCCCATCTTCAGCAAGTGGATCATTGCTGCTCTGACCTTGAGTATCATTCTGAATGGATATTTGTTCAACGCCGCACGATGGAGCATCAAAGAGCCCGAAGCTGCTCCCGCTGCCCCGAAAATCGTCGAGGAACCTAAGAAGGCCTACCCTGAATTCGATGCTGTTCAAGGTGAATCCAAGCGCACCCCTGAGGAATGTGAGGCCATGCTCAAGAAGAAGCAAGCTCCCCATATGTCCGATGAAGAGTTGGTCGCACTTTCGCTTCGCGGTAAGATTCCTGGATATGCGCTGGAAAAGACGATGGAAGACGAGAACCTCATGAGCCGCGTCAATGCTTTCACCCGGGCGGTCAAGATTCGTCGGTCTGTCGTGTCGCGAACCCCGGCTACTTCCTCTATCACCAGCTCGTTGGAAACCTCCAAGCTCCCGTATGAACATTACAACTACACGTTGGTTCACGGCGCATGCTGTGAGAATGTCATTGGTTATTTGCCCTTGCCCCTTGGTGTTGCCGGTCCCTTGAATATCGACGGTCAAAGCTACTTTATTCCCATGGCCACTACTGAAGGTGTGCTGGTCGCTAGTACCAGCCGTGGAGCCAAGGCCATCAACGCTGGTGGTGGTGCCGTTACTGTGCTTACGGGTGATGGTATGACTCGTGGTCCTTGTGTCGGTTTCCCGACTCTTGCTCGGGCGGCCGCTGCCAAGGTTTGGATTGACTCTGAGGAGGGCTCGAACATCATCAAGACCGCTTTCAACTCAACCAGTCGCTTCGCTCGTCTCCAGCACCTGAAGACTGCTCTTGCCGGTACCTACCTCTACATTCGGTTCAAGACCACCACTGGTGACGCTATGGGTATGAACATGATTTCCAAGGGTGTCGAAAAGGCACTCAATATCATGTCTACCGAATGCGGCTTCAGCGACATGGCTATCATCTCCGTCTCTGGTAACTTCTGTACGGACAAGAAGTCTGCCGCCATCAACTGGATCGACGGCCGTGGCAAGTCCATTGTGGCGGAGGCTATCATTCCTGGCGATGTTGTGCGCAGCGTGCTCAAGAGCGATGTCAACGCGTTGGTCGAGCTGAACACTAGCAAGAACCTTATTGGTAGTGCCATGGCCGGAAGCTTAGGTGGTTTCAACGCCCACGCGTCCAACATTCTCACGGCCATCTTCTTGGCTACCGGTCAGGACCCTGCACAGAACGTTGAGAGCAGCAGCTGTATCACCACCATGAAGAAGTAAGCTTCTTTTCCCTTTTCCCTGCTTATAGCCGTTCATAATGCTAACTGAAACTAGTTTTGATGGTAACCTCCAAATCGCCGTCTCGATGCCTTCCATTGAAGTCGGAACTATTGGTGGTGGTACTATCCTTGAAGGACAGTCGGCCATGCTTGACCTGCTTGGTGTGCGCGGGTCTCACCCCACGAGCCCCGGTGACAACGCCCGTCAGTTGGCACGGATTGTGGGAGCCGCAGTGCTCGCTGGAGAACTGAGTCTGTGCTCTGCACTGGCCGCGGGCCATCTCGTGCGAGCCCACATGGCCCACAACCGTGGCAGTGGTGCACCCAGCGCTGCACCCAGCGCTGCACCGACGCGGTCGGCAACACCAGTCTCGGCCGCCGTCGGAGCCGCTCGGGGATTGACCATGACGAATTCGAAATAGACGACATCCCTCATTTCTCTTCCTCCCCCTTCGCCACATGATGATGGACCCTGTCCCTGGCCGGGTTGCCATACTGGGGCGTTGATCCTCGGACGAATTTCCTTTTTCCGTTCTTCACATAATTTCGGCAGGACTCATTTTTGTATATTTGTTGACCGGTTCATGTCATGATGATGCTCTTGGTCGGGCTGTTTATATCTGAGTATTAATCCGTGGAGTACAGGAAGATGCGTTTCTTCATTGTTGCTGTTTCATTTCTTGCTGTTTCTTTGTTTTTTTTTTTTTTTTCTTCTTTCTTTTTTGTGTCGATTTGGAAGCAGGAGGATGATGATGAGATGCAGACGAGATACCACTGCATACATAAAAGATCTAGCCAGACTAGTTACGAATCCATGCCATAATAAGTGTACTATACTAGTAGTGCAGAGAGTGCAGAGTACTTGTATGTATTAAAATTGGATTTACAGTACGGATAGATTACCGTCACCGACGGCCTGGTCTGGGCCTCGGCCGTGGGGGATCTGATTGGCTGCCCCTGATCTATCCGCAGTTCCGGGTGGGACTGGTATTACGGATGCGTTCCGGTAATACGGTCTTCACATGAGTCTTCTGCAGTCTTGCAGTCTTGGATAGATAGGTTCTCTTCCCTATGTATGTAGGCAGTGTACTCTGTATGTGCTGTGTACATGCGTTTAGATACTCTGGAATGTGTATCACATGCAGAGATGTTGATTTGTGATGCTTGTTTCCTCATATGTACTGTCAACTTTAAACTTGTACTTGTATCGTGTATTCTTGGCAGGTACTCCTATATTCACTCCTAGGGGTACTCTACGAGCAAGGCATGAGTGGGAGTATTATGTAGAAAAGAGAAAAGATAGAGATAACTGAAAGAATCGATATCTACTGAATTGCAATGCAAGAGATAGATTGATATAGACTATAGAGGTAACCGAGATAGAGTGTACTGTATTGTAAAGGAACTCCGGGGTTCCCCCGTCTGTCCTCAGTAAGTATCGGGCATTATTGTACTCTGAGTACAAAGTAGTTCAGCTACTCAGTTCAGCAGGACAGGAGGTCTTGTGTTCTTTTCTTCTTCGCCTCTTCGATCTTCTCCTTTATCCTTTGCTCATCCTATTGTCCCTAACACTTTACTCTCTCTCTGTCACCCTTCACTCTTTATACACACTGACAGACCGGGATAGGACGGGGGCTCTTGCGTTCGTCGCGATCAGTCGTTCCCTTGTGGCCCTTCTTACGGAGCACTACTACGGAGTCCTACTACGGAGCGTTCCCAGTTATTTCGCTTCTTCTTCTTTGTCCTCAAAGGTTCTTCTCTACTTCTTTATAATCATATCTCTTTCTCTTGATTTATTTTTGAATAATCTCCGATTTGCTCTTGAGATCCTCTGCTCCCCTTTATATCTACCGTCCGCCCCTAATATTCATTCGATCCGTCCTCTCGCCCGGGAGAAACTTACTTTTTCTTTTGTTTTTTTTTTTTTTTTTGATCTGGCACATGCTTCTTGTCGCATGATCCTGTCGCTTCCGAATCTCGAACCTCAATCGCCTATTTTATCCCATCCTCTCGTCTCGCCGTGAAACAATAATAATAATCATAATAATACAAAGGAGAGCGTCGCGCCACGAGCCTGCCCAGCGGCTGCTGCAGGTCGACAACCCACCGCATCATCTGGCAGCCCCCATATGAATGGTAATTCCGGTGCTATGTCTCCTGTCTCCGTAGACGGGAGCGACTGGTCCGGTATCAACGGTTATCAGAAATCCGAGCCGCCGTTTTCCCCGACCTTCTCCAACCGCAGCAACCTAGCCACGCCCCCGACTTCCGGTGTCCCCAGCGGTTCTCTCGGCCCCAATGGAATGAACGGAAACACAACAAGTGCGTTGTCAAATGGAGGATCGTCTGGCCGGTTGAGCGACTCGGGGAACCCTTCGCCTCCGAGCTCGGTCGCCGGCGCGCGGTCTAGTGATGGTTTCGGGGACCAGCGGAGTCGGAGATATAAGCAGATGGAAGAGGTGTTGGGGCAGCATTATTCAGTTCTGAAGAGGTTCTTGCATGGGCCGTATCTGGATGATCGGGCGAGCAAGTCGAATAAGGCGCGGGATAAGTTGCTTAGGTTATCGGCGACTCAGTTTCATGAACTTAGTACCGATGTCTACGATGAGTTGCTGCGCCGGCAGCAGGCTATGCCCTCCCCCGGGAGACCTCCGCGCTCTGACATTCCCCCTTTCCTTCCGCCGCGAGAAGATTTCCATGAGAAGCGCAACCAGGCTAGACAGAAGCTGGCATCGCTCCAGCATGGGCGATTTAGGGACCTAGCAACAGATGTGTTTTGTGAATTAGAGCGCCGGTTTCCTCAATTTCCAGAGAGAGAATCTCGTCGTGCGAGTCCGGCCCCGAGTTTCCGTGGTCGTCCGTCAAATGGATACGGAACTCCGAATGGTTATCCTCCACCACCCGGTGCTCGACGGTCGCAGTCTCGTGGCCCAAGTCGCATGGGACGAGGTTATTCCTCTGGCAGTCCGGGTAGCCCGATGAGTGGCGGGTATCCTCCGCGCCAGGGGTCACTTGGTGGTCCGCCGCCGGGTCCTAATGGAGAGCCCGCGCCGTTGCCAAAATCCTTCCAGAGCAACACGATTGTGCCGAATAAGAGTACCATGGTGGAGGATGATGACGACGCGGTTGGTACGGAAGATGATTTTGATGCGCGGAGCGATGCTTTTGGTCTGGAGGGGGTTTTGAGCAGGAGAGATACTACTACGACGTTTGGTGATGGGGAGAGGAATCAGACACATGCCTCGACATTGCAGGAGAAGGTGGAAGCGCTGGAGGAGTTGGTTCGGATAAAGGATGAGCAATTGGCCAAGTATCAGAATGGTCAGGACAAGTCTGAGGTATGTACAGTCTTGATCCACTCATCCGTATATCTACTAACTGGCACAGGCTACCGATACTGAACGGCAAGAGTGGGATGGACTAAAGTCGGAGCTGGAGAGCAAGATTTCCAAGGCAGAGGGTCTGAACAGCTCTCTTCAGCTTGAACTGGAAAAGGTTCGCACAGAACAAGATACCGTGGAAAAGGACCTTCGCAGCCAACTCGATGCATCACGACAAGGCTCCGGCGACTCTGACCTGCAAGCTCGATTTGCGGATCTAGAGATCCAGCATAAAACGCTACAGACCGAACTGGAGGAACAGCAACAAGTCACGGAAGAAGTCAGACAGGAGGCATCAACGTTCCTCATGGAAATGAGAACTCTGTCAGAACAAAGCCATTCAAACTGGGAGCGCGAAGAACAACTGTCCAGCAACGTTCATCGACTGGAGGAAGAAGTCAAGGAATGGAAGACCCGATACGCCAAGGCTAAGACCCAACTGCGGCATCTGCGCGCCTCGTCTGTCGGTATCTCGGACTCTCGTCCGGACGTTAGCAGCATCGTGGCAAAGGACCATGAGTTGATGCAGGAGCACGGGTTGATCAAGGACGTACACGTGACGAAGTTCCAGATTTCCATCGACGAACTGCTGCGGATTGCGCGGTATGACGAGCACCACTTGGTTATGCAGCAGGTCAAGACGGTTGTCATTTCTGTCCGGTACATTATGCAAGACGTCCAAGTGGCAGAGCCTGAAGATAAGCTGCGTACCAAGGCTACGCGCAAGGTCTCTGCGACGGCTAACAACCTCATCACGGCATCGAAGAACTTTGCCAACTCGAGCGGTCTTTCTCCCGTGTCTTTGTTGGATGCAGCTGCATCGCATCTGTCGACGGCTGTGATTGAGATCATTCATCTTGTTAAGATACGGGCTAGTCCGGCGGATGAGCTTGAGGATGTCGATGTCGAAGAAGATATTACGCAGCTGAAATCGCCGGATTATTTCAGCGTGGCGCCTAGCCAGAGCAGGTTCAGCAATAACGAGTCTATTTACAGTGCCATTCGTCCACCGTCTGAGCAGTCTCGTGGTCTTTCGACCTCGAATATTGCGTTGTCGGATAACGGGGTGAATGGAGTTTCGAATGGAGTGGCAGCTGAGACGAGGTTCAATTATGCTACTACCAACGACCATGAACTTCAGGAAGTCAAGGTAAGCATGCCGCGAAACAAGATTTGAACATCCTGCTAACTAGAACAGCTCTACGTCGAAGACCAAACAGATGGCCTCGTCCAATCCATCCAATCCCTCGTCGCCAGTATCCGCGCCGAAGCAGACCTCTCCACCATCAGCACCCACATCTCCGCCATCTCCTCGGTAGTAACAAACGTTACCTCTTCCACAAAACACCTGATCCACAAACCCGACGTGAACCCTGCCCTCCGTGAACGCTCCGATCCTATCATTCAAAACTTGGACTACCACCGAAGTCGTCTTGTGGATACGGCCGCGGAGGGAGAACATGTCTCGAGCTTCGAGCAGTTCCGCGAGGTTACGAATAAGCTCCCGCCTATTGCGTTTGAAATCGCTCGCGAGACGAAGGAGTTGGTACAGCGGTTGAATCCGATGCAGTATGAGGAAGAGGAGGATGATTTCCGGTGATGTCGTTTGATTTAACTGACATCCAGTACAGTACCAGCATGTAAATGCTGTTTTCTTTCTTCTTTCTCGCTTGTTCATATCTTCGTCAACCTACTTATCATGCATGACCATGAGCAACCATGTGAAATGATTGTTGAATTGGGCAAGCTTTGCTCAATTCGTCTTTTTTTGTTTTCTTCTTGAACTGTATTTTATGCACTGTTACTTATTTTCTTCTCTTAGCGTGTTTCGTTTACCCGTCGCTGCATTGCATTTACTTCTACTTTTTTGTTATAGAGTATGATTTGGGAGGCTAAAATAATAATACGAATTCAGTAGTTACATCCGGCAACCCGCTCACGTGACTGCGGGTTCATTTTCCCTCCGGCTACTCCGTACTCCGTAGATAATCCGGTGTTCTTTTCCGACTTTTTATTCCTTGGTGCCTTTTTGTATATCTGGTCTCTTTCCAGTTGGTTCTCTGTCAGTGAATTGATCCTATACCCCGTACAGAGTAAGTAATCCTGAATGCTGTTCAATTGCCTCATGGCGCCATGCACTGTTTTCTATGGCCTTCCACCACAGCCCATAGCCACCCGCAAGATATCGTGGATCACGTGACTAACCAGACCAGCCCCTCCAACCCCGCAACAATGTTTTCCCGCGGCCTGAGGTCAATAACCACCACCCCACCTTGCTCGTCCTCGACTCTTCGTCCCCTCTCCTCCATCCTCAATTGCAACCAGCCTTCTTTCTTGTCTCTTCGCAAATTCTCCAACTCCACCGCCGCCATGTCTGCTGATACCAAGGCTTTCTTCGACGTCCAGTACGCCCCTGTGGGCTCTAGCACCCGTAAGTTTCTCTTGTTTGGAAAGGAGGGGCAGGGAATTTTCGTGCCCCTCTTTCATCTTGACGATTCTCTTCGCTACAATTACAATTCATATATTGACTGTCATTTCCTACAGCCAAGACTGGCCGCATCGTCTTCAACCTCTTCGATAGCGTCGTCCCCAAGACCGCTGAGAACTTCCGTCTGCTCTGCACTGCTGACCCCGGCCAGGGTTACAAGGGCTCTGGCTTCCACCGTATCATCCCCCAGTTCATGCTTCAGGGTGGTGACTTCACCCGCGGCAACGTGAGTCCTCTATATATTCATCTACATCTTCATGAGTGAGACCGACTGACAATAATAGGGTACCGGTGGCCGCCCCGCCAAAGGTGATAAGTTCGCCGACGAGAACTTCCAGCTCAAGCACAACAAGCCTGGTCTCCTCTCCATGGCCAACGCTGGTCCTAACACGTACGTTTTTATCCAAAAAAAAAAAAAAAAAAAAAAGAGCTAGGCTAGATACTAACGGCTTGCAGCAACGGTTCTCAGTTCTTTATCACCACCGTTGTGACCTCTTGGTTGGACGGCAAGCACGTTGTTTTCGGTGAGGTCGCTGACGATAACTCCTACAAGGTCGTCAAGGAGATTGAAGCTGTTGGCAGCAGCAGCGGCGCTGTCCGCTCTGCTGTCAAGCCCACCATTGTTGACTCTGGTGCGCTCTAAACGGTTTATCTCTAGAATAGTTAGTTAGGCAGTGTAATCTAACGAATCCACCATGTTGTGTTTGTGTCCGTAGTCTGTACAATGTAGATGTAGTACTCTGTATGTACATAAAGTAATACTCTGTACGTGGGGTCAACCCCGCCTTATATGAAGTCATATGAATGGTTAACCGGAATGCGTGTCCTCGGGATGCTGACAGCCCTAACCTATCCTGGGAATACAAGTACTATGTACTGACAAGGTATTTGCATTAACATTAATATGGACTAGAAGTGCAGCATGCAGGAACTATCGTACATCCTATATGCCCGGAGTACGGACAAGGGTACAAAGTACTAGATGAGACCTAACCACGATACTCAAACAACGACAAACAAACACAGTTCATTCACCCACAACACCCAGTAACAGCAGTCGCATCATTCCTATAGTCATTAGCAACCTTTACACCTCCCAAACAACAAGCAACAAGGTAAGAAGGGAACTCACTCATTCTCCGCAAGCCCCAACGGCTCCCACGAAAAGATAAATGCGCCCAGAAACGCCCCGATAAATATACATATGATAATATACCCGTTGAAGTACATCGCAAGCAACATGATGAAATACGCCACGGCGAATTGCAGCATGTGCAGTAGAGCGCGGATGAGTTGTTCGATGAGCGTTGGGCGGATTATCCCGCTTCCGTTTTCATTTCCTAGGGTTTGTGTCTGCGTTTGCGGTTGGGTTGTGATGGGTGTTGCGGTTGTTTTGGTATCCTGGTTTTGGGATTGGGATTGCTGTTGTTGATGTAAAGCAGACGATGAATTCGAGTTCGACGATGAAGGCGAAGATTTCCCGCCGGCGCCAACACCACCGATTCCGTTTCCAGTTGTAGAAGCAGAAGGGGAGAGGAACTTCGCGCGCAGTCTCGCCCTCTTCACGATAAACGCATCATATTCCCTCCCAACTCGTCGCAGAAACTCGAGGATCAGCACGAGACAGATCACCCCGATACACGAGCCCGCGAACATCCCGCGCGAGGTGATGTGCCATGATTTAGCGAGGAAGCCTTTTTTCTCATTAGTATTTTCTCGTTTGGACAAGTATATTTGGGAGGGGTTGAATAGAATATGGGGGGGGGGGGGGTTTGGGGCAGGGGACGTACACGCATCAATAGTATCCCAGTTCCAGAGCATCGACACCTTGCACGATCCCGTGCCCATGTCCATGTCCATTCCGCCCATATCCATGCCTCCCATGTCCATTCCGGTGCTGGAGCTCATGGCGGAAGAAGCGGTTGCGGTAGCGGTGGAGCTCATCGTCATGGACATGTCCATGTCCATTTTGGTGGTGCTGGAGTTGAAGTCGTGGGTGAGAGGGAGGAAAAAGAGGAAGAGGAAACATCAGAGAAAAGTAGTACAAACATCACGACGTGTGATTGTGTATCCATGCTTATTTAAAAAAGCAATTGTCGTATTAAATAAACGACCCCGGTCGGGCCAAGTCCACCGGTGCGATCGGCCGCGGGAGTTAAAGAACATTTGAGCACATTTTCGGCCTGTCAGATCTGGGTATTTTACTGCACATAAATGAACTAAACTACCGGCCTTTAACCACGCCATCCAACACCTCCCGAATCTGCTTACACCCATCAATCCCAACTGCCAGCATCGTCTCGATATACGTACAATGCACCTTGGAATCCATATTCAGCATCGACACCTTCATCTCCTCCTCTTCCGGATCCGCCTCGTCCATCGCGATCTCACCGACCGGCACAGCAGTCGTCGTACCAACGGTTAAAAACGGCAATTCCTGCTCCTCCGGCAGCGAAAGGTCCAGTAACGGGTCTAGCGAGTCTTCGTCGGGATCGCGGGGCGTCGACGCACTCCCGCTCATGCCTGCCGTGCAGCCGCAGAGGAGGCCGGGCATGGGGATTCCGGCGTCGACGAGGGCGAGCGTGCAGGCGTTAATTGCGGCGGCGAGGAGGGAGCCGTCGGATGAGAGGACGGAGAGGTGGATGTTGATTGTGCTGTGAGGGTAGAGGTAGGTGTGTAGGTGGGATTGGAAGGCGGCGCGGAGGGTTGTAGCGATGCGTGAGGATTGTCTTTACACGTAGATTAGCAACGATCACCATAACCACCATCACCGTAGAATAGACAGAAAGAAATAAACATACCGATCACTCCCCCCAACCCTCCTCTTCCGATCAACGCCCGCAAACCCAGCAATATTCACATCAACCTCGACAATCGCCTCCGCAGAACCCGCCGCACCACCTGCAGAACCATCGCCTCGCCGTCCCTCTGCCGGTCCGTGAACGGAGCACATTATCGCCGTGTTGCCCATGCATAGGTACGAGGAGCCGGAGCTGGCTGGGTTGGTGGAGATTTGGGCTTGTAGGAGACGGAGTTCGTTCCAGCGGCGGCCGTCGAGACGGAGTTTGGTGAGGGGGTATGTTGTTGATGTGTCGAGGGGCATGATTGCGGTTTTTGGTGATTATTCCAATTCAATTCGTGGAGTCGTGATGTTGATGTGGTGAGGGAGGAAATTTTGGTTGCGGGGAGTGTCACGGAGATTTCACTGTCGCGATCGCGAATCGAGGAGCATGTACTACTATGTAGAGATGCCCAGTAGGATATCGAGTATAGAGATCCCTGTAAGAAACAAAAAGAAGACAGAAAGTAACAGGCAGTAGTGGTGTCACAGTTGCAGTGACAGTCGGCGGACAAAATCAGCTCCAGCTCTGTTTCCCGTTCGGGAATAATGCCGCCTTCTCCAACGCGCCTGATAACAGCCACAGTCACAACCACTTGAACACAATGGGCGGCAACTGGGAGTTACTGGACTCAGACGCCTCAACAGTTGACTGCGATGAAGACGACGATGATCTGGAGGCCGTGTATCCTGCGAATCCTTCGCGCCCAGCTGCAAATCGGGGTATGTCATGTTGCGCCGCGCTTCAACATCTATTGGCTAACACATTCTTGGTAGATCATGTTCCTATCAAGCATGAGGTTCAGACCCCACCTAAACGAGCCCCTGTTAAAAACGAAATCCCCTCCTCGCCCTCCGTGAAAGAAATCCAGCCACCAGCCCCCGCCATACAACTCTCCGATACACACTCCGAATCCGACGACGATGATGATCCCGACATCAACGAAGGCGAAATCGCCTACCAGAATTTCAAAAACCGCAAGTCTGCCAAACGGAAACGAGCCTCGACAAGCGCACGCAAGTCCAAGTTCCCCAGAGATGGCACCGGCCAGCAGTCGAGGAGGGAAGAGAAGAAGCCACGGCGCCATGGTCACAAGGAATACAAAGAGGACCGGGTGTCGTCGGAAGATGATGGCATGGAGCATACCCTGCCAGACTACGTACACAAGCGAAAGGCGCAGTTCGACCGGAAGACGGAGCTCCTACAGCAATCAGGGCTCAAGTTGCCTCCTGACTACGAGGACGTCGACTTCTCTGATGATGAGCGGTTAGCGCATCTAAGGGAACGGCCGGGGTTTACCACGATGAAGCCATGTCGGCCGTACGAGGATATCACACTTCCGTACTCGCTGGGGCTTATCCCTGCTCCTATCGCGCAGTGGTTGAGACAGTACCAGGTGGATGGGGCTGCTTTTCTGCACGAGCTTTTCATTTACCAGAAGGGTGGTATCTTGGGCGATGATATGGGTCTAGGAAAGACAGTGCAGGTCATCGCCTTCCTGACAGCCGCGTACGGGAAGACAGGCGACGAGCGAGATGCGAAACGCATGCGGAAGATGCGTCGCAGCGGACAGGAGAAATGGTATCCTCGAACGCTGATCGTGTGCCCCGGAACGTTGATACAGAACTGGAGGTCTGAGCTTAACCGCTGGGGCTGGTGGCATGTTGATGCGTATCATGGTGAGAATAAGGAGTTGGCTCTGCAGGCTGCCCGGTCTGGGAGGGTTGAGATACTCATTACGACTTATGGGACTTATCTGCAGAATAGGGATGCTGTTAATATGGTTGATTGGGATTGTGTGATTGCGGATGAGTGCCATGCTATCAAGGAGCGTCGGTCTGAGACGACGAAGGCTATGAATATGGTTAACGCTCTTTGCCGGATTGGGTTGACCGGTACCGCCATTCAGAATAAGTACGAGGAATTATGGACACTTTTGAACTGGACGAATCCTGGCAAACTTGGCCCGGTGACCACATGGACGAAGACGATTTCGGAGCCTCTGAAAGTAGGCCAGTCGCACGATGCCACTCTCTACCAGCTCAGCAAGGCCCGCAAAACTGCCAAAAAGCTAGTCGAGAATCTCCTCCCTCAGTTCTTCCTCCGACGCATGAAGACATTGATTGCGGATCAACTCCCCAAAAAGAGTGACCGCGTCGTCTTCTGCCCTCTGACAGACACCCAAGCAGATGCCTACGAGAACATTCTGACCTGCGATATCGTCAGCTATATCAAAGACTCCTCCGACTTATGCGATTGCGGATCAAAGAAAAAAGCCGGCTGGTGCTGCCACCAAACCCTTCCCTCAGGCCAACGATGGCAAAGTTACGTCTTTCCAGCTATCGCGGTTCTGCAGAAACTCAGCAACCACCTCGCTATCCTAATTCCCCAAGGCGCCGACGTAAAAGAGAAGCAAGATAAAGACAAAGAAATGCTAGAAATAGCCGTTCCAGATCAGTGGGATAAACTAGTCCGCACGCGAGACTCTATCGTCAACTACGCGAATCCTGAATTCTGCGGGAAATGGAAGGTCCTGCGCAAACTGTTAAAGTGGTGGCACTCCAACGGGGATAAAGTACTTGTCTTTTCGCATAGCGTACGGCTTCTTAAAATGTTGCAGATGCTGTTTCATCATACTAGCTACAATGTTAGCTATCTGGATGGTTCGATGAGTTACGAGGACCGGACTAAGGTCGTTGACGAGTTCAATTCCGATCCGCAGCAGTTCGTCTTCCTCATTTCGACGCGGTCTGGCGGAGTCGGGTTGAATATCACATCAGCGAACAAGGTCGTCGTGGTCGATCCGAACTGGAACCCGTCGCATGACCTGCAGGCTCAGGACCGGGCTTATCGTATTGGTCAGAGTCGAGACGTAGAGGTTTTTCGACTCATTTCTGCTGGGACGATCGAGGAGATCGTCTATGCGCGACAGATCTACAAACAGCAGCAGGCTAACATCGGGTACAACGCCAGCAGCGAACGACGATATTTCAGTGGTGTTCAAGAGAAAAAGGACCAAAAGGGCGAGATCTTCGGCCTGAACAACCTCTTCGAATACCAAAACAACAACGTCGTCTTACGGGACATCGTCAACAAAACCAACGTCGCAGAAAGTCGCGCGGGCGTAAGCGTCATGGGCGTCCAACTAGACGAAGAAGACGAAGATAAACCCTTCCCCAACCCAACGAAACGAAACTTCGACGACGACGACGACCAAGTCATGAGCCAACTCGCGGCCGCCATGATCCGCGGCGATACAGACACGCCTCCAGCGAAGAAAGAAGAAGATAACGACGAGAAACAATTCATGAAAACACCTAAAACGAAACACGACCCCATCGAAGCCATCCTCACCGGCGCAGGCGTCGAATACACACACATGAACAACGAAGTCATCGGTTCCTCCAAAGTCGAAAAACACATCTCCCGCCGCGCACAACTAGCCGAAGAATCCACCGCCAACGCAAACGTGCACGCCTTCCTTTCCAACCTCGACTCCCAGGACAATACCTTTACCCTCCCAGATCCAAGCACCACCAACGGCGATAATGATACGAAAGACGGCGACCCCCTCCGCTTCGAGTACCACCCGCCGTCGGATGTCATGAAACGGCAGTTCTGCAGTATGGCGAGGAGGTTTGGGTTTCCGAATGCGACGGAGTTTGCGTTGGTTGTGGAGAGTATGACGCAGGCTCAGAGACGGGCTTGTTTGGAGAGGTGGTATGGGGAGAGGAGGGAGAGGCTTTTGGGGAGGTGATTGTGCTATGAGGAGTTGTGAGGAATTGCTTTTTGCTAGGTGGATACTTGTTACGGGTGCTATTTGATCACGACTAATGGCTATACAGGGTATAATAACCTATACTTATACAACATCCATGGAGGTACCCGGCCAAACAGCCCTATCAACACCAATCCCGGTCCCGGCAATAAACTCTGGCCCAACAATCTCGTCTTATACGCGCAACCGGCTTCACCTGGATAAAAGTCGCACCCACGTCCCCGACGTCCTTGGCTTAAATAACACCGGAAAACAGCGTCTACGCTCGTGCTGTGGTAGTAGTGAAGACGAGGCCGTCGTATCCATAGCTATGTCGGCGGGATGGGTTCGCAGGAGCGGACAAAGCATTGGAAGTAGTAGTTTAGAGAGATTTGGACGTTCATGTCAAGGCTAGTTCTTCTGGAGACCGGTGCTTTTTGGACTAAGGTGTCAGGAATGGACTGTTCAGATAGGCAGACATAATAATGCATCACGACTTATGACTTCACCATACTGTATCATGCTATAGACCACAGCAGCGCAAATCAAAGCAGAACCAACAGAGCAAGTAAAAATAGCAGACAAATTGAGAAATAATATATTCCACTTTAATTTGCTCGTCGAAAATAAAACGCGGGTTGTAATGTTATCCCAACCATTCCATACCCTGCCGCCTCCAGCTCTATCAAGTCGTCACATCACCTCTCTTGCTTCCCTGCTGCCTCCACGGCTGCCTCCAGTTCCCTATTTCTCGCCTCCCACCTCTCCCTCTCTCCCATCCTTCTTCTCTCCTCCTCACACATCCTCACCACACCGTCCATCCTCACCATATCATCCCCTCCCATCCCAAATCTCACCGAGCCTTCCACGGACGGCAGGATAGGACCTGGGAGATGGGTTTGGGAGGGTAGAGCACGAACAGTGCTCTGGTTAGGTTGGGTGGCGTGGCGTGCACCTGTCCTCTGGTAGGGAGGCTGGTACGGTTGGTCTGCTGGCAAAGCACAGCATAGTATAGTACAGTGCAGTACAGTACAATTAGATAGCTCGAGCTTCTCGCCGTGGTGCGAGATGTTTGAGTGATCTGGTTGTTTGTTCTGTGCTGTGTTCTGCCAGTGGGACCACGGCCGTGCTGGTCGACTGATCAAGCTTGTGGGAGTTTTACATCGAGTTATCCGGTATCTGGACAGCAGGCTGTGCTTAGTGTTCTCGATATCCGGGTGACTTGGTGGTTTGCCTCTTGCAGTAAGTCCTGGTCGGGTGGTGGGTTGGGTCTGGGCACACACGCACATACACAGCTCCGGGTGAGCTGTGTTTCGTGCTATACTGACCACAGTACAGCAATCGGCCCTTGGAGGGAGGCTGGTACGGTGTCTGGTCGGCTAGCACGCAGTGCATCCAGGAGCCTTGTTACCTGAGGCAGGGTGGGTGGCGGTTCCAAGCAATCCTGGATCACTTTGCTGCTAATGGGCCCTGGACATCATACCAGCCAACTGATCAGGCATGTGCAGGGTTTCGTCTCGGAAGTAAGTCCTGGTTGGGTGGTGGGTTGGGTCTGGGACACACATACACGGCTCGAGCTGTGTTTCGTACTGTACTGACCACTGGTTAGTACAGCAACCGGCCCATGGAGGGAGGCTTGTACGGTGGTGGTCGACTGGCTCATGGGACTCAGGGAGCTCGAGCATCTCGCCGCGGTGGGTAGGCGGGTTGAGCGAGATGCTTTGAGCACCTGGACGTCCTGTGTGTCCAGAGACCAAGCGGCCGTGCCTGCCGACTGATCAGGCCTGTACAGGGTTCCGTCTCGGCAGCAAGTTCTGATTGGGTGGTTGGGTTGGGCCTGGGCACACATCACACACAGCTCTGGGTGGGCGGGTTAGAGGAGCTGTGTTTCGTACTGACCACTGGTCAACTGGCCCTTGGAGGGAGGTTGATGATGGTGCTGGCTCACAGTGCATCCAGGAGCCTTGTTACCTGAGGAAGGGTGGGTGGGTGGCGGTTTCAAGCAACCCTGGATCAGTGAGCCCAGTTCACCGTCTCAGCCGACTGATCAGGCGTGTGCAGGGTTTCGTCTCGGCAGTAAGTCCTGGTTGGGTGGTGGGTTGGGCCTGGGATAATGTGCTGTACGGTGTAGTTGTCCATATACTCTAGTGTTGTGATAACGCGCCGGCCAGAGAAAGTAAGTAAAGCAACCCCGTGTCGAGATGGACTGTTGCTAACGAAATACGAAAACAGAAACGACAAAACAGAACAGGCCCCGGTTGGGTGGAGGGACGGGCCTGGGCTAAACTGCTTCATTGCTGCTTATGCATCGATTCCCAACAAGGGTATGGACTCTGAGATACCTTTAGCGTACTAACAGCCCTGAGCACCGCCCTGATGCTTGGCCACCCCTCCCCCCATCAACGTGTCCCGGCAGCGCCGGGGGCTTGGAGGGGGGGAGCGAACCAAAGAGCGGTGCTTGTCTCGACGACCGATGCTCAAGATACTTTGCCAGTCGGTGCAGTAGTCCTTTCGAGTTGGGTTAATGCTGGAATTGAGAATTAAGCTGAACCATGATTGTATTAAGTCGTTATGCACATAGGGTATTTATGCTGAACTAGAATAATAATAAAAAAATATCAAAGTCCTATAACCAAGCCAAAGTCCACAACGCCGGCAAATTCGTCCACTTCTCCTGCCACGCAGCCAGAATCTCAGGAACCTTCTCATCGAAACTCCGACGCGCTTCACCATTGCCATTCTCCCAGCCCTGGTCCCCATTCGCTTTACGCTCCAGGGCAGCAGCCTCGTTGAGTTTATTGGCTAGTTCGAGAATGGCCTTGCCCCCCACCAGAGCCTCCTCGTGGTTATCCTTGATATCGACATTGAATACATGCACGGGTCGGTTAAGCACGGAGCCTTTATTCATGAGATCGTCGACGACGGCGTCCCAGCACCGCTCCTCGCAGGTGATGATGACATCCACGACGCCGCCCTCGGTGCCGATAGCGCCCTTGTCACCCTTGGAAACGTGATCGACGCGCGGCGCGCCAGGCACCCAGTCCTGGAAGCGCTCGGGGCCCCATTTGAGGTTGCGGTTGCGCTCCAGCATGTTCAGGAGGCCATTACTACGGTACAGCCGTTCGTCCTTGGAGAAGAGCTCTTCATACATCTGGGAGTACGAGGTTGAGTTGAAGTTGTAGACGTTGGGTTGGGTGATGGATGGTCCCGGGAGGCGGACGAGCGAGCCCGTTCCGAAGGAGACGACGGGGAAGGGAGATGTCGCCGTTGAGAGACGGAGGTGAGCCTCCATTGACCGGTTTTGATTCGAGGCACATACTGTGCAGAACTTGAGCTTGTACGAGTCGGATGCGGCTGGTGTCACATCTGCCGGCTGGGACTCGGGGCCGTTGTCGTTGGCTGTCTCTGCACAGGCACTCTCCGGAGGAGGGGGTGGAGGAGGTGGGGGAGTGGCAGTCCCTGTGTGTGCCAGGCGAGGATCATGGGCCATGGTTTATGTGAAGATAGATAGAAGGTGCAAGGTAAAAGTAAAATTAAAAGGGATAACACGGGTTGACACCCGAGATGCAGAATCAGGGAGGTTGGAAAATGTGTTCACTATCTCCTAGCAACGACTGACTGTTAATTAGCCTCAATTCATACCAGAAATGACAAGGTATGCAGTGAATAAGAGAAAGCAACGATTCAGAAAGATGAAAAGCGTATAATATGTTTATCCGCATTGTGTGCTAGGACAGCTCCAATAAGAGGATCATCATGATACTACTGGGGGAAGATGGATACTACAAGATTGAGCACGAACATACCTTAGAGAAACCGTTCATCATCTGAAATCACGAGAATTGGTGGTGTAAAGAAAGGGCCGCAGCCCTCCGAGAGAAGTGAAGAAGAACTTTTCAAAGCTGGAGAGTTGCGGCTGAGCTTTTTATGTTCGGTCACGTGTGGCTGAGTCAGATATTGTACTAACGTAATCGACCACCGAGCTGGCCAGCGAAAATACCCATACAAAATGCCATATTTTAAACCATCATATCTCAACGTTCTTTGTAGACACAGAATGGATGGTTTGAAATTAAAAATGATAAAGGTCACTATAATAAATGTCACCAATTTTAAGCCATTTGCTAAGCTAGTTATCATAATAGTATAAATTACAATGTAATATTGAGGTAAGAACAAAAGATAGGTATTAAAAAGACAGTATAGGTATAATTTATTTCAAAATTAACTCGATTTACTCTGTACTGATGTGACGGTTAGCAGGCGCCGTTTTTGGAGTCCTGCTAACCAGATCCCGTCTTGGCATCAGGTGAGCGTATTGCCACGGCCACGGGCTTTCCCTCCACGCCAGGCCGCGGGTTTCATGTCTCTTGACGCTAGTTTCGAATGGGACTTTTGTTACTATTCTGTTCAACATCATCTATCTAGACTCTCGCTGCGGTCGCTGCAGAGAGGAGCCGTTTTTGGCTCCCCCTCGACCATCATGTTCTCCCCAGTTATAAGTCCCATCCTGCCGACCGTGTCCTTCCCTGCTTCCATCCTTCCTCCCATGAGCATCTCAGTGCTTCCTATCCTTTTGAAGTCTTTCCTTGTCCACAAAACTGCTGTTATCCTCACCTTCTTTATTCCTACTCCAGGATTTCCTTTGTTTCCCAGTTCCCCACAGGCTGTGTCGACCATGGCGCCTCGCTCCTGACCGGTCAGATCTGATGACAAAGAGAATCAGAGCGATGCCAGCTCTGACCTGACTGAGATCTTTTTAGACAACAGATCTGATAGTGACTCCACTAGCGACCTGGAACTTGATAGTGAGGATTTGAATTATGAAGATGAACCTGGTGATGATATCTGATGATGAGGGCCAGCTGCCTCATGAACACTATTTGGCCCAAGCAGAGAGCTTGCATGTCTCCCAGCTTCGACAGCAGCAGTACAGTGATGTCACTCAGGAAAGACTTGATGAGACCTGCATGTACTGGAATAGGTAGATAACTCTTGACCCTCAAGCTATGTTGAAAGCTCACTGGTGGATCCCTAGCAGATATTGTTGGTACATTGGTGTTTGTCACGGGCTCGGAAATAGTAGATACTGACGAAATGATATTCCTATCTAAACTATTGTAGCCATCGACGAGAATATCGAGTCTGGAGAAAGAAAAGAAGAGGAAACCTATCTAAAGGATGGAGGGGTTTCTTATAACCGCCGTACGGCAGGGTTATACTCATGTCGGTGTCGTCTGTCATTATTAGTCTTATACGTAGTGTCGAGCCGTATGGGCGACGTCAAGCCGTATACACGACGTCAAGATGTCAAGCAGTCACAGTGTTGATCCGGTACAGCACTGGACAGTCTGATTCCTGTATGCATTTTTCAGCCGGCAGTGCAATATCCATTGCAGCAAGAATGATCAGCACTCAATTGTTTATTTTCTTGAAGCCGGATTTCACAAAGAGGTTCCTTGGGAAGAAGGGTGCGTAGGTGTTCTTATTCTCATAGCTCCTTGGGAGCCTGTCAGCTGATGGAATTGGATAGGAATGAGTTTAAGATCCCAGAAATCATCTTTGATCTGACTCTGGTCCTCAGTCCGCATGTATGCTTGCTGAGTATGCTCTTTCATATCAAAGGCTTCAAGAAGATCTCTACAACTGGGCCAGTACTGGATTCCCCAGAGAAACTTTACATCCTTGGGGTACTGGACGGCAAGGGACAGCAGGAACTAAAACAAAAGGATGAAATACTAGATAAATTTGTGTTCTGCCAGGTGGAGTGGGAAGCTGCTGGATATTAAATTGCCTTGAAGAAGAGACTGACGGTGTCTGTGGTACAATCACAGATGCATTGAGGCAGTGAGACCACAGGCTTTGATCAAGTCACTAGACTGTACCTCCTTCAATACACTGGAGCCAAGGAATTCAACAGCAGTGGTGAGTTTTCATCAGTTCTTCAGCTAGTTGGGTAACTAACCCTATGGATAGAAGAGGTTACTGATGCTCTCCAAAACATCATCCTACAGCATGCAGATATCCACACCTTCATCCAACATTATGAGGTGGATGTTGATGTTGATGTTCAGGGCATCATCTGCAAAATGGGTTCTCAAACACTGTTGGTGCATTTTGCATGCTCCTTGAGTGCCTCAATTGACCCAAATTAACTGTATAAACTCTCTCTAGAAGAATCCAAGTCCCTCAATGAGCTCCCTGTGGTTCGTGCACGGCAGGACACAGTAAAAAAATACAAGTGGAACTGGGAAGACCACAAAGCCAAGTTAGACCGTGCCATTATGGCATGTCAAGCCGCCTTTGGCCACCTTGATGAAGGAGCGCTTTCCAAACACCACCGTCATTTACAGGAAAAACTGGAACTTTTCCAGGATTGGACAATGGAAGCAAAACAGAAGTATAACAAAGTTGTCCATGAACTGCGTAATGAGAAGCAACGACAGCGGAGATGATGGATCCAGGAGAATCTAGAGTGGTATAGCAATGAGCAACCCATGATTGACCTTGAATGGCAGCTGGCAGGGAAGCTGGTGGATACCAAGGTAATGGGGGCTCTAGAGCACAAGGGTTTCATGCCTCCGCAGCATCTAACAGTGATTGACGCGACCTTGAGCATACCGGGTGCCACCCTTGAAGCGGAGTATCAACGTCGGACCAACGCGATTAATGCATATTCGGTCTACATCATCGTACAAAATCCACATTCAAGGTTGCCAAATACTGGACTTAGGCGATTAGTTCCACCGCAATATGTGCAACACCCTTCCGTCCTGTATTAATGACACAACTCACACTTGTAGAGATCGTGTGGTTCTCAAATAGATGTACAGGCTTGATGAAAATGGGTAATTTTCCATTTTCGAGAAATCTTCTTGTGCAACAAGAAGATTCTACTGAAATGGAATAACTTAGTGGGTCGTCTGAATTCTGCCCCAGATCGCTATCCTGTGTTAAGAATTATGGAACACTTCCTGGGTATACTCCGTAGTCTTCTTACATTCTGCCTTTTGCTTAGCAGTCCTGATGTAAGAAGGGCCTGGCTTATGTGCCGCTTAAATTCATATAAAGCTCATTATCACCCAAAGTTCCTGTATCTAGGCTGTCATTGTTTTCGCATATTCACTGGCATAAAGAATTTAGGATAGAGATATAGTTCAATATAGGTCGAGATGCGGAACCAGCGCGCTAAAATTACGTTTCGCTCAAAATACATAGCGGAAATTCTTATCATCATGGACATCTTGTACTTCTCCCTTCTCAGCCAGACGTGTTTCTATCGGGCTACGTGCTGGCATACCCAGCCGATCTGCAGTAGAGTTGCGCCTCCCGTACATAATGCGCAAGGCAGTCGAGACTATGATGGCGGCAGCATTTACAGCGACAATAGTGATTTTTGCCGGAATATACCTAGTGCGACAGTCAGCTAGATCCGTATTGGTCTGATCAGTTCAATGACTTACTGAGGAGCATCCTTGGCCTGGAAAGTTTGGGGTCCAATAATGTTCGCAATGCTGAATCCAGCGGAGACAATCGCTGCACCAGAAACCTACAATAATCAGCAAAGAACTGCATAGCGTGAGGGAGATGATATACCTTCATTGTGTATCCCTTGAAATTGGCACCGGTCCATGCATAAATCAAGGCCAACGGAGCGACAGTCTATCTGGATTAGCCATTCGGACCTACTAAAGATTCTCCGGATACATACCGTGTTGACTAAATAGATGCCCGCTAAGCAACCAGGCTGGTTTGCAGAGGGGAGAAAAGACATCAAACAAGACCCCAGTAGTGTTGGAAGAAGTAGTAAGTCAATTGCCAGCCAACGCGAAAATCCCCTGGAAATTGCGTACGTAGAAACCATAGTCGCCACAATACTCACGACCCCAGAAGGCATGTTAAGTAACGCACTTTCTTTGGAGCCATACCCGAAGCCCTTGATCAAAATCGCGGAGAAGGTTGTGATTACACCGCTTGGGATTGTGATGAGGATAGTGAGCAAGACGAGCAGCCAGGTCTGGAGATCTCCAAATGCCTCAAGAATCGACCACCACCGGAAGACTTTGACACCCACGCCAGATTGATCACCGGTCAGCCGCTGTTCAATGCGCTGCTTTTCCGACTCGTGGAGAAACTTGGCTTCGTCCGGGGTATTTGGGAGGAGGAGTATGACAAGCAATGAAACCAAGACATTAAAAGCACCAATGGCCATGAACATAATGCGCCAGCCACCAAATGGCATATTTGCCGGGGCATGTTGAGCAGCAAATGAGATCAGCCCGCCGATAATCTGCCCGGCGCCCAAGCCACAGTACCAAAATCCGTAACGTGGTGTTGACTCCGCACGGGTATACCACATGCTCGTATACATTGTGAGAGAGGGAGCTGGAAAGGAGTTCATCAGCACAACATCATCGGGTTGTTTTTCAGATTATCTCACCGATGGCAGCCTCCATCAACCCTAGCAGGATTCGCAAGGCGAGCATGTGGGAAAAGTTCTTCGCGGCAGAAGAACAACACAGAATCACACCCCAGCAGAAAATATTGGCCCCAAGCACTTTTGTAACTGGAAACCGCTGCAGAAGAGCCCCTTGGGGAATCTCTGCCACAGCATATGCAATGAAGAAGGCCGTTGCCAGCCAGGAGAAATCATTGCCAGTCATCCCCAAGTCATCCTGGAGACCCATCACATTTGCATACTTGAACTCGTCAGCTGGGAACACATCAATGTTGAAAAAGCATTGTTAATACATTGATGGATAACTTGTCAAGCATCTGTAAGAAATATGTCAAAAACATGATGGGCAAGAGGTGCCAGTCAACCTTGCGGAGCAGCTTCTTGTCGTCCATTGCAATGTTTTCCAGGGCACATTCCTCAGCAACATAATATTTATCAGAGAACTCGAGCTTTTTATCTATCATTTCAAATGCTTTGAAAGTGTGAAGAATATGTGAGGATCAAGGTACAACATCAATCCAAGCATATTGTCGGTTGGCGGATTGGCTTTATGAACGAGCCTACTGTGATGGACTGGTCATATCGTATATGCATGCTTCCTCACGTGCCTGGAAGCAGGGATATAAGCCACGTCATCACTAACAGTGTTCCTTCCCTCCTCATGTTGATTATTCTCGTCGATAGTTACCTAGATAGAACCCATGAGTTGGATGTTCCATTATCCTGGCTCAGCCTGTGACACCTACAGTGGTACAACAGTGGGGGTTCAAGAGTAAATACACCCCCTTTAGTGCTAGTTACACCGCCCTGACTTTTTCCAGTTGAATTCTTCATCACGCACTTGTGGCATTTTTGACTATATGGCTATATTCCAACAAGCCCATGGGCCCTCGCGGCCACGGGAACAGCAGTACAAAAGCAGCAGCACGGGACATACAACATGCGGAATAACATATCAGGACAAGTGTAGAAAAGCGACAGTGTACATAGCGATTACCATTACGGTGGCTTACCCGGCCGCCCCGCAGGACCTGCCGCCACTCGGCCTACAGGGCTGACAGATGCGTGTATGAACAACAATAATAATAATAATAATGGCTATATTCAACATGCCTCGTACACCTGGAGCCAAGGAGCTTGACCCTACTGTACGGGCAAGGATCTGTGAACTTCATGATATTGGCTGGGGCGACAAACGCATCTATAAAAGATATCCGTCCATCTCAATATCTACAATACGCAATACTATCAAGTTGGAGTCCTCTCGTTCTGATCAACGCTCTCTTACTCGATCTGGTGGACCTAAAAAGCTCTCTTCACTTCAAGAAAATGGACTTCTAAAGAAGACAGAAGAAAACGAACATATAAAGATGCATGAACCCCAAGATGCTGTTGATAATAGTGTATCAAAGAGCACTATTCTCACTGCGGATGGCTGGTATACAAAGTATTAAGATATTTGATTGGCTTCACATATTCCTATTCAAGTAGGTGGTATTGGTAGACGGCTATCTGTAAGCATGGGGGGGGGGGTAACTATTTGCTCTTGAACATGCATTGTAGACCAGATATCAGCCTGGATGGGATAACAGCTCAACAAGTTGCCAGAACCCTCTTTCCCCAGACAACCATAGGCGTAGAGTGACTGGCTGTCAGTGCCAAAAGCAAATTACAAAATGGCAAAGATTAGCAGCGGAGAAGCTAAGGGATGTAGCTGTCAGATAGATAATGCCACTTGCCGTTGCTTATCACGAGATACAAGAAGAGGAGAAGCCGATAGAAACAATTGAAACCATGTGATCCAGTGCAATTGAGGAGAATGGTTTTGTTGAAAAGGGAGCATTTATTGTGGAAGATGGGGGTCTTATGGTTTGCAGAAACATCCACCCTTGATTCAAGTCACTATTCCCTCTTGCACTGACTCACCTCTTCAAGTCGCCATGATCGGCGCCGGCCTTGGTGGTCTTGCAGCCGCTGTGTCTCTGCAACGTCAAGGCCATGCTGTTACCATTTATGAGAGATATGATTTTGCGGGCGAAGTTGGCGCGTCGCTCAGTGCGGCGTCGAACAGATCTTGTTTCTTGGAAGAATGGGGAGTCGATATAAAGGGAGCCAAACCAGTAAATATCAAAGAATCCTGCAAGGAATGAATTGATTGCTATTTTCAGACAGTTTGTTCTCAAACAGCTCATGATGCACAATTGGTCTGATGGCAAGATGCAAAGCAAGTACTTGCTTGGTGATTACAAGTCCAAGTTTGGCACAGTAAGTCTCGACTCTGGAGTGAAGGGACAATTGATACTGATAGTGGATAGGATTACAACAACTTCCATCGTATTGACATTCACAAAGAACTCCTCAAGTCAGCTTTTGAGGCGCCTGGGGAGGGCCCAAAGTGCGAATTGAAAGTGAACTTCAAAGTGACGGATGTCAACGCGGAGGATGGTCTTATCTGATTTGAGAATGGTGTTGAAACTTCGGCCGATATTATTGTGGGCGCTGATGGTATCTGGGTAGGGCGGAAAATTGAAACATTGACGTTCCAAAACTGATATTTGAGATACCAGTCTCTCACCCAAAACCAGATCGGGATCACTCCAGACTTTGAAATGTCCACCTCATGCTGCTACCAATGCATTATCGAGGCTGACAAGCTGCGATCTCTTGGCCTGGAAGATTATATTTCAAATGAAGCAATCGAGTACTGGGGCGGATTCAGAATCAACAAGATTGTCATGTCGCCCTGCAGCAACAGCGAAGTCATGAGCTGTTACTGCTTCTATCCAGCATCCTACAACAACATGCATGAGGATGGCTGGAACACCAGTGCTTTGCCGCAGCAGTTGGTGGATACATTCCTGGATCTTGATCTGAGAACGAAGACCTTGATGCTGAATGCCGAGGATATTAAGATGTGGAGATGTAAGATTTGGGTTCTTTGATTCAACAACCCCGTGCTGACATGCACTCCAGTATATAGACACCAGCCTTATCCTTACTGGGTGAAAGGCAAGGTTTGTCTTCTTGGGGATGCCAGTAAGTGTCATTAATTGATTTCAGAGGCTCGAGTATGCTAACACGCTGTTAGCTCATCCTATGATGCCTGATCAATCGCAAGGTTCCTGCATGGCCTTTGAAGATGCTGGGGCCCTGGGCCTCGTCTTTCACAAGAATTTCCGGGAGGAGTATGGGGCCCTTGAAGGACTTGTTCTTTATGAAAGGGTGCGGAAGGAGAGAGCTACACGCATACAGGAAGTGAGTTTCAGAGCTCATGAGAATCTCAATGAGCAGATTGGTTGGAGTTCATCTACAGATCGACCGGGGAAGTTGACTATCAAGGAGGTTTGTGGATACAACATGAGGGATCATCTGGCAGAGCTGGTTAAGGAGCAAGTAGCAGCGAGAATGTAATATTGCTTGTTGAAACTTCTTTCATACACTCTCAAAGAGGAAGAAATGAATTCTAGTTGTCAAAATATAAATAATTTATCATTTCAAATCATAGTTACATTACATGCAAAAGTATGAACAGAATCTAGACAAAAACTATACCAGGAAATTGACTATACCGTACAGCAGCCCAGTTCAGATCTGAAGCGTTATTTCCCCCTTTCCAAACAGTCTCCAACAGTTGGCGGGCATGGTGGATGTGGCTAAATCCCAAGGTATTTCCCATCACCATAAGCCGCCCTTTCACTATCATTCGTCGCTCGACACTGATCCTACTAGATCCGGCAATAACAAGAGGGAAAAGCAAACACCCCTCGACCCTGCTAGCATATGGGATTTGCTGTACAGAGCCAAGAATGATGACAACAGAGCACTCCACGAATTTATGGAGAGCATCATAGCCCTCAACGATTTGACGTAGCCGAAGCTGGATCGCTCATTCAAAGGCAGTGGTAGCGCGGTTCGTATCTGGCTCAGGATCAACAGACAGGCTTCCGCGGCCAGATCGAGCGCTGGTACACTGCTGCGCCAGAAGGAGCTCGTGAGCTCTGTCATGCTATTGCTGTTCTGCAGCAGGGGTGCCTTGCAATGAGAGATGGTCGACATGGAGTCCAGATAGTGAAATAGACTAATACAAAAAGTCCACTCATCTGATGAAACCAGCGATTGGAAGGCTGGAAACTTCAGGATTGCACTAGCAGCCTTCAGGTGCCATTTCCAGACACAAGATGTGCCATCAAACAACTCAGTTAAACACAACAAGAGCACTGTAGCACATGCTTCAAAATAGATTGGCGATCCGAGCAACCCAGTAGCTTATTCACTTGGGTTAATGCTGGAAAGTGTCAGCCAGCCATACAAGCCCGGTCAGTGGAGAGACATCCTACCTTGGCCTTGGCAATTCAGAGCACATCCCCAGATAGCTAGATAGACCCTCTTCCAATGGCAACCACTTAAACTCAAAATGCCACTGGTGACCGTGTCTACACTTGCATAAAATTGCCAAGAGTTTCCGTTTTTGGCTGGATAATTTGCTGATTCATCCAACCTTTTCACCGTTATTAAACACTGTAACTAACTAACTAGTTAACTAGTTAACGTATTCGGTAAGCGAGCTGGCCTTGTAAGCGGGCTGGCCACCAAAACCAACCCGCTAATCTTAAAGGCATTTATCTCAACCAAAACCCCATTAATTTGATTAAACTAACTAATTGGTCTATCTGGACATGTCTCTCTTCTATGGCCTGGCAGCCTACATATCCCACATCCTCGTGGCGCCCGTGTAGGTGCCCGTAAACATAGCGAAGAGGTTTCTGGCTGGCTGGGGGGAGGGGGTTCAATTGCTTGCTCTGGCTGCCTAATTAATGTAGAGGCCTCCATTTATGGAAATTGGCACGAGAATTCGCGCGATTTTGTACGCCTTGGAGGCGCGTTGACAAGGTTGATCTCGGCACATTAAAGCGGCGAGCTGCTTCACGAATAGCGCTAATTTGCTGGGTTTTAATAGCCTGTATAGCTAATAAGATCCTACCCTCTTGCTCTATTGAATTTTTGGAGGTTTGGGGGCGAGTTGGTGGCATGGTGGGTGGTTGAATTAATCAAGTGCTAATTATTGGACGCGTTTTGGTTGGGTGGCCAGCCCGCTTACAAGGCCAGCTCGCTTACCGAATACGTTAACTAGTTAGTTAACATATGTCCCGAACCGGGACCAGGGATTCCCCGCTTCCGCCTCCAAGGAAGCGTGGAAATACCCGATCCTCGACGTAAAATAGAAACACACACACACACACACACACACACACACACACACACTACTACTACTACTTATGGGTAGTTGTATTTACATATAATCTGCTTTTAATGTCAGAAACTGGGATAGTTAATGAATGGTAAGATATAATGGTTTAAAATATGGCATTTTGTATGGGTATTTTAGCTGGCCAGCTCGGTGGTCGACTACGCTATTTTGGGACAGCGTTCCTTGGCAGCTTGGCTAGAGGTAAGCCTTATCGCGATTTCGCATGACAACTTCAAGATATCCCACTTTCGTTCCAGTTTTATAGGAAGAAAGAATTGCGCTATTTCTCGAACAGCGAGAGAAGATGACTACTAAGCCCAGAGCAGCACTGATCGTGGTGGACATGCAAGAGGATTTCTGCCCCGTGAGTCGACATCCATAAGACTCTCGAGAACACCACTAACACATTCAGAACGGAGCCCTGGCAGTCGAAAAAGGTCGCTCAATCACACCAGTAATCAACTCACTCCTCGCCCACCCCGGTTTCACAACTCGGGTAGCAACCCAAGATAGCCACCCACCGGACCACATCTCCTTCGCCGCGAACCACTCACCACCCAACAATATTCCTTTTGAATCATATGTCACCATGACCAATCCCGCTCCGGGGAAAGAAACCGAGACGAAACTGCAGCGGCTCTGGCCCGTACACTGTGTCGCTGGGACTGAGGGGGCATCACTTATTCCCGAGCTCGATTCGAAGCACTTTGATGTACATGTCAAAAAGGGAATGAATTCGAACGTGGAAATGTACTCTGCATTTTCAGATGCATTCGGGAATCCGTATGCTTCGTTGCCTGCTTCGGGAGATGGAGGTGGTCGGGCGGTTGATGTTGATCTGGAGGCTGTTCTGAAGGAAAAGGGGATACAGGATGTGTTTGTTGTTGGGTTGGCAGGGGACTACTGTGTGAAGTATACGGCGATCGATGCTGCCAAGGCTGGGTTTAGGTCTTTTGTTGTTGAGGAGGGGACAAGGTGCGTGGTGCATTTGGGGTGGGAGGAGACGAAGCAGGAGTTGAGGGATGCTGGGGTGGGTGTTATTGGGGTTGATGAGCTGAAATTGCTATGATTAGGCGTAGCTCTACAGAGTAGTTTGTTAAACACTTCTATGAAGACATGTTAGCTCTTTACTATGTATACCACATACTAGCCTTCTACAATATTAAAACCAAGAGTAATCAAAACAGTACCACTTTCATAACTGAAGCTACCCAGGGGGTACAGCTCCTCTCCGTGCTGAAAGTACTTTTGACATGTCAATCACTTCCCTCTCCAACGGTCTCCAACGATGCGGGTCTGGTCTCCGCCTTCCAGAATGTTGTCCTTTCGGCTCGACACGAGATAACAGAAACACCGTCAACTCGCAGGACGAGTAGACAACTGCAATAACCACAGCCATGCCTCATTCCATAAACCCGTCAACTCCAGCTGTCACCTTCACGGCCATCGACGAGAACCTGACCACCGCTGAGCCCGCCGCGCTTGACCAGTTGTCAGGATCCCTGCCTTACTGGCTCATGAACATACCCCGGGAGCAATGGCCCGCAGAATGTCCGGATTTCCTGCGTAACCTTCCGGAAAAGAACATACAGATCTTATCTACGCCAGATGAACACCACAAGAGACATGATTGGGAGTTGGTCAAGGAGTTTATAAGTGCGTGAGCTGTTGTCATGGAATTAAGGAGGAATACTGAGACGAGTTAGGAACGAACCGAATCGATCGCTTTCGGAGACCTCCGTCGAATTTGAGAAAGTATCTGGAGTTTATAACACAGATCAAGACGCGGTATGGATCGGTGGTGCGGTTTGTCGTCAAGGAACGGCTACGCTGGGGAGATGGAGACGATTTGGACGCGTTGAAGCCGAAAGGTCGACCGTTTGAATACGATGGTCGGTTTTCGCCCCATATGAGCATATGATGTCGTTCTAACGGGGATTGGACAGAGGACATCAAGACCCTGTATAATGACTGGCCGTACGGAGTGGAAGAGGGGATCATCCACCTGGTTGTATGGGTGAAATTTGAATTGGAGGACGATCCAGCCACGGACGATCTGACACCACGAGCAAGGAAGGAGATCGACGACTATGTGAAGAAGACATTCTGTTCGCGGGTGCCACCGGAAAGGGTAAGTAGCTTCTAGCTTCCCACCACAATGGAAGTACAACAGTCTCCAAGGCTAATTTAGAGTGTCTACTAGGTCATCTGGTTCAAGAACTGGAAGTCTCTCAAATCAGTCCACGCAATAGAGCATTTCCATGTAATGCTCTACCAGCCAGACATGGAGTTTGTCCGGGAGATCACAGGGGGAGATGTGCCACTGGTTGCGACGTTTTAGACATTTGGCTTCTTCTATTTAGCTTCTAGATGAGATATGACATACGTAGCATAGACTGAAACCGGATAGAGCGTATATAATAGCTCTCTAGCGCCTCAACAGTCTCCTAATTAATAGTTCCATCCTATTTATATTGTGGCAACGTCACTCGCGCCCACCGCCGGAAAATCAGGAGTTCATTAGATCGACTCCTGCAGCTGTTCTTTTCTTCTTTCTGGATTTCTGTGCATTTTCACCAAGACTTCTATAAAGATTCAGGATATATTTTCGTATAGAAACAGTATGGTACCGGGCATAGCGCATCTCCGCACTCGCAGCCGGGCGTCGAGTGAGTGAACTCATTATTCCCCTCCATCGCTCCAACGTCATCCATTCATCGTCTTTTCGTCCCCTCCTTCGCACTCTCACTTCCCTCCTTATTCCTTGCTCAACTATATCACATAACATTCGCCTCTATCCGGATCGTCGTTTCTCCACCAGTTCATCTTTCATTATGTCTTCTGACTGGGGCTCTTGGTTTTACTCTTCAGGTAATGCTCGGTCTTCGATCGACGACTCAAACCGTAGTGACGTCCACAGCGGCGAGGATGAGACCGTTGAGCCCGATCAGGGAAATGGTATGTCAACTCTATATTCTCTATATTCCAGACTATGACTGATGTTGACTGTTCTAGTGCTCTCGCACATCATCTCCCAGTTGCGACCGGGTGCAGACTTGAGTCGAGTCGTTCTTCCTACTTTCATTCTCGAGCCGCGATCCATGCTGGAAAGAATAACCAAGTCTGTTTCCTATATCTTCTGTCGATCTATGTGCGATAAGCTAATCAGGTTCCGGATAGCTTCATGGCACACCCCGAAACCCTTCTTCCTATGACCACCATCGATGATCCGCTTGAGCGCTTCGTGTCCGTTGTCCGGCTCTACCTGAGTGGGTGGCATATCAAGCCTCCGTACGTCGACCTCCATACTCTACTGTCTCTTAGCCGTGATGCCGTTCTAACAGTACTACTTGCAGAGGCGTGAAGAAGCCCCTAAATCCAATCCTCGGAGAGACCTTCACCGGATACTGGGAGTACCCCGATGGCACGCGCGGATACTACATCGCCGAACAGACTTCGCACCACCCGCCCAAGTCGAGCTATTTCTTCATGGCCCCTGAACACAATATCCGGATAGACGGGACCTTGAAACCGCGCAGTAAGTTCCTGGGCAATTCCGCAGCTAGTCTGATGGAAGGTGTTGCCGTTCTGCGGCTTCTGAACAAAGGTCAGAACCAGGAGAAAGGCGAACGATAGTATGTTTTCCTATCATTTGTGGGTTTCGGGTTCAGTGCTGACTGCAGTAGTATCCTGACGCAACCTAACATGTACGCCCGCGGTATTCTCTTCGGGAAGATGAAGTATGAGCTCGGAGATCACAGCTATGTCCGATGTCCGGAGAACGACCTGGTTGCGGACATAGAGTTCAAGACCAAGGGCTACTTTTCCGGTACTTACAATGCGATTGGCGGGACCATCAAGAACGAAAAGACCGGAGAGGTATACTACGAGCTTTCTGGTATGTGGAATGGGGAGATGACCATTAAAAACGTCGCGGTATGTCCATTCAGTCTTCTTCCTCGAAAGAGATAAGCTGACGTCATTATAGACACACAAGAAAGAGACTCTTTTCGACGCAGTACATGCCAAGCACACCCCTCCCCTACACCGACCGATTGAAGAGCAAGGTGACCGGGAATCACAAAAGCTATGGTACGACACAGTCCAGGCCATCATTGCCCGCGATCACGATGCCGCAACGGATTCGAAAACCGCGGTTGAAGATCGTCAACGTGAAGAAGCAGCCAAGAGAACCGAACAAGGTGTTGAATGGCAACCAAAACTCTTTCGTCATGTCCAAGGGGGCCCCGGTGGCCCGGACGAGGGCGAGGAAGATCTAGACTGGATCATTGATGCGGAGGTGTAAGTGCAAATCTACCCAAAGAGAGTGAAAGTAGACTGACGCTGTATAGTGAACCTCACAACCCCGAAGTTGCCATCAAACAGATTCTATCCATTGCCCCGATCTTGCCAGGCCAGAAGAACGAAACCCCCGCGGCAAGCCAATGAACACACGACCACTGATGTCGTACGACAATAGGGTTGCAAGTCCTCAACGGACTCCGAAAGCAATGAAATACGGACACGCCCTCGACCGTCCCGACTCGCTGCAGGTGGCAGCGTTAGACCTACCGTGGTCTGGTGTATTTTTTTTTTTTTTTTTTTTTTTTTTTATTACTACTTCAATATTATAATTATTTACAAGCAAGCGATCTGGACCGGGGTAGCTAACCTGCTCAGAAGACTACGGGCGGTCGTGATGATCCTTGTGGGCCCCGATGCCAGGGTTTGGAAGTGTGTTCAACACAGCATTTTATCTTCTTGTCGACTGATTTACTTACATTTATATACAATATGCTGGATACCCGATTTGATTTTACAAAGACTGGAAAAGTTTGGAAGATGGATGCGCGGGAGAGATATGGTTTGGGAATAATACTTGAATATTGAATCATGTGCATAAAGAGATACCGGGTTGATAGACAAATAAATCATCATGTATCCAGGTTTTGATGCCACCCACCAGGGATATCTTGCAACCGTAACTCCAGAACCAGACGCCGTTTTATGACCAACAAACACAAAAGAAAAGGAGCAAAGGTTATGAATATAACTCCCCCCGATACCCAGCCCCCCTCTCCAACTCCCTTCTCCGATTATTCCTCGCCCGAATAACCCCATTCCCACCACCCTCGCGCTCCTCGCGCTCCTCCTCAATCTCAGCAGTCTCCTCATCAATTGCCTGTTCCGTATCTTCCCTCAACCCCAGAATATCAGGCGGAATAAAACTCATCTGCACACTCGGCGCCCCCTGTATATACCGTAACTGCTCCCTCGCCGCTTGCACAAGAGTAGCCAGATAGGGTCGTGAATTCCGATTCTCAAGTCGCCGCATCTCAGATAACGGCGGGAACAGCGAGAAGTCCGGCCCGAAGTGGTTGCGGAAGGACACGGAGGTCGGGATGTGCGGATCGATGATGTCCTGCGCGTCGATAAGGATGGAGGTTTCGTGGGCCCAGGCGCGGGATACGTTGCGCGGTGTGTAGCCGCCGCCGCCGCAGACGAGGAGGGGCAGGTTGAATGTTTTCACGAAGGCGACGCAGGCGCCGTGAGCGCGGACGTTCAGGTTGAAGCAGCCCAGGCGGTCGCAACCTAGGGAGTCTGCGCCGCATTGGAGGACGATGGCGCCGGGGCGGTAGGTTTCGACGGATGCGCCGACGATTTCTTGGAAGAGTTGGATGTAGGAGTCGTCGTCGATGCCGTCGTGGAGGGGCACGTTGAGGGCGTGGTGGGCGCCTGGGTTTAAGGGGTGGTTTGGACCTGTGGATTCGAGGGCGCCGGTGCCCGGGAAGAAGTTGTCTTTGTCGTATTTGTGGAAGGAGACGGTGAGGACGCGGTCTGTGGACCAGAAGGCTTGCTCGACGCCGTCCCCGTGGTGCACGTCGATGTCGATGTACATGACGCGCGGGTGGTGGCGGAGGAGCTGTAGGATGCCGAGGACGATGTCGTTGACGTAGCAGAAGCCCGATGCTTCTGCTTTTTTGGCGTGGTGCAGGCCGCCGGACCAGTTTACTGCGATTTCGGATTGGTTGTTGCAGAGTTTCCGGGCGGCATCGATGGTGCCGCCTGCGTAGAGGGAGCAGTAGTTGTACAGGCCGTCGAAGATTGGGCAGTCGTCGCCGAAGTTGAAGCGCGCGACGTTATCGCTTTGGTCTGCGTTCTCGATGTCGCCTGGGATCACTTGTTGGAGGAAATCGAGGTAGTCTGATTTGTGGAAGTCGGCCATTTCTTCGTATGTTGCGGCGCGCGCTAGGTAGAGATCCATGGCGTGGTGCATGCCGTATGCCATCACCAGTTGTTTTGTGAGTGTTAATCGCCATGGCTTCATGGGATGTGACTGGCCGAAGTGGTGTGGTTCGACTGCTGGGTTGGCGTGCCATGAGACTCGGTAGCCTTGTGGACGAGGGATGCCATTGCTCTGGCGTTCGAGGGCGGTTCTCTCGTCGAGGGTGAGGGTTGGTGTTGATGATGAGTATTCCTGGACTATTGCTGAGCGGGCCATTGCTTGTGTTTAGAGAGATGGTGAACTAAGAAGAGGAAGAAGTCGACGTCGCGGAGTGCAGATCCAAAGTCCGCATCTGGAATTCGTCGGCCAATCAGATCCTCGGCACGAATCAGGGTTATCCGAGTTAGCCCCGGATTACTAACACCGACATCGGGGAGTATCTGCGCAACCGGAGGTATAGCTGAGAATTCCTACTGCTCCCTGGTTATTGATAGCTAGAACTGGTAAGGAATGTGTGACAAGGGATTCTAATATGTACTGGGAATATGCGGCATGTATTGGAGGACATGCATGTACATAATAAACCTAAGTACGGAGTACCATGTACATGATTCAGGGAGGTGGAGCTGGAAATCTTCCCGGACTGTGCTACTGATTTGTCTATAAATTGGCTTGCTTTCCCTTCCAGAAATCAATAATTCTCCAAGAACAGAGCACAGCTTGTCCTGACTCCTTCAAAATGCCCATCATCACCGCCGCCACGACCCTGCGTCGTGCCCTACAAGACCCCAAGTGTTTTATTTCCGCCCCGGGGGTCTATGATGGTGTTTCTGCGCGGATTGCCTTGTCCGTTGGTTTTGATGCTCTCTACATGGTGAGCATTTCTTCCAGAATGTTCACCTACCCAGTGCTAATATTGGTAGACCGGTGCCGGCACCGCCGCCTCCGTCCACGGCCAAGCAGACCTCGGCATCTGCACACTAAACGACATGCGCACCAATGCCGAAACCCTCGCCAACATCTCTCCCTCGACGCCCCTAATCGCCGACGCTGACACCGGCTACGGCGGCCCCATCATGGTTGCCCGCACGACGGAGCAATACTCCCGCTCCGGCGTGGCAGGCTTCCACATCGAAGACCAAATTCAAACCAAGCGCTGCGGCCACCTTGGTGGAAAGATCCTCGTTGACACCGACACATATGTCACGCGGATCCGCGCAGCCGTGCAGGCGCGCCAGCGCATGGGGAGCGACATCGTCGTAATCGCGCGGACAGACGCACTCCAAACTCACGGCTACGAGGAGAGTCTGAACCGCCTCAAGGGAGCACGGGAAGCCGGCGCAGACGTCGGACTACTAGAGGGAATCTCGTCGCGGGAGATGGCGAGGCAGGTGACTAAGGATTTGGAAGGGTGGCCGTTGGTCCTGAACATGGTGGAGCACGGAGCTACGCCGTCGATCTCGGCGCAGGAGGCCAAGGAGATGGGATTCAAGGTTATTATCTTCCCATTTGCGGCGTTGGGGCCTGCTCTGATTGCTATGCGGTCTGGGTTGGAGAAGCTTAAGAAGGATGGGTTGCCGGGGTTGTCGGAGGAGATTACGCCGCAGATGCTGTTCCGGGTTTGTGGGTTGGATGAGAGTATTAAGGTTGATGCGGATGCTGGGGGTGGTGCGTTTGAAGAGGGTGTTGATTTGAAGAAGACGGATTAAGGGGAAACTCATAATCCTGGCAGGTTACGATGTACAAAGACGTCTATATTATTAATACACTTTATTCGTTAGTTATAAGCTCAATCCTTCCAATCAGATCCCAGTTTATTCCCTAGAATAAGCCGATAGGCCATTTCGGACATACACACATTCTCCGCATTCGGAAATGCAGTCTTTGTTGCCAGCAATGAGGTATTTCTGCTTTGAGATCCGTTGATTCACAACGAATAAATCAACACCACGAATCAAATCGGACGCATCGTGATTTCATCTTGCTTTGTCGTCGGACTTGAATTGCCGAAGTCCGAATGGAATCGGGGATGGTGACACCGGTGCACCGTTACCCTGCTGGGTTGAAAAAGAAGCAATCATGCTCTCTTTGTTTTTCTTCTTCTTTATTCTTCTTTTCTTTTCTTAGAATGCAGATTTCACGCTGAAAATATGTTGTTATCAACGCTGCTCAGTTTTGTTGCTGTGACCTTTATCCTGGTAAGTTGGCCATCGCATCAGCTACGGAGTACACTAACCAAACAAAGAAACTCCTATATGACAGGATCAGGAGCCCCTTAGCCCATATCCCCGGTCCTGAAATCTCGAAATGGACGGGAATAGTCACCATATTCTACTGGTTTGCTGGAAAGAAGCCAAACTACGTCCATTCCCTCCATCAAAAATATGGCCCAGTGGTCCGCGTTAGTCCCGAAGAGGTCGATATCTGCGATCTCGACGCTGTCAAAGTGATTCACAGAGCCAGAGGAGGGTTTCTCAAATCGGCACGGTTCTATCGCACGTTGTCGGTCGTTGAGACTGTGTTTTCCACTACGGATCCGGCGTTTCATTCCGCTCATCGACGTCTCCTTGCGAATCCTATTTCGGACTCTTCCCTGACGCGTTTCGAGCCGCTTATTTTTGATAGGGTCCGTTTGGCTGTTGATAAAATGTCCGACGAGCTGGATTCTCGTGGTGTTATGGACGTGTTCAAGTGGTGGTTCTTCATGGCGACTGATGTTATTGGGGAGTTGAGTTTTGGCGAATCATTCCGCATGCTGGATTCCGGGGAGGTGTGTATTGATTCCATTTACTTCACTGAAAATGAAGGAAGGTCTAATTCTGCAGAAAACCCAATACATCGTGGACCTTCAAGGCCTCGGCGCCATCTCACCCATCCGAACAACGTTCCCTTCACTCGTACTACTAGCATCCCGTCTCCCTCTCCCAATTTTCCGAAAAGTATCCGACATAGGCCAGAGATTAAAAGAATACGCCCAGCAATCAATCGACCGTTACAAGCGCGTGGTAACAGAAAGCGACGACCCAAAGCCCACCCTGTTCACAAAGCTGTACAACGCCGGCAAAGATGGCCTGTCCGACATCGAAATTAGAAACGACGCGCAGGCATATATAGTCGCCGGAAGTGACACAACAGCTATCACGCTGACCTATCTCGTCTACTTGGTTTGCAAGGATGTGAATGTCCGCGAGAAACTCGTGGCAGAGGTCGCTTCTCTTCCGGAGGGGTATACTGATAGGGCTCTTCGGGATCTACCGTATCTCAACCATGTTATCGATGAGACTCTGCGGCTGCATACTGTGGTTTCTATGGGTTTGCCGAGGGTTGTTCCGAGAGAGGGGGCGAATTTGTCGGGTTATCAACTTCCTGGGGGTGTCGTTGTTGCTACGCAGGCTTACAGCCTTCATCGCAAGGAGGACATATTTCCTGAACCATATAAGTGAGTACTCTTTACACATGTAATTGGTTAGATATGGCTAACGATGAAGATTCAATCCTGACCGATGGGAAACCCCCACTAAACAAATGAAAGATGCCTCTATGCCATTCGGAGGAGGCTCACGCAGTACGTACTAGTCACAGTCCCATTAAACTTAGAATACCCCATTTCTAATCTATGTGCAGTTTGCATCGGCATACACCTCGCCCGTATGGAACTACGTCTGGCAGCAGCTCTCTTCTTTCGGACTTTCCCGCAGGCCCACATGTCAACGAAGGAAGGGATGTCGCATAAGGATATGGAGATGAAGAGCTACTTCTTGATGTCGCCGAAGGGACATCGCTGTCTTGTAGAAGGGTAGCGAGAGAGGGATGTTCCTGGTAAAGTGCAGAGGGAAGCTGAGAATCCAAACTACGAAATCAGTGATTAAGGAGTTTGCTCATAGTATTGTTTTAAAAACAATAATCTAGTTATTAGGAAGCGCTTAGCGTTACCATGTAATACATGTTTTTTCTACCTTTAAAACAAGACCAAACCATTGGATGAAAATAACTATCTCCCTCGTCACTGTCTAGCACGCCCAACTATGTAGCATTCGAGTATCTGCTAGCACGTCGTGGACTGAAAATTCGTCATTGAATATATTTAGCTACAGCGCAATTGGACACAGAATAGGAACAGATGGTCACAGATGTAATTAGTTGTAGTGCATGATAGAAGGGCTCGCGCTCTTAACATTCCAAAATAGGAAAGGGCGGCGCTCTTCACTTTCCTGATGCGGTGTAGATTGTCCGCTCTTCGGATGCCTTTTTGGTCAAGTATACAACAACATAGTATGCTGTCCATTAGTATGAACATGAGGATATATCATAATGCACAGCATGGACATATAAAACCCCTCCGAGGGGCACAAATGGCCTGTAGTATACAACCCATCAGATTCTCCGTCCCTCCCTCCATCAAAAAACCATGGCTCTAACACTACTCATCACCACTCTCCTAGTCTGCCTCTGCATAAAATCCCTCCTCACCTACCTCCACCTCCGAAAATACCCCACCCTAACCCCCCTCTCTGCCCTCACCACCCTATCCTACCTCCACCACCGCTTCCACCCCTTCCGAACCAGACACCTCTACCACAAACACAAACAACACCCCATCATCCGCCTCGCCCCAAACACCCTCTCCTTTGCCTCCGCACAAGCCATAAAAGACATCTACGGCCACGGCACGCCCTGCCGAAAAGATGATGTGTACCATTTGACTATGGGCAGTCATGCGAATGTTCTGAACGCTGTGGATCGCGGGGAACATGCGCGCAAGCGAAGGATGTTGGCACATGCTTTTGCGGCGAGGAATCTTGAGCGGTGGGAGGGGAAGATTGGGGAGAAGGTTGGGGGGGTTGGTTATGCAAATGGATCGGGGCTGTTTGGTAGAGGGTGAGTTGGTTGAGGCGGGGGATGTTATTGTTGATTTTAGGAGATGGTTGAATCTTTTTACTGTTGAGGCTGTTGTTGATTTGGCGTTGAGTGAGAGGCTTGATTTGCTTGGTTTGGGGATGGATAGGGTTGAGATTGAGGGGGGATATGGGGTCAAATACATTGATAGCTTGCATTGTGGAGGCAGGTTTGTCTCTACATTCGTGGGTGCGACGGACTGGTTTCACTTTCTGAAGACTGTCTCAATCTGGCTTTCGCCATATCTGCGCTTGCAATGGGAGCGTGGTCAGAAATTTGGCAAGATTGTCCGTGCGTTGGTTGATAAACGGTTACGGAGGGATGAGTCTGGTGAACATTTGGATGATTTCTTCGACTGTCTGATTACCGACAAATCGGGCAATGCGCGCTGTCTTGAGAGGGGGGAAATCGAAGCTGAAACGAGTATACTCTGTGAGTTAGTCTTTGTGAGTCATATATACACACTCGCTCATTCTTTCCTGCAGTGGATGCCGGCTCCGACACCACCGCAATAGCTTTGACTCACGTTTTGTACTATCTTATCAAGAACCCGCGCTCTCTGGAAATACTTAGGAAAGAGGTGACCGATGCACTATCGAGAGAAACCATCGCACCCTACGCAAAAGTGAAAAACCTGCCCTATCTAAAGGCATGTCTCGACGAATCGCTGCGTCTCTCCCCACCCGTTTCAAGAGGCCTCGAGCGCAGAACGCCTCCTGGCGGCATGGAAATTGCAGGAGAAAACATCCCAGGTGATGTTGCCGTTTCCGTCCCGACATACGTTGTCCATCGTGACCCAACGATATTCCCAGATCCAGATGAATACCGGCCGGAAAGATGGTTTGAGGAGGGGGAGAAGGCTAAGCAAATGCGGGATGCGTTTATCCCGTTTAGTACTGGCGCTCGTGGCTGCATTGGACGCAATATATCGATGATTGAGCAGCAAATTGTGATCGCAACGCTTGTTTATAGATATGAGTTTGCGTTGTTATCTGATGGTTGGGAGATGGAGTGGGAGGAGGCGTTTCTCCTGTGGCCGGGTCAGATGCCATTGAAGATCTGGAGAAGAGAGAACTGATATACTTTGTCCAGCCATCGCACTTTTAGCATAGAAACGTGGATTTATTCATGCGCCAGTCATAGTTGATCAGCAATCAGCACACCTTGACCTGCTGCTGTAGTTGTCCGATTCGATCGCTAGTATGAAAGCCGAGCTGACTCTCAATCCGGTCCAAAAGCGCCCATATCTTAGCCTTCCCACCAACGGAGTTGATATGTTTCGCGGCTGCCAAGCTATAAGTCCTGGCTGTAACTGAGAACATGGAATGAGAGTACCCACCATAAAAAAGCGGCTGTACTGCTTGCACTAGAGCGCCGTCAGAAATGGGCGAGAGGGTTACACTTGCGATAGACCGCGCGTGGTTGTCGATATCAGACTGAAATCTGAGTCAGACAGTGCAGAGGATAATGATGCGCATGACAGTGCAAGTCTTACCTGTAGATCACCTTGAGCCGACAAAGAAGCGTTGCACCCCTCCGCGAGCAGCAGGAGATATGCTAGGTGGTACATACACATTGCAGCCGCTAGATCTTATTAGTTTGATAATGCAGTTAAATGTATAGAGCTCTTTACCTGTTGATGGTATGGCAAACCAGCGTTTAACAAAGCCCTCTGGAGAAGGGGGGCCATATGTCGTACCACTGAATGACACGGGCAAACTCTCAAACCAAGCATCGAGCTCCCTCATCAAGCTGGTTCGATTATCACGAAGCAATTCAATCGAGCGCCCGTCTGTTTCTCCAAACGTATGCGCAACGATCTTGGCTAAGAGCCAAATCAGTTTGTTCCCCAGCCGGTCTTCCCTCGTTTCTTGCTCGGCCAAAGAAACACCCCATTCCTCAGGCGGAAGCATGGTGGGACATTCATGCACCAAAGCCATTGCAAGATCTTGCCGGGCATACACCCAGAACGCCGCTCCTATCAGGCCCTGCGAGCTGGCTTTACACCCATAGCTCTTGATCAGAGTGAGCGCGCCCGACACATGCCGCCGGTGATCCAGCCCAGGCAGGACGAGGAGCTCGTAACTGCTCAGTAAAATTGTCGCTGACAGCGTGTCCTCGGGTGAAGAGGCTGGGAGACCAAGCGTGGTAATCAGATGATGGAGACTCTCTGCGTAGTACTGGACGGCAGCCGACTTCCACAGTTCTGCTCGGTTGACCATGCTAACCTGTCTTGCTGTGAGGGCGCAAATCGCATCCATGAGCAACGGTGATTCAAGGGTGCGTTTCACGACTGTCCGTTGGAAATGCTGTTCGTCGTCGAAGAGGTCGACCCATTTTCCTACGCCGTTCTGGAACTCTTGGATTAATGCGACCTTGTCGCCATCCAGAGAGGGTGGTTCTGTGTGAGATGCAGGTGGCTGCTTAGGGGACGTGACTTGTGGTAGTGGAGTAATTGAATTATTGAACACTTCCCAAGTTGAAGCCGGGTTAGGACGCTCTTCTTCGTCCGCGGCGGCCGCTCCCTGAACTGAGGAGCACCAATTGGACGGGACGATGAAATCGGATAGTTCACATTCCAGGTCCAGTCTCTGGCACCGACTGCAGCGAGGTTGTTTTTCATCGCATTTATGGTGACTGGCTCTGCAGCGGGTACTGTCACTGTTCAGGGCCTGCTTATAGCATGTCAAGCGGGTGGATTGCTTAGATTGCTTACCATCCTGTCCTGCGCCGCTTCACGCCTTTTGTCCGGGTGGTTTGTTTCATCTTCAACCTGTGTCTGAGAAATTGTATACGATATTGTCTATGAGTTGCACCCCAGATGGTTGGTCAAGATGGAAGTTGTCAACTGAGGGAAGGACAGTCAAGGATTCGTATCGTGGAGGTGGGGTGAAAGATCTCCGAAAATAATAAATACAGGGGGTACGACACACTCCATTTCTCACTTTTAGCTACCACAATGAACGACACACTCCCCGATAATATTACTTTGCCAACTACGCCGAAATCGAAGCAGCAACCGAGGAGCTCAGCTTGCCTGAGAAATACGACAAAGTGGTCCGGATCAAGGACTTCGCAGTCAAATACGGCCACAATGTTTTGCTTTCCGAAGCAGAAAGCATGGAATTCCTAGCAGCAAATAGCGATTATTATGGGATGCGTTCCTGGCGATAATCTGGAGAAGCTGTTGCCATCGCTCACTTCCAAAAGGAAATAATCTGCAAGTTGGTTCGAGACACAATCAATGAACTCCGGAAGATACCACCACCAGATTATCTAGGGACCGTGAATCGCCAGTCATGCCGTGACGGCGTATTCTGGATCGAGGATATCGACCCATCGATCTCTGGTCCCTTCGCAAACCAACAAGAAAAGAATAATGGGATACTGGAACGACTAGCCCGTTCAGAAAAAGCTCCATATGTTCGTCTAGTGCAAGAAATGGTTGAGTACACATTACATGGCCACCGCACCATTTTCACGTATGGGGAACTCCAACCAAAGAATATCATGGTTGAACGTGTTGGATGTTGCAAGGATGGGAGCTTGACTCCGGGCTTTAAAATTACTCTGGTTGACTGGGAGTATTCGGTGGAATATCTTATGATGCAGGTGGTTTATAGTACTTTGTTTTATTAGATGGTCATAGACGGCAATAGTAAATCAATTTCCAATTCAAAAACATTCTTTAATAGTGTTAAGTTTCTTTCCAGGGCCATCTCAAGCAACAAATTGCCTAGATACAATCCCCGTTGGAAAGATCGACCTTTCTCAGTTCCTCAACTCCACATTCTTCGAAGTCTGATGGTCCTTGATAATTTGGTTGGTCTCATTTTCGATCAACACGCCCAAGTTATTTGAGGTCTGTCCATCTTTCGGGTTGTCTGTGTCCATTTTCTTGAAAATTTCTTTTGATGATATCAGTAAAACGCCCGACCTCGAATCGCAAGATAATACTTACCGTAGGTTTCTTGACGAATGTGATCCTTGCATGAATAAAGATGCAGCGCAACATTATGCACAAACGCCCACTGCTTGTAGGCAATTCCGTACTCTTTGGCTCTCTGTCTGTACAATGGGTCTTGGTCTTCAGCTGGCGGGGCGCCATTCAGATGGTTCTTATAGTATTCCCATGGCTGTTTCAGTTGGTCTTTGAGATTAGCCCACTCGTTTGTGTCCCTCTTCAACTCGATGGGGTTTTTCTTGTCCCAGCGGTGGCCGCCGACATAGCTCGCCGAGGTATTGGTGCCCTCGAGCGCCCCGGCCTTGTCGAACTCCGCAATATAGGTGGGGATGTCCTCGTAGTTAAACAGAGCAGCCGGTCCATCGCGTCTGGTTGGGTCCCAGACTCGCTTGGGGCGGTTCACGGGGAGCTGATCGGAGTTGATGCCCAGTCGGTGACGGTGGGCTTCACCGTAGGCAAACAGGCGAGATTGGAGGACTGTTCATCAATTAGCATCGTGGGCTGTGACCGTATTATGAAGGAGACTTGAAGATGCAACATACTTGGGTCAGGGGATATATCCCACCCCGGCACGACATTGGCCACGGAGAACGCGGACTGCTCGGTTTCGGCGAACTGGTTTCGAGGGTTCCGGTTGAGGGTGATCCTACCGATCTCGATCGTTCTTCCCAGTTCCTTCGGAAGGAGCTTGCTCGCGTCAAAGATGTTGATCTCGGAGGCTTCCACTTCATCCGGCTTGATAATGTGGGCGTTGACCCTCCAGCGCGGGTAGGGCAACTCTTCGATTCGCTGCTTCAGGCTTGCTTTGACCTTCTCCAGCTGCTCCTTTTCCCCGGGAGATGCGCCTGTCAGCTTTTCATCCACTTTCTTCAAGTCCGCTCGAAGAGCAGCTTCCTTTTGATTGGTATCCGCAATCAAGTTGAACAGGGTACGGTTGTGGAAGTCTGGGTCTACTCCAGCCATTGCGGTTGCCTGGGCCGCGGTGAACGGAGTGGCTGGGTTCTCAGGCACAATTGTGATTCTCGTGTAGGAATAGTTATTGTCCTGTGGTTGTTAGCGGGCATAGCCTCAAGCATTGCCGACAAAAGAGGGTTACATACATCCTTAACAAACGTGTACGTGTTGATACCTGCTATGGTCACATCTGCATATGTTCTAGGAGTTCCCTCATCACTGTGGGTTCTCATGAAAGAGTTGTACGCCTCCGGGTTCTTGTTAATAAAGCTTTGCGACAATTAGCTCAAATCCCTGGGACGTGTACCGTTATATAACATACTGGAAGACCTGAAGATGAGTTAGTAAATATCCAAATCTTCCTGGGGCTATTAATACATACCATGTTGGGATCAGACAATCCAGTGGCCGGGCACTTCTTTGTCACATGGTTGTTCGAGATAATCTTGCCCGGGTCCCAGACCCCAAAGACCTCCTTTTTGCCATTGTCAATATACTGCTCATGAAAACATTCAGGTTAACATACCGGGAAGAAAAAGACCCAGTCGAGATTGCCTTCGTTAGTATAGAATTTGAAAGCAAACCCTCTGGTATCTCGAACGGTGTCAGCCGAGCCCCGGAATCCAGAAGTGGTGGAGAGCCGCATAAAAAACGGCGTTTTGTTGTCCTCTGGGTTGGGCTTCTTCTGGAGAAAATCGGCGCAAGTATAGTCTTTGATTTCATCACTAGTCACTTCGAAAGTTCCGTAGGCACCAGTTCCTTTGGCGTGACCGAGTCTGAAAGACGTTAGGCTTATCTTTGGGTTACTCAGGGAAGTCATCGTTTACCTCTCCGGGATACGCTCATGAGCGAAATGGGCGAGTTGATCAATCAAGAATGTCTCCTGGAGAAGCTGGGAGATCTTGATGGAATTTCCATTATACTGCCGGATCCTCTCGGAGTTGAACGGGTTATCGATAGGACATCCTATCAGTCATTAGCACAAGGATCTTTGTTTTGTTTCCTGCTATCTCAACATACCATTTGGCAGCGTGAATGCCGAAGGGTGGTAATCAGACGTCGGTTGGGCGTCTAGGGCTGCTTAGCTTTGGTGAACACTCATATTCTGCTTTCTGAAATGTCCTACCTGGATGTACCGTGGGATGATTGTTGATTGTCGCCATCGCCAAAGTCGACTCTTTGTAGTGTACGACTCGGGAAGTGTTATGACTCTTTCAATTCAATCTGTGACGGGGTTTATATAGGATATCAGACCGATATCATGGACTCCGGTTGCGTACAATGCATGTGTGGCAGAGTCACATGAATAGAAAACCACGAATCACGAACAAGCTATTAATCACCCATGCCAAGTCAATATGAGCTATTTTGATGTAGTGGAGACCATTCAGCTAAGTGTGTCTTGTTCAACAATGCAAGCGGAAGGTAAGGGATGGCTGGGATGCATGTCCGAAAGCAGTGAAGCATTGGCTGAGGCTGAGCTGAGCAATTCACAACGGCAGGATATGAGCGAATGGCGTCCATGGCATTAGACACCAGCAAGGACTTGCGTTGCTTTTCACCGCACAGGACTATTACAGCTGTGTGTGGGGTACAACTTGTCAATGACGGCGGAGGAGAGGGTACAAAAACTTCAACTGGATAGCAGTTGGCACGATAAAGTGTGACGATGAAACCCCGGAATAGATCTCGCGCCGACCCGGTTTTGATCGGCCCGATCCGCTCTGGAGAATGCAATTTGACATCAAGTATGTTGATCCTTGGGTGTGTAGGAATGCTGCTTATGTGAATAGTGTGGTCAGAACCTCCAGACCGCCATGATGACAACAGTAGCCTCATGATTCGTCATTGCAAAACTCAGTGGCTAATTCTGCATGCAAGTTCTATGCAACAATTGCAGTTTGCAGTTGCATGTACAGGTGTGGTAGTCAAAATACTGCAAAAGGAGGTCATGCATAGTGTGACGAAAGCATTCAGTAGAGTTGCATTCGGGTCGGATTAGACTGGATTGAGGACCATCTTCATCCACACCGCTGCAGATTTGGATGCTAGGGCATGGATATACATCCACACCGAAATCTGGTGCGGATTAATTGCAGGTGCACTCTAGCTTTGGTAGCATATGCCTCTCCGGGTTTGTTAGCACTCCCTTTTATCCCCACATGATGAGTGCAAGGAAGCTTGATTACAATCAGCAACCAACTAATCTTAAGATAATGCATTACTTGGTATCTTGTCTCTGTCAGACTCTGTAAAACAAGTCAGGACAATAAGATAATGAATAGAGAAGTAAGGCAAATCGAGTACATATACTCTATTTAACGATGTGACAGTTAGCAGACGGCCGAAAAGGGCTACTTCGGCGGCCGTTTTAGGAGTCCTGCTGACCAACATCAGGTGAGCGTATTCCCACAGCCACGGGTTTCATGTCCCTTGACGCTAGTTTCAAATGGACCTTTTGTTACTCTCTGTTAAACATCACCTACCTCGAAGCTCTCGCTGCGGTCTCTGTGGAGGGGAGCCGTTTTTGGCTCCCCCCTCAACCATCATGTTCTCTCCAGTTATAAGTCCCATCATGCTGACTGTGCCCTTCCCTGCTTCCATCCTTCCTCCCATGAGCATCTCTTGCAGCGCTTCCTGTCCTTTCAAAGTCTGTCCACGTCCATGAAACTGCTGTTATCCTCACCTTCTTTATCTCTTACTCCAGGATTTCCTTTGTTTGCCAGTTCCCCGCAGGCTGTGTTGACCATCATACCATGGTGCCTCGCTCCTGACCAGTCAGATCTGACAACAAAGAGAACCAGGGCAATGCCAGCTCTGACCTGACCAAGATCTTTCCAGACAACGGATCTGATAGTGACTCCACCAGCGACCTGGAACTCAATAGTGAAGATTCAGATGATGAAGATAAACCTGGCGAGGATACACCCAATGATGAGGGCTAGCTGCCTCCTGAACACTATTTGGCCCAAGCAGAGAGCTTGCATGTCTCCCAGCTTCAACAGAAGCGGTACAGCGACGGCACTCAGGAAAAACTCAAATGAGACCCACATGTACTGGAATAGGTAGATAATTCACTTGACCCTCAGGCTATGTTGAAAGCTCACTGGTGGCTCCCTGGCAGATATTGCTGGTACATTGGCATCAACCCAGTACAGCACTGGCAATGGATCTCAGACTCAGATGAGACAGTCTGTTTCCTGTATGCATTTTTCAGCTGGTAGTGTGATATCCATCACAGCAAGAATGGTCAGCACTGCTCAGGCATTGGATACAAGAGCTTGCTTGAGTCATTCTGGAAGTGGTGGCATCTTGTTCTGCAACAGAAGACGGCGTCAGGACTGAGCAAAGATATAATTATCAAGGTACAGGATGTGGGTATATATAACCTTCATGATCGATGGCCCCAGTTGAGAATGGTTCTGGGTACGGATTGAGTGAAGAAGCATAGAAACAATGTTGGTATGACCATTAGCCACTGCTTGTTTAAGAGGATTGTTGAATTTGTCAGAGGCAGGTTGACCAAAATTTCTGTCGTTAGTATGAATTCTGTCCTGCAGCAGGACCGGGGCTAACGGATCACATCCTTTTTCTAATAAAAGTTGAACAAAATGTTCTTGGCCACAGGCTGCACTGGAGAAAAGAAACGGAGACAAGTCACCACAATCAGGCAAAGACACGATCTTCGCATTAAGATCGATTCATTTCAGCAATAAATCTGCGGTTTGTCCTTTCCCCTCGCTAGCTATATAAGCGAGATAAATTCCATCTAGTTCGTCTAAAAGGTAGTCCAAATGCCCCGGAATTTCAAGGAGAAACGAGACTGTCTGCATGTGATTTTCTTGCGCAGCATGGAATAGAATAATTTTGCCCTCGTTGTCCTTCACCCTCGGATCAGCACCCGCACTTAACAGTAGTTTAACCGCGTCCAGGAAGCCATTAGACACTGCAAAGAAAAGCGGAGTCCAGCCATTTGCATCCCGAGGATCCAAATTAGCAGCGGCTTCTAATAGCCCCCCTCCTTGGCTGCGTAATCTAGTGGTGTCCGACCAACAGCAAATGCATCAAAAGAATTATCCCCCTCCGCGAAGTTGGGATCCGCGCCTCGAGATATTAACAAACGGGCAATATCTAGGTGACCATTCATAATCGCACGGACAATGGGCGACTCGTCGTATAAAGCTGCGCGATTGAGATCAGGTTGGCCCAGATCCAGCAAGACCTGGACGATCCCTATGTGACCCCATCCTGCGGCTGCTCGGAGAGGATCACGTTGAGTTTGGTCACCAAACAGTTCGGTGGAGATCCCAGCTTCAATGAGTCTTTTCAGAAGCACATGGTCACCGGAGCCCATGGCGTACATCATCACCTCGACTTGGCGTTTTTGGATATGATGGAACACTAGTGGATTGGCTAGCGGATAAAGCAGGCGACAGGTCTGCGAGTAAGCATTCACTTCATCTGCATACTCCAGGTATTGGGCAATGCGGAAGAGAAGCTCATTGGGGAGCGACAAGAGGGGTATTGTAAATGTATATTGGCCGAGAGGGTTGCTTTGAGGTTAGGCAGTATACCGAAATCTTTCAAACACATTTCGTACCGTTATATGTGTTAAAGCGAAAGCTGTGTCTAGCCCTTCACGTTAGGCGTCTCGGAGCACAGTAGGTCGGTCGACGTGGTGCAGTTGTGGGTCGTTGAGCTAACGCGTGAGGGCAAGAGATTCAGCCTCGCGTTGCGGCCCCCGCCGGAATTTTAATAGATACTTGAAGCATACTATGTGTATACCATCTGTGATATGTGTACAATCCTTCGTACCTTCATACGCGATGCGGATTAATAGTTGGACCGATATCCCATACGAAATGCCTCTTTTGAATGTGTCCGTACGCTTCTCGGGCTCTCACAATGTCAAATCTTCCATATTCCTCACGATTCCTAGGTCTTCCCCTAGCGATTCGCCAACGGATCTATGAGCATCTTATTCCACACGATGAAGTTCAATTTCCCACGAAGAGTTTGGCCAGACCACATTATTTTAAAATCACCGAATGCGACAGAAACTGCCGGAACTTGTTACTGGCATGCTGCCTGGTTTACAATGAACTGGCCCCAATTGTGTACTCAACAAAACACTTTATCGACCAATACCGAAATTCCAACCTTCAGAGATTGCAGGGATTAACACCAACTGCTATTAAGTCTCTTGTTAAATTGACTGTTTTTCTTAATGTCAGCAGCTGTGAGCCAGGGTGGCCATGCTGCAAGGAGCAGTCAACCCATTCTCACCCTAGTTGTGCCCAGCATGATGAACCTCTCAGTTCAATGTCACTACCGCGATACCAAGAAGTCATTTCGGAATGGCACCGCACCATTGACCATCTTGCACCATATATTCAACCCTCTCGTCTACATCTATACTTTATTTGTGATGTCGCTGATACAAGTGCTGCTGTTGTTGCTGTCACGCCATTACTGAACCGGGGCTTTCCTGTACTTGCTGAGTGCAATATCCGCCTGGGTAAGGACATTGATCCTTCAATCCAAAATTTGGCCTACCGAGTGGTAGAACAATCCACGGGCCATTCAATAAATGTTGCTACCGAACCACATACTCCATTCCCCTTTCTATCCTTACCCACCGAGTTACGACACCAGATCCTCCAGCATACAGATCTCGTTACGCCATATCGCCAGGTTGACTGGAATCCCCGTGATGGATATTACTTGCAGTATGGTGTGAGAGGCTGCGACTGGAATTGCGATCCTGATGATCACCATGGATGCCAGTTTCGACAATGCTGGGAAAACCTCGATGGTCATGGGTGTTTTTGTTCTCGATATCATTCCGCTTTCTCAATACATTGCCGATGTTGGCGTCCGCCAATCCCTCTGTTTCTTGTCAGCAAGGCCTTACGGGAAGATGCGCAAGAAGTGTTTTTCATACAGAATAGGTTCATAATTGCTCCGGTCGACGGGTATGGTGAGCCTGCAAGAACGGTTCTGGGGCGCTTCGAAGCATCTATTTTTTGGCAAGATATTATTCCTGCGCATTTCCTACCCCGTCTGAGATTCTTGGAGATTGTATTTCCACCATTGGATGAAGAGTATTTCTCACTACGAGGCCCATCACTTCACGATTGGGATAACACAATGGATAACATTAAGAACACGCTGGACCTTCCCAACTTGAAACTACGCATTTACTTTGCAGACTTTTACGATGCTAGCTATGCCTCATTCTTCCGCAAGAAGATTACCCGCAAAGAGGGCATTACAAGAGTGGCTAGTGCATACATGCGCATCATACGCCCTCTTGAACGGTTAAAAGCCAATGGACTCAGTCAGTTATTTGTGCATGCAGCCTGGCCGTGGTCGTGGACCGAAGAGGGGCGGAATACACGCATATGGAAGAAACACATCGTCGAGAATGACATATCGGTTATTGAACGGCGGCTGGAGAGAAGGGTAATGGGAAAGGAGTATGATAGTGTGCGGCTAGGAAAAAAGGAGCTCGAGAAAAGCCAATGGCTCAAGGCGCATGAGAGGTCAGAAGAATTTGCCTCGGTGATTGACTAAGGACTTTATTTCGTTCGTGGAAGGTTGTGTATATGATGCATTATGTAGTCCTCGTATTTCTTGTGCCTATTTGCGGGGCCAAAACGACCTGCATTTGCGCTCCATTTTAATGAATGATCTTACTGTCAGACAAAGAAATCCCAAAAAAGCCACTGGAGTGAAGGCGAAATATGCAATAGGCATTTAAATTGTTAAAGTATGTTTTCTAAGAGTGCGTCAGCCTCGAGTATAGATTAGGGCACCGACAAGAGTTCTTCGCCTGTCGAGATTCGTCATCCCCTGAATCGTCCCCAAAACAAGCGTCCAACCGTCCAACCCTGGGAGTCCTTACGTGTCAGTACTTCCAGGTTCCTTTTAAGTATCCGTTTATTGATAAAATATTGCAGCTTTGTTGCTAGCAGATATGAGACTGTATTTACAAGAGCTTGGAAATGTAGAAGTCCAAGGATTGAATGGTGAGAATACATTTCTATCTGCTGTCGCATTATAGGAGCATAGCAAGGCTGATGGGCTGAATTATTTTGACTGTGGTTTGGTGAGTTGAACGGTGAAACGGAGAGAAGACTAACGCAGATGAAGCATCTGCAGTTTATCTGATGATCATATGACAATTACAAGGCTATTCCGAGTCATTCTGAATGCGATTTATTCCGGTAGTTATACCTCCTAATAATCCTGCATCTGTTAGCCTCTTCATTAGAGGGAGATATATAATGTCAAGTAAAGAACGTGTACTAGGGCTGAAAACATGACGTGTTGTATGCGAATGGACTCAAGAGATAATACATAATCAGGCGGCCCCAGCTGACATGAAAACTTGATCTTTCTACATACTATTTATCTAATACTATTAGTTTCAAGGAAACTAATCGACTTCGGTCTCCCAAAGACCGCAGAGCCCGAATGTCTAGGAACCTCTGACCTGGGATCAAATGGCAAAATTTAAGTGTGATACTAAGTGCTGTCTTTTTTTCTGCAATAACAAAGCCATTTTATAAGTTCCACCAACAAATTATCGACAGATAGAGCTGATTGGAGGGCCATTCCAAGAAGCGTTACGATTGACATTGACAGATAGATGATGACATTGCTAACTATATTTACCCTCGTACTGAATGGAAGTTATCTCCGGGATGTAATGGTCCCTGGGGCGTTCTTGTACAGCAAGTGCATGCCTTTAGAAATGCGACACCAGTCAGCTATCAATCAACTATCTATGTATCTACGGGCTGACAGAGAAAATAAGCATATCCCTAGTTGTCTGGGAGAAATGATGTCAGATGCTCATTCTGACAGGTTCCAGAGCATCCATCAGCTTGGCGTTGAGGCTCTACCCTTGCCAGTGCTTCCAGGTTGCACCCCGCCGGTGAATGATGGAATGGGGCACGCACGAGAAGTATACGGTCTCTGTGCCGGTATACATTGGGTGCTCGTGTTCAATCCAGCTGACTCGAGGAAAAGCGGCGAATCCTGTGCTTTCCGTGGTCTGTCAGCATGGTCATTGAGTAGGGACTTGCGTGGCGGACAGCATGACGGAATGATAGTCCAGGTGACGCGGAAATTGATTCTTCCCAATTGGCTTACAAGTCAGCCCGTCCGGGGATGGCTTGCTCTGGTAGTTTCTTATATAAAGTGTCGGCTCAGCGGTGTGAAAGGACACTAGGCTTATCCTATCCCGATAGGGTTCTTATTTCCGGTGCTGGCCCAGTCGGTCTGCTCACGGCACTACGGCTGGGCCAAGCTGGCATCAAGGTTGATGTTATCGAGAAAGAGGAGCACCTCAGTGAACGCCCGCGCGCCAATGGATACTATGAAGCTGCCTTGTTGACGTTGGAGAAAGCCCGGGTGCTTGAGTCAGTAAGAGATGCAGGTTTTTCCACGTACGGTCTATGTTGGAGAAAGCCCCATGTCGACGATGGCAGCGGTAGTAAGATAATGGGGGATTTCATTGCCAAATTGACCTTCCCGGACCTCGATGGCCTTGGAAGTGGTGTGATATACCCACAGTCTGAGCTGGTGAAGCTGTTATTTAGAGAAGTTGTTGCTACTGGCTTTGTGACGTTTCATTTCGGTCGAGAGTTGTGCGGTATTCGGGAGGAGGGTGATTCGGTCCTGGCTACTGCGCGGACACGGGATGGCAAGGAGGAGTACTTCCAGTGTGCATTTCTTGTCGGAGCCGATGGTGCAAAATCAGCAACGAGACGACTTCTTGACATACCGTTCAAAGGATACACCTGGCCCGAACGAATCGTGGCCATCGACGTGCTCATGGAAAACAAGGATATCGATCTCCGCGTTCACACCTCTCTCATCGTCGACCCCATCAACTACGGCGTCTTATCGCCCTTGGACAAACCTCAGGCGGGAAAGAAAACCCTGTACCGATGTTCTATTGCGGTTGATCTGTTAGATACCAGGTTCGACGATGAGCTTGCCGCAGAGGCTTCTGTCATGCCTCTACTTGAGAAAACGATTCCTAGCCCGAGACCACTAGATATTGAAGTCAAGAAGGTTTCGCTTTTTAAGATGCACCAGCTCTGTGCGTCTACCTTTAGGAGGGGTCGATGTGTGCTTACGGGTGATGCGGCTCATTTGAATAACGTATGTTACAGTCGTCTCTTGCCTCGTGCATACTGCTATTGTAGCTGACCTATCAATATATACAACCATTCGGTGCTATGGGTCTGTGTACTGGGATCATCGATGCAGATGCAGTTTCTGATACCCTAGAGCTGACAATCAACGACGGTAAACATCTGTCCCTCCTTGACATCTACTCCGACAAGCGACGGAGGGTTTTCCAGACATTCGTCGACCCGGTCAGTGCGCAGAATAAACTACGTTGTGCAAATGATCCCGAGACCGCGGCGGAGGACTGGTTCATACGAGCAGTAATGAATTCTTCTGAGGCTGAGATGGCGAAGTTTGGCAGTGCCTTTTTTGATGCGTGGGGTACTGATATGAGAACGCTCGTGGAGTCTAGTTGATTGGTCTCCTGTGTTCAGAGATAAGAATGCCAGGACTTTATAGAGCTGCATGAAACATTCAACATGGCCATGGTGGATTCCTTTCTTGGAAAGGCTGCTCTTGTATCTATCGCTATTATACGTATTGCAACCGGTTCTCCCAGTCAAAAGTATCGCGATTGAATAAGTGTATCAATGAATCACCACGCCACACCTTCAGACTTCAGCGGCAGATGAAGCATCCGATGCCCTGATGGCGTCGGCTTGGGCAACTGTCCTGCACGAATGTTGATCTGCAAAGACGGATGAAGCAGCTTTGGCTCCGACATCTTCGCATCCCGCTCCTCTCGCATGGCGACGTACGCTTCCAAGGTCGTGCCGTCCATCAAATGTTTATTGTGTCGTCGGTGCTCCCGCACGCTCATCCAAGGCCTCGGGCCCTCGCGTCCCTGCGGCGGGTAGTCATGACCCGTCCATATCTTCACTTCATCTGCCAGACCCAAAAGCTTTCTCCCGGACTGGAACATGTCGCGGGCGCTTCCGCCGGGAAAGTCGCAGCGCGCAGTTCCAATGTCTGCGTGGAAAGCCGAATCGCCGCAGAATACATTTTCTGGTCTATACTATTAGTTACTGAAGTCAAGAAGAGGAATACAAATCACGACTTATTACTCACCGCCAATTTTGTAGCCCACATGGTCAGGAGTATGACCCGGGAGATGTAGAACGGACGCGCTCAGCTCGCCGATCTTGAATATTTCGTCATCGTCAAAGTACTTTCCAAAAATGTCCTTGTATTCAGCCTTGGAAACCCCATACCGCTGGCCAAACAGATTCTGTACCTGCTCGATGCGCTTGCCAATGCCAATAGGCGGCTGGAAACTTTGATCTTGAGCCAGTTTGGTCTGGAGGTATGACGCCGCTGTCATGTGATCCGCGTGGATATGGGTTTCAAGGATCATGACCATTTTATATCCCTGGTCCTTGACCATCTTGCGGATTGCATCCGCACTCTGGGTGCTGATGGTCTGACTGGCCCGATCGTAGTCCAGCACCGGGTCGATAATGACGGCATGCGATGATGCCGGATCGGAAACGATGTATTGCCACGTCGAAGTGTTGTTCTCGAACAGCGCGTGTATTGTCGGCTCACCCGGCTTTGTTGACTCGACTTGGCATTGCTCTTGATTTGGAAGTTCTTCTGGAATATCCTGGGTTGAGAACGAACGATATGCAAGATGTGGAGTTTGATGCCCATGGCTGTTTCTGCTGGCTGGTGATCTTCGACCATAGTTCTTGTTCTTTCTCCCAATTGGAGCTCGGTCAGAGAACGCTCGAATACTCTGTGTAGATCGAGCTCCAGGCACTTGATATAGAGGAAGAACACATCGCTGAGGGTAATACAATATGGCGGCGGGGATATAGCTGGCCAAGGGCAAGATGGAATGGCCGAGTTTACTACTCGGTGCGCGGGCAAACATTATGAGAGTATGCAATCAATGGGAAATCAATTGAGAAGATAGGAAGATTATGCTGAGACATAGCAGTAGCTGGGAAAGCCAAAGAAGTAATAACTCTTTTACCTATGACGTGTAATCGGCGATTGAGTGTCGGCGATTTGACAGATGAATTTACTTTTCTCGTCCCTGGAAACACCTCTGATGGCTAGCTATAGGTTCTGGTTAGATGTAGAACTTATCGATGGGTTTTCTTTTCCCTGCTTGGTTGGTAGTAACTTTTAGTATTACGTAGTGTGACCTCGATGCCTACTTCCGGCCGGGGAAGGATTCAAGACCACATATAATGAGCAGCGGTACAGTGCGTCCCAGCTCTTGTCGACGCAGGCACCCGCACATCAACACGCTCTTGTATGTCCAGTTATATTTCCACTCAAGGAATGCGCCAGGACCGGTTAGATCCCGACCACTGCCGGGTTGAAACCCCGGGAAGGCGATCTACTTGGAGATTAGGTCGCCGTTTTGAAGGTCGGGCAGTCCAAGGGGAGGTCCGAATAGTCTCAAATTCCCCTGCGAATAATTCGCCCGCTCGCATTCGGCAGACCCACAGGTGATGATATACGGAGTGAAATGTCCGGCGGTAACTAACAACGTACCTTCAAACATATCACGGCTCAACTCCGCATGTCCTCACACTCGCATCTCCCATTTTAATAATCAATCATCAACGGGTTTGGTTATCCGAACAATCATGATCTCCCGAATTCGCCACTGGTTTCTCCCCCGGCCCGTCGCCAACAACGGCTCTCAACTGCGCGATCACCTAGCCAACGAGCGCACCTTTTTATCATGGACGCGCATGGGCCTAGCATTTGCCGCCATGGCACTAGCCCTCGGCCGCCTGGGCATCATCGACCACGTTTTCAACACCGAATGGAAGAAGAACGAGGCGGCGAAATCCAAAGAGCGACAGACTACTACCGGCCCCGCTGTCCACGAACCCAGACTCCCCCTGACGGGAGCGAACGATATCCTGGCCGGTAAATTATGCTGGGCCATCAGCGCCTGGTCGTTTGGATATGGCATCTTTCGCTATGTTTCCATTCGACAGACGCTGCTTTCGGGACGCTTTGTCCCAGCAATTTGGGGGCCGGTCCTGATGACGTGCGGCTCGGTTGGGTCTCTGGGGGTTCTGTTACAGTCGGGGACTGGACAGCCTCTTCCAGAGTCGAGTAAGTCGGAATAGTTGACTTACTGGCTTTGGAGCGATTATGCGCTGAAGGTTCTTCCGGAAGTTTCGGGTTGTAAGATTACAAAATGTATTCGCCGTCTAGACATGGGTGTGGAGTACTGCAGTGGAGCGCGAGGCTTGTACAAATAGAAGCATACTCCCATGGAACACTAGGGTATAGATAGATGCCGTGACATGCGTCACTTGAAAAAAGCCGCCTGACAGACAACATGCTCTGGCAGACGGAAATATATATATACTTTTTCAATTAGAATGTTGAGCAGAAACCGTTGTGTAGAATTATATTGCTAGGACACAACCTCCATCGGCCATCGCATCAACGAAACCAAATTCTCATGTCCAGCCCTCCTAATTAGACCATCAATCACAGCAATCTCCCCCTCAAATGAGCCCCTGAGGTACCAAAAATCCTCATAAAGAGTAAATATCAGATAAAAATGAGCAAGTATTGCATATGACCCTCCTTCAACCGACCCGATTCCCATCTCCCCATCGACATTGAGGGAAGCAAGAAAAGTGCTTGATAGTAAATCAGGCCAAGAAGTGACGGCTGTATCTTCCAGGTCGGTCTGCACATCTAGATTCATGGGGGTGTCCCGCTCACTTGTCGTGAATTCTAGGATGTATAAGATGCGCATGTACATGTCTTCGAGGATGTCGATGGCAGCTTTTTGGGCATGGAGGAGTTCGTCGTTGTCGTTGTCGTAGGGATAAAGCTAAAAGATAGGCGAGTCTTGGAAGGTCGGGGTGGCACTATTACTGATCTTGCTTCGTGTCCCGTATGATGGTTTCAATGTGTTAATGAAGTCGCGGGGTGATTCGAGCGCTGTGCTAGCGTTGTAAGCAAACCATGACAGCCGCAATGAGCAATGCTTCAGACGAGGGAAAGACGAGATCGTGGTTGAAGGTGGAAAGGCCTTCCAGTCATAATTCGCATGGCGATAGTATAGTAACGAGCGTAATCTGCCCGTCTTCAAAGTAAGCCACTGCTGGGTCATGATACTAACCAGACCACGGATTAAATAAAGCCAATCTAGTTGCAAGCGTCCGTCATTTCCCGATTCGGAACGCGAATCCGACAAGTAGAGTCGACCCACAGCATATGACTTCTGCGGTAGCGGGCGATGAGAATTCAGATGATGAAGATGAACTTGGCAACAATATCTTCAATGATGAGGGCCAGCTACCTCCTGAACACTACTTGGCCCAAGCAGAGAGCCTGGATGTCTCTCAGCTTTGACAGAAGCGGTACGGCGACCTTACCCAGGAAAGGCTTGACGAGACCCGCATGTACTGGAATAGGTAGGTAACCCTCTTGGCTGTCAGGCTATGTCTGAAGCTCACTGGTGGCTCCCTGGCAGGTACTGTCAACATATTGGTGTTGACCCATTGCAGCACTGGCAATGGATCTCAGACTCAGATGAAACAGTTTGCTTCCTGTATGCATTTTTTTTTGCTGGCGGTGTGATATTTGTCATGGCAAGAATGTTCGTCACTGCCCAGGGATTCGATACAAGAGCTCACTCAAGTCATTCTGGAAGTGGTGGCATCTTGTTCTGAAGCAGGAGACAGCAGGACTGAATAAAGATATAACTGTCAAGGTAAATGATGTGAGTACACAATTCATGTTCTGCTTTGGCCAGGGAAGGAACAGCTACTGATCAAGTACAGGTCATTGCCATTGTCACTGAAGAGAAAGGCCTAGAACTCAACTGGTGGCTGGACATCAAGGATGTCGCTGAGTTTGCACGCGTCCTCTTGACCACCACTGAGATAACATTCAACTGTGGCTGGCAGCATATCCAACTCCTTTTCTTCTGCCAGCTTGCAGCCATCACTGCAAGCTGTCCAGGGGCGCTCCTCCACCTTCACTATCAGGACATAGCGCTGACCCTGATCTGAGATCCAGAAGGTGGACCCCCTCGGCTGTTCATTTTCTTAAAGTCAGACTTTATGAAGAGGTTTCTTGGAAAAAAGGCTGTGTAGGTGTTCTTGATTCTTCTCGCCCCTTCGGAGCCAGTCAGCTGACAGAATTCAATAGGAATGAATTTAAAATTCCAGAAATCATCTTTGATCCAATTCTGGTTCTCAGTCCACATGTATGCTTGCTGAGTATGCTCTTTCACATACAGGGCTTCAAGAAAATCTCTACAGCTGGACCAGTGCTGGATTGCCCTGAGAAACTTTATAGCCTTGGGGTACTGGACGGCAAGGGACAGCAGGAGCTGAAACTCAAGGATGAAATACTGGATAAATTTGTGTTTTGCCAGGTGGAACGGGAAGCCATGGGATATCAAATCACCTTGGAGAAGAGATTGATGGCATTCACAGTCCAGTCCTGGATGCATTGAGTCAGTGAGATTACAGGTTTTGATGAGATCACCCAGCCATACCTTCTCTGATACACTGGAGCCAAGGAATTCAACAGCAGTGGTGAGTATCCCTCAACCCACAGGTAGTTGGGTGCTAACCCAATGGATAGGAGAGGTTACAAATGCTCTTCAAAACATCATCCTACAGCACTCAGATATCCACACCTTCATCCGACATTATGAGGTGGATGTTGATGTTGACGTTCAGGGAATTATCCATAAAACTGGTTCTCAGACACCATTAGTGTGATTTGCTTGCTCGTTGAGTGCCTCAATTGACCCAGATCGACCTTATAAGCTCTCTCCTGAAGAATCCAAGTCCCTCAATGAACCCCCTGTGGTTCGTGCATGGAAGGAAAGGGTAAACAAATGCAAGCAGAAATGGGATGACCGCAAAGCCAAGTTAGACCATGCCAATATGGCATGTCAAGCCGCCTTTGGCCACCTTGATGATGGAGCCCCTCTCAAGCACCACTATCATCTATGGGCAAAGCCGGAACTTCTTCAGGATCAGATGATGGAAGCAAAGCAGAGGTATAACAAAGCTATCTGTGAACTGCGTGATGAGAAGCAATGACAGCGGAACCAACAGATCAAAATCAATCTGGAGCGGTACAGGAATGAGCAACCCATGATTGACCTTGAAAGGCAACTAGCAGGAAAGCTGGTAGATACAAAGGTGATGGGCACTCTAGAGCACAAGGGCTTCATGCTGTGACGGCTCAACGACCAGACAAACATTGCCAACATGCCAAAAGATGCCATACAAGCAATATGGACAAACAAGGGCTCAAGCCACATCGCACAAAGGCTTATATAGAGACTGCACTCGCCAGATAGATTTCCTCTCCTTTTTCCTTCCCAGATTCGATATTCTCGTTGATGGCTACAATAGTCAAGATAGGAATTCAGTTCGTTATTATCTTCTATTCCGAGCCCGTGACACATGCCTCCACAGCATCTGATGGTGATTGACGCCACGCTGACTATACCAGGTGCCACTCTTGAAGCGGAATATCAGCGCCGGATCCACACAATTAATGCGATGACTACATTCTGCCCTGTGGAAGAGAGGCGGCCTACTCCTCGACCTACCCAATCTTGCCGCTAGCCTATGGTTGATGATGACAAACCCTGTCCTCCTTTCAAATGGCAACGGCACTTGTTAGAGGATGATACCGAGATTGCCCTGTACCAAGCAATGCAGTCTGCGAATCAAGTCTCAAGGACAGCGACCCAAGATCTGCTTTCTTTGCCTGGAAAATCCCAATCTTCCACTAAAGGACCGGATTGTGGAACACGCAACATCTGGTTCACTCACCAGGCATTTTCTACGAAAATATGTCAATCCTCCCTGGCCGGCCAGAGGGATTGAGTGTAATGCTTGTGGGATGGAGTTGCTTGAACGGAAAACTGATCTTTTAAATCACACAGAGAGGTGCCATGGAACAGTTGTGCGAGGTTCCAATCAGGGGAGGCTAGCATTGGAATGTCAACACCAAGCTGGACTCGTGTCATAATAAAGGAACCTCTATATTCCGACATCTTATCATTCATCACGCGATCTCGTCAGCATCTACTGGCCTCTGCTGACTGCTGGGCTGCGCTGTTTATGATACTAGCCTATGCTAACCATGGGCTTATTACCAGCGTAAACCAGCAGTAGGCTCAGTATTCTTTCTCAGGTTCAATAAGTGAATGTTCAAGCTGGGCCTGGAGAAAAGAAGCCCAATCTCCACCCTTGCTCAACTCTCTTCCTCTTCCAACCCACCATCCACTTTGGTATGTCTTCTCAGATCTCCATCCGCTGATCCGTACTGACCTTATACAGATATCATCTTAATCCATCTCACGATCTTCTTCCAGCAGTTCAATCCTCAGCTCCATTACTTTAAGTATCCTCCACCCCAACCTGATTGCTATGACAAGTACTGACATAGTCAGATCACTATGCCCGATAGCAACAACCGCACCGGTAACCGCAATAGCATTCTTTTTGATTACTTTCATGAATGTTTGTCTAACAAGCATGCATTTTATATTGGTCAAATTGTATATGTGGACTGTACAGTATTTATGCCATAATTCACTCTAGTCTTAGGCTACGATTTCAAAGCCAAAGAGGCTCTTAAACCCAATGTGGGTCATTAACGGTTAGGGTTGCGCATATTACCAAGTTGTGTGATCAGCAGCCACATATTTCCGTACGGACCATTTGTGGCTCCCCCCCCAACTGCCTGCCACTGCGTGATTTACCGCAGGCCCACTCGCTCAGCCATAGTACTGCCTCCTGTCCCCACATAAGATTAGGCCGCCAAAATTACGACAGCTTCCCCCTGCAGGAGCTTGGATGCCTATTTATATCACAGAGGTTGTCACAGACGATGTTGATCTGCAGAAGGGAGATGTATTATGGTAGATCTGTACATTTGTAAACTACAATTGTAACTCATCCCCCCCACATTACATCATGGTCAGGAATCGGAAAGCAATCAATATCAATATAAACACACATGGTTGCCGCTCGACTTCAGCTGCCCTGCTGCGGATAAGCAAACCACAGCACGAACAATACTTTGCATACGGCGTCCTCTATATTCTCCTGTCTCAATTATTTCCAAGCAGAACCTGTTCCTACAGCACTCAGAGGTACGTGCCAACTTCAGAACACCACCCAGGCGTTTCCATGCTCACGTGCAAAGCAAATCACAGATCACATATACGCCATGCAGGAGCCTGCCACAGCACCGTGGGGTCTGAGCATCAGCGACGCCGACTTTGAGAAGCTCAAAGCCGGTTTCGAACCTCAGGATCAGGATGACAAATGGCGCGTCTCGGTCACGGATCAGAGCCGGAGCGGCAACATCTCCATTCACCTTGCTCGAAGCGGGACGGACAAGGAACTCTACGTACTTGTTGTGAAGCCAAGCGACGGTGACAGCAGCAGCAGTGGTGTGAAGATCGAAGCTATCACCTGGGAACAGAACAAGGGTGGAATTCGCATCTCGGAGGAGCAGGCCAAGAAGGAAGTAGTGATTATAACCAGACGCCTTCTGGAGTGCGATTTTGATGCGCTTCCAGAGTATGAAGTCTCGGATCTGTGGAATCATCCTGCTGCTCATATAGGCGCCAATTGAGCAAACTTTTCTTTTCTGCCTCAGTATCTAGGCTAGGCCAAGTTGTCAATAGACACCGCATCGTGCGACCTCTTTGAAGTCCCCGTAGGAATGCAACCATTGTTAATATCCTGGCAGGGCTACCTACTATGTACCTCCAAGGCTTCCTGTGTTTGTTGGTACGTACTGCGGCAGTAGACAAGGCAGCAAGCAGACTGTGGGACATCATTTTCTTCCCCCGGCCGCCCCCCGATCAATCAACCTGCAACATGTAGCCCCCAACAAAGACAGCTTCTCTTTCTCGGGATGCACCAACTGCATGTGCTTTGGAATACAGCCACTCCTTTGCATGTTCAATGCGGTGTTGACCAGACCTCAAGAAGAAGCTATTCCAGTAAGTGTCGTCTCACCTCCCGCACAACCTTATCTATGCAGGAACATCACCCGGTGCGGCTCAATGTCTGCAAACACAACTTCTGTAGTATTACAGCTTTGCGGCTGGAATTCATCCATCTGGTCACAAAATGCCGGTCAACGGCTTCGCTTTCAGTACATCCCCATTTCTATAACTGCCATGGATGGTATTGCTCGCGGGAAACCACTTACTACAAAAGCACCCGATGCGCCGCAAACTTGAGTAGATGGACTGACACTGTCGACTTGACAGATATACTAAATAAACAATGGCACGCATGTTGTCCTGCGCATCAACCGCCTTGACCGCCTGCACCCGCGCGTTCCTGACCAATGCCACGACCCGATACGTCAAGGCGCGAGCCGCAAGCAACAGCGCTGAGATGGCCAGCCTCCTTATCGACAGCGCCAGCTACACGGAGAACGAGCAGACCGTCGCCATCAACTACACACGCCCTAGCAACGTGTACCAGAGGGGGGAAATAATGTCTAAACCAGGTATTTGTGGCGAAGTAGGATATAATGATATCAAAAACTTTATCGAGTGATTGACAAGTACTATTTCTGGACCATGGGTCCCGACCCGTATTTTGTCCGTAGGGCTTCGTGTTTGTATCTACAGCTCGTATACTCGTATTATGCCCTAGAATCTCGGTTTTTCGTTTTAATTTTTTCAGACGGCAGAAGGAGAAAAGATGAAATAAGAACAATGGCCGAAGAATAGATAATAAATAATGTCCCGTCTGCGGTTTAATATTCTCCCCATCGCGGTCGTTCATCCAGCGTCGAATACATCGTTCTCATTCTACCCCGTTCATCATCGGCCTTGTCTGTAAGTTCCCTCTCTCTCTCTCTCTTCAATAATCCCATTACTAACTTGTTTAACTCATAGTCGAAGCAGCAGGTTACATCGCACGCATATTCCCACACCTCGATACTCTAGCCCTCGGCCCCTACATCATCCAAACAATGCTCATCCTAGTCGCGCCTCCATTATTCGCTGCGTCCATATATATGACTCTGGGACGACTAGTCCGGGAGATGGGCGCGGAGTCGGCATCGCTTGTTCGCGTTAAGTGATTAACCAAAATCTTTGTGGTTGGGGATGTTATCTCGTTTGTGTTGCAGTGTGGTGGTGAGTTTTTCCCTTTCTCCCTTATAAGGACAATGACTGACATGGTGCAGGAGGTGGATACATGGCCGCAGGTTCAGCAGAAGCCATGCAAAGCGGTGAGCACATCGTCATCGCCGGTCTCGCCATTCAACTCCTCTTCTTCGGTTTCTTCATGTTCGTTGCATTCCTCTTCCACTGGCGAGTTACCAAAACCGCATCGACATACAAAATTTCGAAAGCCGTGAGATCCCGATGCGGCTAATTCTCCTGGCACTCGCTCATGTAGGCGCTTTATGCTGCCTGTGTGTTGATTCTGGCGCGGTCTGTTTTTCGTGTTATTGAGTTTGTGCAGGGAAATGATGGGTTTATTATGAGCCATGAGTATATGTTGTATATTTTCGATGGGGGGTATTCTGGGTCTTGTTTCCTGGGTCTTTTTTGTTGGGGGGAATCAGTGGGAGCGAGCTGTATCTGAGTCTGTTGCGTCGGATACATTGCCTTTGGAGGAGGGTCGGTATGGGTGGAAGTAGTCTTCTCTTTCTGGTGTTGCTACGCTGCGTCTTTGTCGAGCCTTCTTCTTTTCTTCGGCTGTTTTAAGTCATTTATAGAGCGTTGGAATAATTCCAGTTATTATTAGAGATATTAGCACTTGCCCATAATCACAGCAGATGATTGATACCGGAAAGACATCTCAAAAAAAGGAAACCAGCCACATCGCATCCAGCATTCATCATCCCTTCCGACCTTCAACCGACCGCCCCTCAAGTTCATATACAGCCTGCCCATGCCCATCCAACTCCCTCCTCTCATTCCCCGCGTCCAACTCCCCCACCTCCTTCGCCTCAACCTCACTCACGGGTCTGCCTTGGCCACCGTTCTCGTCCTCTTTCCTATTCTCATGCACTGTTGTTTCAAGAACATTTAAATCCTGACGATCCCGTTGCCGTTTCCGCCAATATCCAAAGAAGAATACTAAGAATAGCGCGGATAGGACGATAACTCCACCTACTACGCCTCCGACTATGCCGCCGATTTGTGAGCCTGTTAGACCATTCGAAGAGCCATTCAAATTTGAAGAATTGTTTGTATCGGTGCCGTTATTCATGCTCTCGAACGTAACGCAGCAGCGGATGGTATCGTCGCCGGGACAGGGGGCGTCGGACTATTTCAACGAGAAGAAATATTAGCGCATCTCGACTCTCGTCTCCGGATGGATGGTAGGAGATGGAAGGGAAGAAACGCACCGGATCCCCCGTATAGAAATCCCCATCGCACGCATCGCGCGTATCATTCTTGCATAATCCGCTTCCTTGGGAAACGGTGCATGGGCGGATGAAGCAGCACTGTATTATACTGTTAGTCTTCTCGTTGACCTCAACCTGAATCTGAGATGTAAACTGCAAATGCTACCTCTGAGCCTGTGCCGCATTGATTCGGGAAGAAGGCACCGTCGCCTATAACCAATAGGTCAGGTTAGTCCACTAGCTAACGGAAAACTAGAAAGTAGTAGTATGAAGGATAGACTAACATGTCGATTCTGGTACGCACGTTGCCTCCTCTGCTACTGACCCCGCTGAGCAGGTGCCAGACGATTGTCGGGGAAAGAGAAGCCCTAAGTCCACGTCTTCCATATTGGATAATGGACTACATCGGCTTCGCAGGGAAAGAAAGACAGCGAGAGAGATCACGGAAGGGAAGGAGAGAAAAAGAAAACGAAGGTAAAAAAGAAGAAAGAAAGAAAGAAAGAAACAGCATTGGGATTGCCCGATATACGCTGCCAATACCCACCTGTCAGTCACCTCTGCCTCTTGACTCAAACCAAAAACCCAAAGCGACTATCCCATAAACCCTCAAGCATCATTGGACCGCGCTACATGCCATATTCCGTGCATTTCTGTATACAGCAAAAGAGCGACGTTGGCGATGCTAAATGCCGTGCCGCCAAGGCCCTAGAAGCAGGGGAAATACGAGCATGGAGGGTTGCCGGGCGTGAAGAGCGGGTGTTGAGACCCTGGGGATCAGGGTTCGGGCCTTTTGTAGAGGGGGTTGTGAGGATCTACTGATTAGTGTGATTCATACAGCCAGCCACACCGACGTCGACATCATGGGTAAATATGCAGTCAAATCACTGAATCACTGCAAGAGCTAAATAATGACATTTAACCCGCGGCCAAGTCAATTATGTCCAGAAGAACGTTGATATGTATGAGCCAGGGCGCGAGAAAGCGAAATAAATACAAATTGCCGACATATGCTAATACAATACACAGAAAAAAGAAAACGAACCATCCTTGAAATGTGACCAGATAGCCCACACAATTGCTTGCTTTAAAAAAAAAAAGAAAAAAAGAAAAGAAAAAAAAAGAAAAAAAATTTAGAAGATTAGACGAAATATGAGACGAAAAAATTCAAGCATACATAACACCTTTTTCCTCACCCAATCCTAAAAATTAACCGAGCAAGTCATCAAGTCCCGAGCTACCAGTCTTCGAACCCCCCTGCTGAGTCTGCTGCTGAGGCTGTCCCAAAGAAGGCGAAGGCGATGCAGCTGGCGCACCCCAGATACCAGCACTAGCCTTCTCCTTGGCCATACTCGCCAGATTCGGTCCCTTGCTCGCCATCGAGTTGGACTTCTGGACTCCCGCCTTGGCACTAGCAGTCGACCACAGCGAACCGAAGGCGTCGCCGCCAGAAGGCTTGGGCGTAGCGGCGGCGGGCTTGGGACCGGCGGCGGAGGATGAGGTGGCGGATGTGAGCGAGGAGACGGAGGACACGCCTGGTCTGTGGCCCAGGCCGCCGGAGGGGGGCTGGTTCGTGTTCATGGAGACGGAGGTGAAGTAGTTCGGGGTGGCGGCTTGGTAGCCTGTGGGCTTGGGCTGGAGGGGCTTCTGTTGTTGTTGCAGGGGTTGCATTGCTGCGCCGCCGGCGGGGGATGTGGGGGATGCGATGCTCGAGGCGGGAGTGGGCGTCATCGATGTGAATCCGACGATACCGTTCAAGTTTGCGCCCTGGGATCCGGACACCGGCTTGGGGGCGGCGAACTGCGTGTTCGATGTTGTGCTGACAGTAGACGACGGGGGAGGAATGCCGAACTGGTTCGACGATGTCGATGCTGCCGGTGCAGGCGCGGGAGTAGCAGACTGGAAGTCATCAAAGTCGTCATCGTCCGCTCCCATCGGTTGAGCATCGAGGATATCAAGTCCGCCGCTGGTGGCAGGCTGCTTGCCAGCGGCAGTAGACGTCGTGGCAGGGGTATCATCGTCGCCAAGCAGATCCGGCTCAGGCTCTTTCGGTTTCGGAGGTTCGGCCTGTTTTGCTTTGGCGCGCGGAGGACTCGCCGCACGTCGCGTCGCCGGAGCCGCATCTGCCTCATCGTACTCATCATACTCCTCGAACTGGTTACCTCCCCGACGTCCAGAGTCCTGGAAGTCACTCTCTCCACCTCCAAATCCACCCCCATCACCATAAACACCCCCGCTGTACCCACCAAACGACATACTGTCACTACCAAAGCCCCCGTATCTGCTGTTGCGGGCACTCGTGCCACCCCCAACGCCCATACCACCCTCGAAACCACTGAACTTATTCCGGTTGGCGCGTGCCTTCTTGCGCTCCGAACGGATCAATTCGACATCGCCAAGCAGCTTCACCAACTCCGACGCGCGGTTGCGCACGTTAATACCCTGGTCCTTCCCATTCTGGTCGATAAAGTGGAACTGGCGGAGCATGCGGAGGAGGGACATGTGCGAGCGGGCATCGTCGACGACTCGTTCCGATCCGTTCTTCACGAGGAATTCCAGAAGTTGCAGGCCCTGTCGGTTACACACATCTCATGAGTAAACATCCAACCAAAACGTCCCCCGACCCTTCATAACGCACCTTGTAAATCTGCCGCCACTCCTCCGCGGTTTTGTCTGTGAATCGCTTGTAAATCATCGGCATAATCTCGTTGAGCAATTGACTGCAAGCACCTGTCAGCAACCACTCCCCACCAGTACAGTATCTCACAACACGGAAGGCAACTGACTAGCTATGAGTCCCACTAGCAATCTCCTGCATCAATGTCGTAGAGGCACCCCAAGGCTCATTATTCGTCGCTTCTCGAACCTAACCATCGCACATGTAAGCCACATCTCAGCCAACATATTTCGTGTTCTCTCTAATAGACGGGGGCGGGACTCCGGAATCGGCGGGGAGACGGAGAACTAGGAACAGCGACAGCGACATACCTTCGACTCCATTTCGGTATAGTTCATGACAGCTATAGACAGTGGTTAGTTAGCAAGGGAAATACCAAAAAATAGCAAGATATATTACCCAAGAGGGCTTACCATTCTGTACTTTGCGGACTCCCGCTTTGAGATCATACAAGGTCAGGTTGCTGACCTGCTCCTTTAGGCTGTCCATGGCGCAGATAAATGGGAAGTCTTGGGCGCTATCGGTGGTTAATCTGTTAAAGAGAAAATAGAAATTAAGAGAGAGGAAATATCCTTGAAGTCGTGAGGGGAGAAGAGGGACGAGAGACGTTGTTTGTATTGATTGTCAGTCCAGCGAGACACATGGCATCGGCCCAACCCGGGCAGCGCGGTCACGTGGAGGTTGCCCCTGAGCCGTCGCTATGAGTAAAGTCACTTTTCTACGCTCTACACACTGTGTTGCTTATATGAATTGTGTCGAATGTAAAGATAGTATAGTAGACACTACTTGGGTAAATACATACATAGAAGACTCGTCGAAATCATACACACAATCGTCACGGGAAATCGCATAAACATGCAAATAACATGACACAGGGCAAACACAATAAGGAACCTCCCATCGGAATAACACGACAACGAGAACACAAACAGGGGTACTCGAACAACACGTCTCATAACGCCGGAGCAAAAAGGCGACGCCGCGCATCACCCGCATACCCGGATAGCTGAAACAAGAACAAGAAACAAAGAAATGAGATGAACGGGGATATCTTGAAGAACCGAAGAAAGAAGAAGGGGCAGGAAGAAAACAAGAAAAAGACAAGCAAGCGGCGACAGCCCGCTTACTCGTTGTAGAACTTTCTCATGATCAAATGCAAGAAGAGGTTGACGTTGACTCGTAGATGCCCATCGAAGAAGTCCAGGAACTGCAGGTTGTTGAACTGTGCCTGCAGCAAGTCGTCCAACGGCACCTGCGCATTCGCTCCAGGAACCATCATGGGCCCGCTGCTACCGTCAATAGTGAAGACACCAACCTCGTTACTTGAGATGGTGAGATCAACGCGATCCCACTGTCGCTCGGAGTATCCCTTCCAGTGCACCAGCACGCCCCTGTCTGCTAGGTTACGGGCGGAGTACTTGTACGATCCGAACTTGAACACTTTGCCGGATTTCTGAAGCTCACGTTGGTGATCCCACTGCTTGGTGAATGGCATCAAGAAGCGCTTCTTGCCCTTCTTGTTCTGTAACGTGATCATCGCCTGCTCAATGTAGTCGTTATATGTCTTGAGCTGCTGATCCAGCCAAAGGGCTTGGTCATTAAGACGGGCCGTCGTGAGGCGAGCGCTCTCGATTTCACGCTCTCTTTGGATTCTCCGACGATGCTTCGTTCGGATATCGATGGCGATGGCGTTAAGGAGATCCTGGTAGTGGTTGTCACGTCGGATCTTGCCGGTTCGTTCCAGTCGGAGGATGTTCTCCAGGGCGGTGCCCTTGAGTTCCGAGTAACTCATTGATCCGATATCAACCAAAGAGTTGGCCTCGGCATATGGGCTTCGTGGGGTGTTATGCGTGCTCAATTCGTCGCGGACCAATGTCATCCATCGTTCCTCGTCTTCCACGGTGGGCTGCTTGACCATGATGTCCATCAGATTGGCACCTGTCTGGACACGAATGATGTAGAGAATGCATCGCTTTGTTTCCATATACAGAGCCTTAATATCTCCTTCGGGGTCTGTAGAGCAAATTAGCGTTGAAGTCATGTGCGTATATAGGATGAATGTTTACCTTCGATCTGCGCGAGCTTTGGCACCAAGGTAAGGTTGATTTCAGACGAGTTGACGCTCATCAACTCATTCTCGTTGGTCTTGACGTTTCCAAGCTCACGGACGACTTCCTTGATAATATCATCAGGGTTCGTGCAGATGTGGTTAACCTCCGAAGCCACAAGCTGGTGGATCGAGAAAATATCGGACATCTTGATGTACAATGTGGGTTTCGTCTTGGCGTAAAGGTCGTTGAATTCGTCAATGTCAAAGTAGGACTCTGCATCTTGCACGGAAATCACTAGGCAGGGTTAGCAAATGGTGAAAACAAGGGAAGATAGGAAACTCACAATCACCCCAAATGAGGCCTAGACGTTGAATCGAGTCTCCAATGTAGCTGTTCAAAGGCTGGAGATAGACGTTCTCTGCTCCGAAAAGCCTTCCAGAGGCCACCTGCGCAACAACCTTTGCGATCTCGGACAGATTCCGCTTCTGCTCCTGGGTCATTCCCCGGTCAATCACCCCATAACGTTCCGGTTCAAGGACAGCAGGCTGGAAATAGTTCTTCCACACCCAGTACCCAACCGCCTGGAGTATGAACCCGGGGTCCTCGCTAGAGAACCGGGACAGGAGAGTTTCATACATCTCCTTCGCGACATAGCGGACACCAAATGGCATACGGTACAGCACCTCCTCAAAGTGAGCAAAGAACTGGTCGGCGATGTCACGAAGTTCCTGAAGATGTTGAATGAACGTAGCCCGGGTTTCTGGGTCTCTGATCGCTTCTTCTCGAGGGATGTCTGGTCGACGGCGGCTCCTCCGGCCGGTTTGGAGCTCTTCGTTGTTGATGGACGAGCGGTGAATCTGGATCGGGTCGCTTTCCAGATCCAAGGTTGGGTTCTCGACAATATGCTCCCTCACTACAGGACCAAGAACATCGCGCAGGAATTTTCGGTCACGGGGCGACTTCATATAGGAGGCGAAAAGCTTGTTCCAGAAAGAGTTGCATCGCAAATACTCTTGGAGCGAGTTGAAGCTCTCGATTTCTTCGCGGGCCGATCGCGCAAGCAGTTTGACTAGATAGTACTCTTCACGTCTCTTTTGGGAGTAACCAAAGAGTCCCATCATCAAATGCCTGATTCTCTCATATTCCTTCTCGGGCGTGTTCACCTCACGCAGCCGTCGGAAGAGGCGCGCGAGATACTGCGATTGGGTCTGAAGGAGGAAGAAAAGCACCTGGTAATGCTCGAGCTTCTTTCTTGAGGCTTTGTTCAAAGCCTTGAGATCGAACGGGTCCGTTGACGAGATTTCCGTGTTCGGCAACAGGCTTCCGATATGGCCTCCGAAGTGTTTCTGGTGCTTGACAACTTCATCCAGTGTGATCTTGTTCTTCACCAAGAGGGCGATCTTGATGTCGAGTTGGCTGATGTATTGCTCGGCAAGTTCGTTCTGCCGAACCTGTTGCACGACCACCTTCCGCAGCCGTTCAAACTCAATTTCCTCATCAAAATCGAAGTCGCTGTCGTTCAGAAGGTGAACAAAGCCCTTCACCGTTCCAACAGGAGGATTCTTTCCGCTGGTAAGGCTCTTGTACGCTTGACCTTGGATACGTCCTCGCACGACGCTCTGTGCTTTAACGACTTTCTCCATATTGGCCCGGTAATAGCGACGCTGTTCTTCGAATCGTAACCGGACCATGTGACCCCGCAGACGTGCTTGCATGTCAATAATAATATCCTCATCAGCCTCAAGGTCGGATAACACCTGACCAACTTCCAAGCGAACCAACATGGCTCTTGTCAGCGCCTGCAGGTTGGTGATCTCATCCTCAGAATCTTCAAGTTGTTCGAGGATCCCGCCAACTTCGATTCTCAAAAGAGCCGCCCGAGAGAGGGCCTGCAGATTCACAATCATGTGCTCCTCCTCGCGAAGTTCGTCGTCATCGTCCTCCAATCGCTTCCGAAGCAGAGCCCCACGGATAAATGATTGAAGCTCCAGGACGGGCTCATTTTCTGCCTTCAACGCCTCTTGCTGAGAATCCAAGAACTGCCTGACCGCCACGGCCCGGGAGAAACTCTGGAGCTCGACAACAGAAGCGGTATGCTGTGCCAAGGCGTCCCGAAGAGAGTCAAGGTTCTCTCTGGTAGCGGCACCGCGTACCATGGCCTGCAGGGCGACGCGTTGCTCCTCGGTCTTCTGGAGCGCCTCTACCAGTTGAGACTGGTGGTTTCTAACAGCGAGAGCTCGTGCGCCGGCCTGGATGGAGACGATCGAAGGGATCTCCTGGTTGAGTTGGGCCTTCGTGTGTGCCACGGATCCCCGAGTCAACATTCCTCGGATAACCGCCTGGAGCGGAACGGTATCCTCTTGGGAGCTCTCGATCGCAGCGTGCTGAGCACCGACCTGATCACGCTGCAGGATACCTCGAATGATAGCTTGCAGCGACATGACATCACTTTCTGCGTCGCGGAGAGCTTCGTATTCGATCGAAGCGTGGTTTCGGTGCAAGGCACCTCTGATGATGGCCTGCAACGCGGTGATATCTTTCTCGGCATCTCGTGTGGCTTCATAATCGTTGGAAATGTGGTTCCGTAGCAATGCTCCGCGAATAGCAGCCTGCAGCAGCGTGACGTTCGGTTCCTCGTCTCGGGTGTCATCGTAGACGTCGCAGACGTACTTGCGCTGAAGAGCTCCCCTCAGCGCCGCTTGGATCTGTTTGATTCCTGGCGCTTCCTTTTGCATATCGGTCTGGATGTGCTTCACTTCAGCTCGAGCCTTGGTTGCGCGTATGAGAGACTGCAACTGTAGGATATCCTGTCCCTGGGCTTCCCAGGTATCCTTGTCATCTTGTTGGTGAGAGCGAACGAGAAATCCTCGGCAAACTGCTTGCAGACCGATGGCGAAGTTTCGCATATCAAGTCTGTAGTGAACAATTTGGCGGGACCAGTCACCACGCAATCTTGCCTGCAGATCGACGAGCAAGGGCTCGAAATCCCACAAGTCATTCATCACGTTGCCAAGCATCAGTCGACACATTGCACCTCGGATCTGGGCTTGAAAGTCACTGGTTGCGGTCTCACTCTCACCCAGTTCCCGTTGTATGCGCTCCTCTTCCGATTCCTCGGGCTCCGGCTCAGGTTCAGGTTCTGCGCCAAAGTTTGCAGCCATGCCCGCGAAACTAGGCATGCTAACGCCTGATTTGTCGAGACCCTTCTGTGTTTGCTCGAGTTCATGGTGCTCGAACTCAAGTTGACCGACAAGATTGTCCATGCGGAAGTCGAGCATACCATGTTTGAACAGTAGCCACGACAGCGCATGGACGCAGTGGATGACCTTGGGGATGTTCTTTTTCTCGTATAGGTCGATCAGCTCAAATCGGAACAGCTCTGGCAATTCAATCTCATCCAGGAGACGGAAAAATAGCGCGATGTTATCTGAATGACGATATTGCAATCTCGGGTGTCTGAAGATTCGCAATGGCCGATCGGGGTACATCGCTTGGACGATTTCCGCCAGCGTGACACCATCCCGCAGGGCTTCTTCCAGTTGGACGATAGGCGGGATCTGCTTCTGAATGACCTCTTCGATCCATTCTTTGGCTTCTCCAATATGGCACAGGTACTCGTAGGCCTGAATAAACTGTCGTTGCTTGTCCATCCAATTGCCAGCGGTCCATGCTGATGTATTCTTTTTGTGAGCTGCAAGTGCGGTGGATGTTGGCGCAACGGAATCAGCGCGCTTCAAGCGTCGCCTCCCATGCAAGCCAACCACTGATGCTGTGGAGCTCCCGAGCGCCAATTCCTCGCTTTCCCCGGTTTTCGCAAACTTGGAAAGTGTCCGTAGATGGCCGGTCGACGATTTCTGAAACGTCTCGAGGTCTGGCGCAGTCAAGGTGGTTGTGATCGGGGCCGGGTTCGATAGACTGTGACCATGGTGCGCTTTCAAATGGGGCGGTCGGTTATGCGGTACGAGGGCTTGAGGAGACCAGGGACGTGGTAAGTCTGCGTGTGGAGGTGGCTGGGGAGCAAGCAACTCCTTTCCCTCAGGAGGCATGTTTTCCTGGCGATTGATGTCACCGCAATCTGGGGCCGCGGGCCGATTCTCCTTCCAATGCTTTGTATCGTCGACGGTATAACTTCGCGCATGTCGAGACGCATTGTCCTTCTTTGGAACAGCCGAGACATTGGGCACCTGGGGCAGTGGTCGCAACGAACGACGGATATTCTCATATGTGGCTCCGGCATTGGCCCGACGGGCCTGGTAAGAGCCATCGCTAGCCATCATGGTCCCGGTGGCCACAGTGTTGCTGACCTCACTCTTGCCTCGTCGATGACCAATGCTGGGATGCGAACCTATCGAAGCACTGGAGGAAACGGTACTTGTGCGACTCGGGACGAACGAATTGGACGACAAGGAATAGATGGACGAGGAAGTAGAAGCATCGGAGCCATGTCGGGCCGGACCGGGGGCATGGGGAGGTAGGTCCGTCTGGGTTCGTTTGAGGGAGAACGAATTGGAGGACATCGCTGACTACTGGCACCGTTCCGTGGTAAACAAGAATGCGACAACCGAAGGAGATTGGTGGTAGGTCTCGTTTCCAATTGGCCGCATACCTGCTTCCCAACCGAAGAAGCAGTGCGGTTGCACGGAAAATGTTGCCGTTGCCGTTGCTGTTGGTGGTGCTTGTTGGTCTGGATTGTTTTTCTTTGATGGAATGTGGTTGCTGGACGGGGATCAAGGGCGAGATCTCATTGCCTGTAGGGCAGAAATCGGGTTGATATAGAAACGGGCAAACGAGAGGGGTGATCGAATCCCGTCCGGTTCAAAATATCCCACACTGGTTCCTGAGTATCTGACCCAGAGTGGATGTGAGGGATCTCAGCGGAAAATAAAAAGGACGACTGAAAGGGAAGCAGGAAGGATGACTATCGATCGAGAAACGTGACTTGCAGCCCGTGCCTGGCGGGGGGGGAGAAGGCAGGGTCGTCGTTGCCCAGGAAAACAAATCTCCCTATCGGGTTTAGCGTGTGTGTGTCAGGTGACGCCACAGTGGCTGCTTATCTCATCAGCCCCTTCATTTTGTATTAATATTCCACAAGAATAACATTGTTACCCTGTACTTTAACATTCTATTAATTAGATCTATGCACACTACGGAGTATTTTCATCGTGTCTATCTGCTAGCACTTGGTGGCGCCTGGTTGAACTCAGATCCGATCCGCTCCACTCTCTATTGCCGATTCACGTGCCCAACCCGGTTGTTTAGCAGATCTAGCTTTGGCAGAAAAAGAAACAATACTTGTAAACACGGAATTATTTACCGCTGGTGATCGTCTGAGTCCCTGGCGATCGAGATATCGGGGTAATCTGTACGAGTAGTCGTAGTTGCTGTTAATTGTCTGCTCAATGTATGCCATACCGCTATAAAACAGCACATCCACTACATCTCATATGCAGAGTAAACTACTCCCTATAAAGCTAGCAAATACTGCACTACGAAGCATCCAGAAAGAATCCGGTCTCTTCCATCACGATTAGGGCTGGTTCGATCCAAAGCGGTGGAACCCCACCCGCCAAAAATAGTGGGATGTGCCCCGTCGCTCCGATTGTGGCATCATCGGCCTAACAGGTCTTCCTTTACTCCGTACACTTCCAACTATTAATTTCACCATAAAACAAAGCATACTAGACAGAAACAAACAACAAAATGGCCGACACAGAACCCCTTTACCTCTACAAGCTCGTCCCATCCTCCAGTCCAGTCCGAGAACCGCTCCTCGAAAGACTCGAGGTCAGCGAAATCGACCAGAATTCCGGTTTCATCCATCTATCGACAGCATTCCAAGTACCGGGTACTCTCAATGCCTTCTTCCAGGATGAGCCGCTGGTTTATGTTTTGCGGATTCCATATGGGTCTATAGAGCAGGATGTCCGGTGGGAGCCTCCGGAGGGTAAGGGTGGTCCTCGGCCTGATGAGGGTTTGTTTCCGGTATGTATTCGATTTGTGCTTTACTTGCTCGGTATTATCCGGTGGTGAATGCTAATGCAATAATAGCACCTCTTTAATGGACTCAAGCTTGGCAGGGATGAGGTGGAAAGTGTTGCAATTTGGACGAACCAAGGCGGGTGGGAGACAGCGCTCACGCAGGCTAGGCCGTGGTTGTTATACTAAAGATTTGAGCATGTTCATTGCTTGAAGTCTTGTATATTATGTTCCTTCGTGTTTCTACATGACTGACATCATTATAGCTGCATTTAGACGCAAAAGAGATTTATGATTCATAAATTATTACAGGTGTTCATTTGTTTAATCCTAGTTTCCAATATCAAACACTCGTTTTCCGAATGGATCTAATGATATCTATGGCGCTCTTCTAGTCGCCCAACGGGTAGCAATGCAGTACTTGTCCGTCTGTATAATTCGTTAGCGAGATACTCCGCCGAAAAGAAAAAGAAGGCTTACAATAGAATGACGAATCTGGGCTAGCCAAGAAGATAAAGCTCGTAGCCACTTCACTCGGCTCTCCAGGACGTCCAAGAGACGCCTTCGAGCCCCATCCACTCATCTGTTCATCGCTCCGAGTATCGACTTGAATCGGGGTATAGATGGCACCGGGTCTATTGAGGAGATGTTAGAATCGCGTTTCTCAAGTACGTAGTGATGGTTATACTTACGCGACAGCATTCACACGAATCCCCTTTGGAACCAGCTGGAGCGCAAGTGACCTAGTAAAACCGACGATGGCGCCTTTAGACGAAGCGTAGTCGACCATACTGCTGGATCCTCGGAAGGTCACAACAGAAGTGCAGTTGATGATGCTACACCTTATTAGTGACAAGAGTTTCGAGGCATCTGAAGGCCAACTTACCTATCGCCTCTGGTCATGTGTGGAAGGGCATATTTAGTGAGAGCAAACATTTGGAAAATGTTGGTATGGAATAAGTCTTCAACCTTGTCTAGGTCGATGTCGACAAAGTCCTTGCATATATACTGCTTGGAGGCATTGTTGACGAGGACATTAATCCGCCCAAACCTGTCGCGAAATCAGTCAACCAAGAAGCCCGCAGTTACCCATGAATGTCGCCCTACTCACTTCTTAACATGCTCCTCAACAGCTTTATAGCACGTTTCGCGCTTGACCAAGTCCCCGCTGAAGAGAAGGCAGCTTCTCTTCTCCTTCTCGACTATCCGTTTCGTGTCTTCCGCATCTTGCTGTTCCTGTGGCAGGTGGACGATAGTGATATCGGCTCCCTCTCTAGCCATGAGAATGGCAACTGATCGACCGATTCCTGAGCTAGGCGCTATCAGCGACTGCATGACATGAGGCATTCTTCCTTCAGAACATACTCTCCACCAGTGATCAAAACCTTCTTATCTTTCAATTTGCCAGAGCCGACATATTCGATCAATCCCTCGCTGGACTCCAATTTGGTCGATTCGCTGGGCGGTGCCATGTGGCTTTCCAACCTAAAAAGTGACAAAATTTAGCACGCAATCGTCCTCATTGCATTCTGTATAATAGGTCCATACCCTGGCTTCGGTTGACTTTGCGCAGCTTGAGGCGCCTTGAAGGCTCCACCTTCGCTCATTGGAGATGCCATTTTCAATGTTTCGATTGGTAGATCTTTTGATAATCTGTTATTCAGATAAAGCAGCTTTGATTCAAAAGCCCATATAGAATGGACTCCTGTCCATTATCGCGTTTGCGTCATGGTGTTGCAACGGCAGATTATGTCATAGCACCGTTTTTGTCAACAAGTTGTCGGATTAAGAGACTCTTGGTTCAATTGGACTGGAGCATGTTATTGGATGAGTAGACCTCCATAATAGACTGGATTCACGTGAATTCAACCCCGGGTTGTGTTATCGCTAGCGGCTAACCGGCCAGATCGAGATCTGATGGTCAGAGTGCCATGGTAGGGAGTTAGGGCAGAGTACTTACGAAATACATAGTTTTTGAAAATTGTTGTTCTGTGTTAACGAATAAATATAGCACATGCCTAATATATCGCTGTTGGAGCTAAAGTATTCTGTGCAGGATACATGAGTATCGTTCTAATTGCATATACTACATATATATTCGCATTGCATGTCACCACCATGTCTCGTCAAATCGAGTATGGACACATCAACAGCCAGTTTTAGTACATCGCATACTAGACTACCTGTCCCCAAGGACATGGCATCCAGACTCTCAAAGCCATACCAGAACGGTAAAGTATAGAAATTTCTGCAGGGCATCCCACGGCGACACCTGGATTATCTAAGCCATGCCACCGTAGACTCACCGCCCCGGTCAAAACTCGTTTATGAGCCAATGAATAACCCCTGTAAATTCTGCCACTCCTGCTAATCCTAATGCAGTAAGGCCCCCGCAAGCAACCCGGCGGGTACAAAGATGATTTTTTCGCTGCTCGATTTTTTTCCTCTTCTTTTCTTCCTTTCCTTTCTTTGGGAAAGGAAGACTTTCTCCATCAGCAGAACGTTTCTATCGCGATCTGTTGATTATCTTTTGATCTCTTGTTTTTGTCATTCTTTTTCTTATCTACGAGTTACGATCTCTTTATACCCTACATACACAATGACTCTTGGTCAGGGTGACAACCAGGGTCTCGCCATGAAGGCCGAGATCCAGGACTACTCCAAGGCTCTGGATGTCCTGGAGAAGGACTATCCTACTCGGGATGGTCTGGACGTTGACACTTTGCTTGATTCTGACAAGCACGGTGCATTGACTTACAATGACTTCCTCATCTTGCCCGGACACGTCGGTACGTTCTGAGCTCAGAAAGATACTCGTGCAGTTGCTAACTTACAAAAGGCTTCACTGCTTCCGATGTTACCCTTGATACCCCCGTTACCAAGCGTATCACCTTGAAGGCACCCCTGTTGTCTTCTCCTATGGACACTGTGACTGAGCACAACATGGCCATCCACATGGCCCTTCTCGGTGGTCTTGGTGTTATTCACCACAACTGCTCTGCGGAAGACCAGGCCGAGATGGTGAGAAAGGTCAAGAGATACGAGAACGGATTCATCTTGGATCCCGTCGTTCTCTCGCCCAATGCCACTGTTGGTGAGGCCAAGGACCTCAAGGCTAGGTGGGGTTTTGGTGGCTTCCCGGTGACTGGTGAGTTTTATCTTTCCTTCTCTATACCCCAGTTTTATTTTCGAAGATGACTTCAAATCTATCTTCAAATAACTTTCGTTCCACTAAAGCGACGAGAGTTGCAATGGAGAGAACGGATTATATCTGAGAAAAATGACTTAAAAAAATTTTTTTACCCCGCAATTTCCGAGCGACATGTGGCTAACTCGGTTTGCTATTCAGAAAACGGAACCCTTCGCTCGAAGCTCGTTGGAATGGTCACCTCGCGTGACATCCAATTCCACCCCTCCCTCGATGACCCGGTTACTGCTATCATGGCGACTGACCTCGTCACCGCTCCTGCCGGTACTACCTTGGCCGAGGCCAACGACGTCCTCCGTTCGTCCAAGAAGGGCAAGCTGCCCATTGTCGACGGCGAGGGCAACCTTGTCTCCCTCCTTTCTCGCAGTGACCTGATGAAGAACCTCCACTATCCCTTGGCCTCCAAGCTTCCTCAATCTAAGCAGCTGGTCTGCTCTGCCACCATTGGTACTCGTGAAGAGGACAAGACTCGCCTTAAGCTGCTTGTCGAGGCTGGTCTCGACATTGTTATCCTTGACTCCAGCCAGGGTAACTCTATCTTCCAGATCGAAATGATCAAGTACACCAAGGAGAACTTCCCCGACATCGACGTTATTGGTGGTAACGTTGTCACTCGCGAGCAAGCCGCTTCTTTGATTGCTGCCGGTGTCGATGGCCTGAGAATTGGTATGGGCAGCGGCAGTGCTTGCATTACTCAGGAGGTCATGGCTGTCGGTCGTCCCCAGGCCCTTTCCGTCCGCAGCGTTTCTCACTTCGCTGCTCGCTTCGGTGTTCCTTGCATTGCCGATGGTGGTGTCCAGAACGTTGGCCACATCGTCAAGGGTCTTGCCATGGGTGCCTCCACCGTCATGATGGGTGGTCTCCTTGCCGGTACCACCGAGTCTCCTGGTGAGTACTTCGTCAGCAACGAGGGTCAGCTCGTCAAGGCCTACCGTGGTATGGGTTCCATCGCCGCCATGGAGGACAAGAAGGCCGGGGCTGGCTCCAAGGACAGCAAGGCCAGCAACGCTGGTACTGCCCGTTACTTCTCTGAGAAGGACCGTGTTCTTGTTGCTCAGGGTGTCGCTGGTTCGGTTCTTGACCGCGGCTCCGTCACTAAGTTCATTCCTTACCTCGTTACCGGTATCCAGCACTCGCTGCAGGACATTGGTGTCAAGAGTCTCGAGGCTTTTCACGACGGTGTCAACGAAGGCACTGTCCGCTTCGAGGTTCGGAGCGCCAGCGCCCAGACCGAGGGTAACGTCCACGGTCTGCACAGCTACGACAAGAAGCTGTACTCGTAGGTGAAATTACAGTACACTTCATGTTGATTTACTTGCCTTCTTGGACCTGTTAATACGCTTTTTTTTTTTTTTTCCTTTATTTGCAAACGAAGCTACGCGGTTGATATGAGTTTTTTTTTTTTTTTTTTTTTAAAAAAAAAATAAATCGGGGTATATCGGTTAGGAGTTATGATAGACATGTATTATTCAATGCATTGCTTTCTGGGACATTGCAGTTTTTTGTAGCCTTTTAGCAGTAGACGATCATGTGCATAGCCGGCGGGGTCGGCAAAGGTAGCTTAGCCTAGGTTCCTCCGCGGGTACCAAAGCATAGCACCACATAGGAACCTATACCTAGCTATCCGGGACAAGACATCATTCCAATGTCTCATTTTTACGTCCTTCGCGGAAACACAGTCAATCGCCTACAAGTATTACACAAATCGGGTCCATTGGAACTTTCACTCCGTGCTTTACCGCGTCGCGTCCCGCAACAGCTCTCCAAAGGATATAAGACGTATTCACAGCTATCAAATATCAAATCGCGACAATCACCAGTGATATACCAAGGCTATCAATCCCGAAAAATGTCAACCCAGAACAAACGCGACTCCAAACCAAAGTCGCCCTCGTCGCCTAGGCCTAGTTCAAGGTTAGCATCCATTTACAGAGTATAGTTCTGTCATTCGATCCGATGATACAACGATACCAAACCACACCCTCAACAGCCAATGCTAACGACGCAGCGTCCTCCTCCTCTCCCCCCAAAACGAAATCCTGCTCCTTCACCGCGTCAAAACATCCACCTCCTTCGCCTCCGCCCACGTTTTCCCCGGCGGAAACCTCTCTCCCCAAGACGGGCCGTGTCCGCCCATTGAGGACCTAAAACGGCATGACGATGCGCCGTGGTATCGCCGCGCTGCGCTTAGGGAGTTATTTGAAGAGAGCGGGATTCTGCTAGCTAAGGATGAGAGCTCGGGAGAGATGGTTACTGTGTCTGAGAAGGAGAGGGAAAGGGGGAGGAGGGCGATTCATGGGGGAGAGGTTGAGTTTGGGGAGTGGTTGGGTGGGCAGGGGGGTGCTGTGCCGGATATTGGTGAGTCTAGTCTACTGACACTACGTTGGGTATGCAGGTGCTAATGAGCTGGGATAGACAAGCTAATCCCCTTCACCCGCTGGATAACACCAACCAACGTCCCCAAGCGCTTCACCACGCAGATGTATCTCTACTTCCTTCCGCTCCCCGTCGCGCCCGAATCTGAGAAACGCATTTTGGAAGAACTCCCTGAAGGAGGAAAACCAGAACAAATCCACCTCCCAACGAGCGACGGCGGCATCGAAGTCACCGAAGCGCGCTTCCTCCCTGCGAGCGAATGGCTGCATCTCGCTAAAGCTGGTGAAATCATGCTCTTTCCTCCCCAGTTCCTTTTATTACACCTCGTCTCCGAGATTCTAGATAAACAGCCCCGACCGGTTGATTCGTCGCTGTCATCACTGGAGGAATTAGAGAAAAGACGCGCGGAATTGGTAAAATTCGTACACTCTGGTACTCCGCCGTGGAGAGAAAAGTGCATTTCGCCCAAGATGCTGAAGATGGCGGGTGATGGGAGGGCGGTTTTGGGACTTGATCATCCGGGGCCGGAACTGGGAGCGTCGGAGAGACGGGGGGAGAGCGAGAGGGTTGTCATTGTTAGGTTTAAGAAGGGTGAATCGAGGGAGGTAGACGTTGCATCGCGGGATAGTGTTAGTAAATTATAGCCTCGTGTAGAATACACTCATCCGAACAATCCATCATCCAGATCCAGACGACTGTAAAGTCGGGCGGAGATCAAATTCGGGCGGAGATCAAATTCGGGCGGAGGCATAGGGCAAGCCACACCGCCTACCGAGCCGCGCCACGGTCAACCAGCCACAGCCCTCGACAAACAGTCACATGACCCACAGAGAAATTGCACCGGGAGCCATAATCAACTATCGCGACGCCGACACCTGCCAACGCTCGACTCACGAAACCGCATCCCCGCCCAGTTCTACACAAAAGTCGTTGTCGACCAAACCGTCAAAATGGAGAACGAAAGAGGAGAGATTGTCGATCTGTAAGCCTCCCTCCCTGTGCCCAGATTGCGCTTTTGCACCCCGTCCCCAGACTGCATTTTTTTCATCCCCGGCCAGAGGGCCGCCACGCAGTCTGAATAGTTTGTTGACAAGGTGACCAGCTACGTCCCCCGCAAGTGCTCTGCCACCAACCGCATCATCAAGGCCAACGACCACGGCTCCGTCCAGATCTCCATCGCCAAGGTCGACGAGACCGGCCGCTACACCGGCGAGAACCAGACCTACGCTCTGTGCGGCTTTGTGCGCGCGCGCGGCGAGAGCGATGACTCGCTGAACCGCCTGACGCAGCGCGATGGTTACCTCAAGAATGTGTGGTCTGCTAGCCGGTAAACCTTTGACCGGGGGTGAATTGTGAATTGGGAGGGTGTCGGTTGGGGTTTGGTGATGTGAGTTTTTTTTCTTTTTCTTTTTCTTTTTTTTTTTTTTTTTTTTTTTTTTCCCTTCTGGGATATGGTGGTTATAAGGGTGTTTTGCTGATTGTTGATAGTCCCTATTATAAGGAATTCAGCCGTGGCCGGCATTCAATCGATTGAATGATGATGATGCGTGGGACGGATAAAAGAGATGATGAGACAAAAATTCCAGTTATTTAAAACGAATGGAATGGGTCGACAATGAACTTTTCTTCCACTTTTTCTTTTACTTCTTTTCCTCTCCTCTATACTGCCATTTCCTCTATACTCTGCCTTGCGAAATGCATCTAGATACTCTATGCTATTCAGTGACACGGCACATCAAGGCCTCCTCATTCAATACCTGATATCCATTCGTGGAGATCGGTACGCCATGAGCGAGGAGGTAGACAAAATCGCCGGATATTAGTAGTATCTGCACTTTGTATTTGTACTTGTACGAGTACGGGTGTAGGTAGCCGCCTACTGAAGAGCCACTTTGCAGAGGATATGTACCGGGGCACAGATACGGGCGGGACATCTCCGTAGACATACTACAAGTGCTATAGTTATACTATACTAGTAAACTAGGCTAGGGTGGTACTGAAGAAATGAGATAACTTTTTAACTCCTGTCATCTCTCGTGTAAATCATAAGATACAAACGAAATCTATCATGCAAATGTTTAATCCTTCTCCAACCGAACGGCGGGGTTACTCTCGATGAAGCCCAGGTCTACCTTGTGGCCAAGGAGTTCTCGGATGTTGCTCACGCCGTATCTGCACCTGTTAGCACTGCATTTACCTGAAAGAAAAGGGACAGAGACGTACTTAATCATAGTAGGTCTCTCCAGACTCAACCCCCATCCATAAACCCGCATGTCCTTGGGCAACCCCATCGGCTCCAACATCTCCGGTCTGAACATTCCACTGTTTCCAATCTCAACCCACTTACCAAGACCCTCGTGGTAGCCGAAGATCTCCATACTCGGCTCGGTGTACGGGTTGTACGCAGGCTTGAAGCGCAGCTGGTGGATACCCATCTTCGCGAAGAAGACCTCCATGAATCCAATCAGACCGCCCAGTGTCAGGTCAAAGTCTGCAATGACACCCTCGATCTGGTGGAATTCCGCCAGGTGGGTTGCGTCGACGGCCTCGTTGCGGAAGACGCGGTCGATACTGAAGAAGCGCGCGGGGCGCGGGTTCGCGGCCAGCTTATGCAGCACGTAGGTCGAGATGGAGGTGGTGTGGGTGCGGAGGACGAGACGGAGAGATTCGTCGGCGTTCCAGGGGTAGCGGTAACCCACGGAGCCGTATTTGCCGTTCTGGTGCACTTCGCGCACGTTGTCCCAGTATGCCTTGAAGTCGAGGGGCTTCTCGTTGTCCTTGTAGGCACGCGAGACGGGCTGTGCGGACTTGGGGCGGTGCGGGTCGTTGAGGGGATCCTCGCGAGGAGGGTCTGCCTGCACGGGGTCGGAGATGTAGAAGGTATCTTGCAGGTCACGGGCGGGGTGTTGCTGGGGCACGAAGAGGGCGTCGAAGTTCCAGAAACCCGTCTCGACGTAACGGTTCGTGGGCATCTCCTCGAAGCCCATTTCAAAGAAGATGTTGCGGAATTCCTGGCGCACCTTGTTGAGCGGGTGGAAGGCTCCCGAGGGGGTCGGGGCACCCTTGGCCTTGAAGTTGTAGGGCTTGAACGAGGCGGTCTTCCACGAGCCGTTCACCAGCATCTCGGACGTCAGGTCGGTCTCCTCCTTGACGAATTCGCGAGCGTACTTGGGACCCTTGGAGATCTTGAAGTTGATAACTTTTTGCAGCGCGACCAGCTTCCGCTTCTTCAATTCCGCCAGGGTCTTCTGGTTTTCCAACGTCTGCGTCTTCTGCACGGTCAAGAGCAATTCGCGGGTCTCGTCGACAATGGATTCCGTGTTCGTCCGCAGCTTATCCTGGTCCTTCTTGATCCAGCCACGCTTGAAGGCATTGCCCTGGCCAACCTTGGCATTATCTTTACCCACAATGCCGGGCAGCTCAGTAATCTTCAATCCGTCCATGGCAGCGGCGACGGCCTCGAAAACCTTGGCTTCGTGACTGCCACCGGCGACAATCTGCTCACCCTCGCCGGTGAGACCAACGACTTCCCGTTCAATGGTGTCATACTCGACCATCTGTCGCGAGGCGAGGCGGTCGAGGGCACTCTTGACGGATAATGAGGGGGTGGAGGGGAAGGCATCGCTGGAGAGGATGGGGGCGTCGGTGCTGGACAGGGCGTCCAGAATGGGGCTTGTCAAGTCGGCCATGGTGGCGGTTATAACAGACCAACTGTTATAAAGAGAAGAACAACAAAAGGGAAGGACAGGGAGGACAGCTGCGACAGCCCACTTTGGAGATGACTCTTTTTCGGGTTTGCATTTGATACGGCGGGCAGAGGGACCAGGAATGCAGTCATGTGACTACCCCGCCGCACACTACTCAATATACAGTACAAATAAAATGTTATTCTATACTCCGTAAACAGTGGATGGTATTAGTTCACTATTCAATAGAAGAGGATAATTGTGTTCACTACCCAGTAATACATACGGAGTACACTGTGCGCGTCAAGGGGGACAGCCTCGCGTGTTTAAACAGGAATAGTGCATGTCCATACTTGGATATTATTGGCTGTGGATGAGTGGACCGTGGTGACCGTTAGGTCTGTTTGGTCTGGACACAGGGGTTTACCGTACGGTTATGTTCCTGTAATATTTAAAGAAAGGGAAGCGAAACTGAGTAAAGGTGTATTACAGTGTACTGCGTGTGTAATTCCATTATATAATTTACAGAGATGAGGATGTGGATAAAACTCGAATAGAAAAGAAAGATTAGATTTAAGAAATATTGTGGTTGAGCGAGGGTGGCTAGACCGAGTCGGGGTGGTCAACCACGGAGCATTACTGCTTAACAGCTAGAGTGCTCCGTACAGAGTACACATGGAGAGAATAGACTGTTGAGAGAACGGAGTACTTATGATAAAGAAGCAAATATTGAAATTTAACGACAGAAGTACTCCGGACAGGATTTGTATAGCAAACTCCGACAGGTTCTAATACAAGAATAACCATAATCACTGCCACGATCGCCACTAGGATCGATGAAAAGCAGGACAAAAGCAAGAATGAGCAAAGATCAGACAGAATCTGGACCATAACAACAGCATCCAAACCGGGAGGATTCAACACAATTAATATTTGTTAACAAAAGAGCGATCGTTCTTTTTCCGCTCCGATTCGAGTCTTGTGTGTCTCTCTTCTCTGTCTTGCTTTGGCTTCGCCCGCCTGCATCCATCGGTTTTTTTCTTCATTTTGATTGTTATTCTTTTTCTAAGAATTTCATTATTATTTTCCCCTATCTTGTTCTATTCTGCTTTTTTTTTTTTTTGGTTCTTTTCTTTCTTCTCTATCTGTTTTCTCGCTCTGATCTGTCGATTTCCATTCTTCTTTTCTCTCTCTCCCATAACCGCCCACAACCTTTCCTCTCTCTCTTCTCTCTTTTCTCTCTCAACCCAAACCCCTCTCCGTCCGTCTCTTCTCTTCTCTTCTCTTTCACTGTCTTTTTTTTCAATTTCCATCGATTTTTCTCATTTCCCTTGGTCGTTAATTTTTCATTTTCCCGTTTGTTTCCATCGAAATTTGTGATCCTCGGGTCGCCGTCTTTTCTCCTTCCCATTGTCTCCCTCTTTCTTTCTTTCTCTCTCTCTCTCTCTCACTCTCGTCTCTCTCTCTCGTCTCTCACTCTCGTCTCTCTCTCGTCTCTCACACAATCTCTTCACTGCTATTTCTCTGTTATTGTCTCCAACCCCATGTCGTCCTAGCAAAGATTGACCCGATTACTTCGTGTCAGTAACACGCCTGGTACGTTTTTCCCTTTTTATCGACTTTTTCTTATCAATTCTGTTCTTCTCCTCTATCTTTTCATTTCGCTCTCTCCGCCCTTCGCTTCCCCCAATTTCTTCCTTTTTTGTTGAAAAAAATTCTGTGTCTCTTTGATTGCTTTTTTTTTTTTTTTTTTTTTTTTTTTCTCACTCACTCTCCGTTTCAACCCCCCTCCCTCTGTTTGCTCTCCGCTTTAACTCGACAACTCAATACCTTTTATTTCTTAATATTCCCTCCCCTTTCTTCAATATATCGATACTCATGTTCAAGTAACAGGGCACAATGGCTGGCGCGGATGAGACCCTCGCAGCCGCTGCTGCCATCCTCCAAGGCCTGGCCAGAGATCCCCGTACCACCACAACATCCACCACCACCGCTCCCTCCTCTTCTTCTTCCTCCTATTTCTCCTCTGCTGCTACCACAGTATCCTCCGCCTCTTCCAACACTCAACCTTTGTCCTTCGACTTTCGCTCCTCTTCGAACGCTCCTTACTACTGCTCTTCTTCCGCCGCCCCCGCCGTCTCCTCTCATTCTGCCGCCAATGGTGTCGACATAAAACTCCCCAAACTCCCTGGCGAGTCCTCTCCCGCAAAAGCTGCTTTCGAAACCGAATTGGGGGCCTTGGTTCGTCGAGTGCGTCTGTTGGAATCCCAAACTGTCAGTCTCCCGAATCTCTTGTCCCCCAACCTTCATCATTCAGCTCATCCCACCGAAAAATACTGGGATTTTCTCGCTTCCATGGGACTCTCTCGCCCTCCGTCTGCTGATGACTCTGGTTCTGACTCGTCTGGTACCTTGCAGCAACAACAGCAGCAGCAACTCTCAAATAATGCACACAACCCGCATCACCCCCATCGGACACGATCACATCCTGCCGGCCCTGACGGTCGACACGCTCCCAAAGATATCATGGAGGACGATGATGACCATGACGATGACGATGGCGATGAAACTTCCGATGATGATGACGATGAACTCGACTCGGGGACTCGACTCGTGCGCGAAGAGGACATCAGCTATCTCCGGAA